AACAGTGAATATAGTATAAGGACTTAGGTTCGATTCCCTCCAGGAGTATAAGAATTTATTTGATTTACAGAAGAAATTATATTTGAGTTAAAAATTATTTGAAGTAAATATTATTTGAAGTAAACATTTATTTGAAAATAGACAAGTAATCGATTATTTGAATCAAATACATTTTTGTTTAAACATAATATTTTTTGAACCATAATTATACTACAAAATGTCATGATTATTAAAAATGTAATTAAAATTAAAAATCGTAAATATATTCTTTAGGAAGTAAAAAATTTCCCCAAGGCGAAAAAATAACAAAATTATATTATTCTATCAAAAACGCTTCATCCTGAGAATCTGCTTAAGTGACTTTTGAACTCTAAAAGCAAAAACACTGGGAATTCTAAGCCTTTATAGGCGTAAAGATCTCCAGCTGTGTGAGGGCTATTAAGTTTTTATATTTTCTATGCGTTGATTCAAACATTAATATACATACTATCGAATGGGCGCAATCATAAAAGCTTTGTTTTAAAAACTGGAAAAAAATATTTTTGACAATTTTTTTAAAACCCTTTTTTGTTCTCTTTTATTTTTGAAAAAACAATTCCCATTTTTCTTTTATGGGCTTTTTTCTTTTATGCTTTATTTAGAAAGATTTTTTTAAACTTATTATTATTTTAGACTCCCTTAAAATATTTCCAGACTTTTTTTTGTGATTATATAATTATCTTCGAATAAAGCAATTTATTAAAAATTTATTTTTTTAGACTTATTAAAATTTCAGAGAAATCATGGTCATATTTATAATTAAAATTCTTCAAAAATTTGATTATTTTTATTTTTTGAAAATATTATACCTTATAAATAATAAACTGAAGAAAAAACATGGACAGTTCAATTATTATAAAAAATTGAATTTTCCTATTAAAATAATTTAATTATCGAAGGACTTTCGAGAAATTATTTAAAATAATTTATTTAAAGATGAAATTTCGTTGAAAATTATAGAAAATAATTGAATTCAAGAAAGGTTATAGTTGTAATTTTTAGAAATTATTAAATATCATAAATTTTACTCATTTTCCGTAAACTTTCATATTTTTCTGTAAAAAAATGTTGTCAGGGAAATGTCAAGGAAATTGATAAACTGAAATTTGTGACCACCCTGTTTATGAACGAAATTTATTTTTTTCTTTTTCAAATTTATATTTTATTGTAATAATTTTGCGTCAAGTGTAAGAAAAATAATTCTAAACTTTCTAAATGTAAAATTTAAGTTTTTAATTTACAATTGCGATTGCCATTGCAATCAGTAATTTATGCAAATATCTTTAATAAAAAAATATTTCGTTCATACGTTCAAAACTTGTGGATTATGTTCATTTAGCTTTTTTTCGATTTTTTAGGTATTTTATTACGATTATTATTTAATATTTTTGAATGGTTTCGAGTCTTGTAAGTTATATATACCGAACTAAAGTGCAAGCAGTCGCGCGTGAAAATGCCGGTACCGTGATTTTTTGACTGCTCCCAAAATACACTCTCTCTTGCCCCAAGAACGAGTAACGACACGGGCGATAGGGAAGAAACACTGTCGGAGAGAGACAGTTCATTATTTATAATGCACGAAAGAAAGAGAGAGAAAGGAAAAGCTTGTCACAGAAGAGCTCCAAGATCAGATGGAAATGTCCGAATACTCGAGCCAGTCTTCGAAAACTAGTCGCACACTAACAACTCACATTATTCAAAATCCCATTTAAATAACAATAATATTCACAATAGTAGGCAAACTAGAACTAAAAAATAGAGACTAAAAGTATATAACTAAAAAATAGTGTTTCCTAAACTAGTATCAAACTTGCAAATAGTAATAACAATAAATAATAACTATAATAAAAATAATTAATAATTATTATTATTATTAATAATAGTAATAATAATCAGCTTTCCACAATTCTAGACAGTCATCATTTTCGTGCAAAACACACTTTTCATCTAACATTCATATAATTAAATTTCCTCTACTAAAAATTGTCGCACTAATTAAAAAAGAAAAAAGAAATTTTCTCTTGCACTGCTTTTGCCGTGTGGGTTTATTTAAAAACAAGTGTGGAGTGTCTTTTTTTCAAAGTGCGAGAATTGAAAAAAACAGAGAAAAAGGAAATTTAGCTTGGTGTGTACTTAATCAATTTTTTGTTCTTTCCATAATTATAATTTTCTATTGTTATAATTTGAAATACAAATTCGTAAGAGTGCGACTTTAAATTCCAGTCGTTTGTAACATTTTCGTTGAAGGGGGAAAAATGCCACTGAAAATTGAGACCGGTACCTACACGGTTAATCCTGTCATTAAAAAAGAAGGTGGTTCCAAGTTTTCATTATGGAAACATTGGCGACGAAGGTATGCAAATTAAAATTTCCGAAAAGAAAAAAAAATCAGTGTTGAAGAGTTCATTTTTTTAGAGAAATAGTTGAGCTTTATTTCTGCTTTTTACGTACTTAACAGTATTTCTTTTTCTAAATGCAGTGTTTTGTTGAGTTTTATTTTTTTTTTAACAAAAAAAATTTTTAGCGAAGTGGTTTGCCGTTTTTAGAAACAGTGAATGCTTCCGTCTGTTTTCAAGGATCAATTGGAGCGTGAATCCTAATTAGGGGATTGAAAACTAATACCATAAACTTTGCGAAGTCATGAAACCTTTGTTTTCGTGTATACGTTAGAGTACAAATTATTTTTTATCATTAAAAATTAAAAAATATTTTTTGTATTCCTTAAAAATGTTAAATTATATTGTATTTATTATTTAAATGAAAAGATTCTGGCTCCCATTTTTATAGAATTTGAAATTTTTTTATTTCTTTTTTTAATTTCCGTTTTTAGACTTCCGTGACAATTTTTTATTCCTTGAATTTTTTTAGCATTCTATTTCTATTTTTGGCGTACTTTTGGTGTTTTTTATTTACATATTAATTTATATTTTTTTCTTGTTAAAAAAGCATATATTTTTTTCCGTCTGAAATTATTGAAAATATTCAGTTTGACAAAAATTTCATTAAATTTTTTATTAACGATAGAAATAGTTTTTAAATTCTCTATGGAAATTGTGTTTCTTTATAAAAATCGTATTTTTTAATGGAAATTGTATTTTTTTATGAAAATCGTATTTTTCAATAGAAATTGTATTTTTTTAAGGATATTTTTTTTCAATGAAAATTTGTATTCTTTAATGAAAATCTAAAACAATAATTTTTGTTTGGAAATATAAATAGATGCAATTTAAATATATTTTTAACAGCATGTTAATTATATTTTCCTTTCGAATTTTACATACACATAATTTTATATATAATTTATTTTATAAACAAATTATTAATTTAATTATAATTTAATTAATTTAATAATTTTTACAATTAAAATATAAATAATACAAATATTACCTATATATAATTTTATATAGAATTAATAGAATGTACAGACAATTTTCCCTGAATTATTGCACGAATATTTAATGCTAGAAATTAAAATCGAAAAAAATTAAGCATGTTTTTTACCCTAACAGTTTTTAATTGATTCCGTTGAATTGATTGAAACAATAAATTTTTATACCTGACCATTGCCGCAATTAATTTTTTAAGATCAAATAATTTTTATTTTACTAAATTAAATTTTTGTTTTAAATACTGAATTTATTTATATAAGTAGAATCACCAATAAAAAATATTAATTTGAATAAAAATTATTTGGTTTAGAACACTAATTTTTTTGGCAAAAGAAAAAAAACCCATTTTGAAAATATGTTTGATTTTTAAGTTTAAATGCAAAAAAGTTTAATACATTTTAATCAATGAGTTTTAATGAATTTGTTTTCAAGAAATATAATTACTTCTAAATGCAATTATTTGTTAAGAATTAAATTATTAAATAAAAGTTACAAATCGAAAAATAAATTGTAAAATTTATTGACTAGAAACAAATTTTTTGGATTATTTAAACAAAAGTTGAGTATTAAATTAATTTACTTAATTAACGAAAATTATTGTCATGTAATTGGTTAATTATAGAAGAGTAATTAAATAGGTCACAATTAAATGACTGAATTTTTGTTAATTTTCTATTATGGAAATAAATCAAAATTGTATCGCAATGGAAATTTCGAATTAAGATAAAAGTAAATCGTATTTTATTCCTATTGATATTAAAAAAAATTATTTATTTATTTATTCAAAAATATTAATTAATTGAGGGAGATAATTAATGAAAATATAAATTAATATCAAAAAGATGATAAACTCTAAAATTATGAAAGAAATTTTCGTGATCTGATTTCAATCATTATACTTGAGTGTTCCATATTTTCTATAATTTTTTTTCTTTTCATTGAAAAAAAATCTGATTAACTGTAGAGTATTGCGCTTAGTCATGTATTTTGATCTTGCAAAAACTTTTCTACAACCGCGAATATTGTGAAGAAAAGATATGCCGAGAGAATGTACTTAATGAGATTGCATTTCCGACAGAATCAGGACGTAAAATTTTTATTACTTTTTATTTATTTACAAATAATGTAAATAAAATTGTAATTTATAGTATAAATTAAATTAGTGTCAAAAGATACATTTTGATAAAAGAAAGAAGTTTATTTTTTTTGGGAAAATTAATCTTCGGTGTTTGTTTAATAAGTTTTTTTTCACTCCGATTGCCATCAAATCACGATTTTTTTATTTCTATTTTTATTTTTGAAATATGTAGTGTTATCTTGACATATTTTTTTATTTTTAATATTTTATTTAATTTTAATATTTAAAATCATAGTTTTTCTGCAGATATCAAATTGAGACAAAAAATTAATTTGAAATAAAAGTAAAATAAAAGTAAAAGTAAAAAATAATAGTGAAATTCATAGTAAAAAAATGCAATTTTTGATATTAATGAGAGGATAAAAAAATATTTATAAGAAAGAATTGGAAAAACATTTTTGATGAGAAAAGAAAAAAAAATATATCATCGACAGTGTGCAAGTGGAAGACCGTGGATTGGAAGATTGGCGGAGAAGGAGAGGTCCAGTTCATGGTGAAGTGGCAGGATTAGAAGAAGCTGGAAACGGAAATTTAACAGTGACATTGGTCTCCGACAGTGGAGGTACAGGCAGGGCCCAAAGACGAACCAGGCCGCTGTCATTGGCAGTGCAACCACTGAATTACCATCGAGTTGATCCTGAATTTATCAACACCAGAAATAAACATCCAAACATGACGAGTCAGGAGAGCATTGGCAGTTGTAGCTTGGACGTCGATCAATCCACCTCCGACCGATCAGGTTGGCAATTTCTTTTCTGCAAGAATTTGCCTCAGATTATTCATTTTTATTTTCATTTTTTTTACCACAATATTTTTTCCTTTCTTTGCTTCAACTCTTCACTGTGAAATTATTCAGATTCTTTATTATTCGATTTTTATTTTATTTCAGAAATTTTTTTCTTTTCATTTTATTTAAACTGTCAATATTTTTCATTTCATAAAAAAGAAGATTATTTTAGAAATAAATGTTAAATTTCAAGACTGAGGATTTAAATTATTGCAGAAAAAGATGAATTTCAAAGAAAATATCAGAGAATGAAGATTCAAGATTGAAATTTGAAAAATTAATTCCTGCGTGTGCCTATTTATTAAAAATTTTGGAAAATAAAATTTGTGAATGAAGAAATGAAATTTAAATTTTTAATATTAATTTCAATTCGAACTCCATGGATGTCAAAATTTATTTGAGTGTCCGTTCAGGACAGAAAGTTCAGATCTAATATTCAAAAAAATAATTCGGATTTTCTTAAATTAAATTTGGTACAATGTGCAAATTGTCGTGAAGCAAATTGTGAAAAATATTTACTGACAAGTAAAAAAAATTAAATTAAGTGAATAGATTAATTATTTAGTACTTACAATAATTTATTAATTGTATTTATAATTAATTAAATTATTCAATAATGGATTAAAAAATGTACTTATATTACAAATTTTTGACCCTTTTCGTTCCTCTTTTTTCGCAGAAAAAGCAGTAGGCTCTTTATCGGAGAAAACATTGCACAGTTTCAATTTATCATTCAACGGTGAGCAAACTCCATCGGCGGAAAATTTGCGAAACGGAAATAGTGAAAATCAGCAGATTAAACACACGACTTCTAACGGAAAGAATTCAAGTGTTAACAATGGCCATCACTACATTGACGTTGATCAGATGACAGTGAAGAAACCTAGTTATCTAGGACTTGCTTGCAGTATAAGCGGATATTCGGGAATCACCAGATACGACAGCAAATTGCGAGAGGGCTTCCGGTCTAGAGATAGCAGTCCCGGAGCGAGATTAATTACCAGAGAAGCTAGTCCTGTTGGATTTAGGTAACTTTTCTCCTCTTCAATCTAAAATTCATTTTTTAAATCAAAATTTTAATTCTATTTTTCGTTTTTGTTTTTTACTTCGCATGTTTGTATAAATTTTTAATATTTATCTTATTTTTTGAATTATTTTATTTTTAGTTTATTATTTTTGTAAATATTTATTATTCGCATTGCAGGTCCAACGAGAATTTGAATATACCATCAAACAAGGGTTTCCCACCGAAAAGTCAATCTATTTCGCCATTAGCGATGGACCGTCAAAATGGATACACAAATGGAACGAAGAATAATGGTAAAATTGATAAGTATCTTGATAATAAAAGCTCAATTAATTCTGAGGGATATTCGGAGGTTGATAAGGGAATATCATTAAATTCGACGTATTCGGAAATCAGCCCAATACGCAATAATTCAACAACGAAACGCAGTCCTGGAAGTGTTCACATAGCTTCTTATAATCAACAAAATATCTCCTATTCTTCAACTATTTCCACTTCATCGCCAAAGCCCGCTACCGTTAATGGTAAGTCAAAAAAGAAATTCGGAAAAGATTAAAAACTCCAAACTTAATTTAAATTTCAATCAATTTCATTGATTCGTATTTTTTTTCTTTTGCAGTATCGAATACCTCGTTTAGTGAAAACAGCATACACAATGGATCGTCATTGAATGTTGATAATCATTTATTGAACAGTTCGTCGAGTAGTGAGAAATCATTTATTCAACAACGGGTGGAACGTCTTTACGGTCCAGGTGCACTTGCTCAGGGTTTCTTCTTTAAACGCAGCTCTTTTAATAAATCAAATACAAGCGATTCCAGCTTTAATAAATCTAATATTGATAATAATACTTCTATAGATAATTCAAGTACAGAAGAATCCCTGCCTGTTCTAAGATTTTTACAGCCGGAATTTCGTGCTAAATTGCCAGTTGTTCACTGCCGAAAGCCAACCGATGGTTCCGAGCAAATAATAAAGCCGTTGCAGAGGTAATTTTCAATCTCCAATTATTTCTTTTTAATAATTTTTCCACTTTTTTTACTTCTTTTATTTATTTATTTATTTATTTTAGTATTTATTATAGTAATTAACATCATTTATTTTTTGTCTATTAGCTTCTTAATTAATTACTCTTTTCAATCTTTCAATTAATTTTCTTCAGAGACATTAGTCGATTAATTTCAATATATTCTAATTTAATCCACTCATTGGATAATTTATCTGTTTACTATTTCAATTTATCAATTTAGTTTGTATCTTGTGAATTTATTTTTATTTATCTATTAATTTATGTATCATTTTTTTTATTTGCATTCTCATCTGAAAAATGTCTTTTTGTAATGATAGAATAGTTTTAATGATTAAATTCTATTTCACGGACAGGTTATCAGTGGCCTCGGCAAAAAATGAAGCCAAAGAAAAGAGTCTTGTGCCAGAGGACGTTGAGAAAATGGATTTGAAAAACAATCCCCTTCAACTTAGTTCCAGTACCACAAGTATAACGGATCAGCAACCAGCTGCACCGCAAGTTGTACTACCTGTACTTGAATCAAGCACAAGTAATGTAAAACAAGAAAAAGAAGAGGAAAAACAAGCAAACAAGGAACATGAAGAAGAAAAAGAGCAAAAAGTGATAGAGATTGAGAAAGCGGCTGTTGAAAAGAATGGACACTATTTCATGAAGGTATTTATTAAATATCAAATGAAAATCTAGAGAAAATAACTGGGGCTAAAATTTTTTTCTTTTGTAGTTGCTAAAAGAAGAGAGGGACAAGCTTATTTTATTGGCCGAATCAGCGGAGAGTGAACTTTCAAGTGTTGATCCTTCATTGTTACCCGAAGAAGCTGCTGGAAAATTGCGATCGGCCTCCGGAAAAGCTCGACTTCTGGCTTCTCAAAAAATGCAACAGTTTGAAGGATTGTGTCACAAGAACATTGTAGGTTTCATTCAAGTTTTCTAATTTTATTAACTTCATTTTTATTAATATTTATTTATCATTACTTCTTTTTTTAATTTTAGAACAAAGTCGAGGGCGAAGAATTCCCGACGATGAATGAAGATTTAGAAGGATTCTGGGATATGTTAATGTTGCAGGTGATTCAAGTCAACCAACTCTTTGAACAACTTGAACGTTCCAGAAAATCACAATGGCAAGAGGTATGTCAAGAAAATTCTAATCCTAAATCCCCGCCAAAGTATCGAAAGAATTCGAAAATTTTCAAATCACTCAAAGGAATAACGTTTCCAAAATTATTGAAGTCATCGTCGAAAGAATATAATAATAATGATTCGCAAAATCAATTAGAACTCGCAGTTGGATTAAATGAAAAATTTAGTCAAGAAATAAAGGAAAACTTTGAATCAAAATTAAAGAAAAACTACGAATTAAATGATAATTTGTGTGATAGAAATTTATTACGTCTCACGCCAGAAAATGAAAATTTATTTTATTCAAAATCGACAAAATCGGATATTTACGATGAAACTGAATTTAATTACGCAGAGGCGCGCAGTGTTTTATCGCAAATGGAAAATAATTTCAATTTAAAAATGCTTCGCACGAAAAAACGGGAATTAAGAACAAAAAATATTCCCGACAAAAGTAAATCATTTTCGGTCGATTTTCATGAATTGGGCGCAATGAATTCGCGAAAGAACTTTCCAAATAATCGATTCAACTCAATGGATTCAATAAATAAGGATAATAGATCCAGGTCTTTTAGTCCCGAGGAGAAATCAATAGGTGACACGATTTTAGAGGGACAAACATTTTATGAAAACGATAGGAATTTTAACAGCAAACCTTCGATTAGATCGCGATCACTTGAAGCGAGACGAAAATCCAAACTCAATGTTACTTTCGCTGATGAAACTGTTTTTGACGTTATCAATTATGACGAGAATTCTCTCTCAGAAGACGAGGAGAAAGATTCGACTGCTTCCTCAATTCTAGAAGATTCGGAAGATCAGATTTCTTCAAAAAATTCGGAAAATCATTTTTCAAAAATAAACAAAGAATCGAAAAATAACCAACCTTTAGTTTATCATGATTTAAATAGAAGTCAGTCTTCATATCGTTTACAGAATATTGATTTTTACTCTCCAATTATCGAACTACCGGAAAATGAAAGTGAAATGAATTTAGAATCAAATCCTCAAATTTCCACCTCAGCCAAAGGAATTGCCTTCACAATTCCAATGGTTGACAATTCTTCATTGGAAAACGAAAACAATAAATCTCATTTAAAGGAAAAATTCATCGAAAAATTGAAATCACGGAAAATTCATAACGAAGGGGAAACAAAAAGTAAAAATTGCAAATCAACAGAATTTGTGAAATTCGAAAAAAATTGTCAAAATGATAAAAAGCGGGAAACTCCAAGTCTAAGAGATTCAGTATTAAGACCTTCTTCGTCCCACAAGGAAAGTAAAATCGACGATAATAATTTAAAACTGGAAAATAATAAAACTCTCTCTAGCAACGAAAAGAAAACGAAAAAAACTCCCAATTCGAATTCAACAAAAAAAGAAAAACAAGAATCAAGACCCTCATCAGTTTCGTCGAGAAGAAGTCAAGAAAGTAACGTCACAACAAGATCAAAATCTTTAGATAGAAATTTTTTAAAAAAAGATAATAAAAAATCTCCAAATTTACCGAGAAAACAGAAAGATTCATTAAAAAGTCCAAATAGCAATGAAACTGTAATAATAAATCCTACTGAAAATAGTACCGAAAAAAAAGAGGATAAAAATTCCGAAGAGGTGACAAATTTCCAAACAAATAAAATTGACGAAACGAAGAAAAATTTGAAGAAAAATTCACTCAAGAGGCGTGTAATTGATTCACTTAGTAAATTGAAACCAAAATCGTCCGAAATACAAAATTCGAAAATAAATGAAAAATCGATAAAAAAAGTAGAGGAAAAAAATTTAATGAAAAAAATCGACAATAGTAATAACGCACTTGTAGCAAATTGTCAAAATATCGAAACTCCTGGTGTAAAACACGGACAATTGAAAAATCGTGTAAATAATCTAAAGCGGTCCCGAGTGTGCTCAAAAAGTGTTTCGCAATCAATTCTCCCGTCACCGAATATTTTCAATTTTCCCCGTTATTCAAAAGAAGCGCAACGTTTATTAATTAAAAAATACACAAACCCAGTGAATCTGTCAAGTGTGAGTAAATGTAAATTTGAAAAAACGAAAAAATCCCTAACAAAGAAAAATGATTTAAAAGAAATTACACCAAATTTACATTCATTACCGAAAATCGAACCGAATTATCAAAGAATAACAAAATCGAAAACATCAAATTTTTTAGAAACAATCGTCGATGTTGATAAAAATGAAATGAATAGTCAAAATTTACAGATTGTCACTTATCCACTAGAAACGTCGAAATTTCAAGAAATTCAAGTCGATTCAAATTCACTGTCACTGGCAAGTTTTTGTGATTCTGAAACAAGTATGACGCGAATGCTGCTCGAAACATCGAGAATTATAAAATCGAATTCAAAAGTTGAGGAGCATTTTTTTGCGAATGTTTTGAAAAGAACTAATGAAGAATGCTCCCTAGTGAAATTTAATGGTTGCCAATCGTCAAATAGAGAAAATAATAAGAATAACAATACAATGATTGAAATATGTCGCAATGAAAATTATGGTTTTATGAAAATTTCATCGAAGAGGAAAATTCCAACAACACGAATTATTGAAACGAAAAAAATTTTTAATACGACAATTAATGTACATTATGCTTGTAATTTTTTGAAAACGAACCGAACATTGTGTCGTCTTTCATTGTATCTCTATATTTACGGGATGCTCAGTATCATTTTGATATTTTTGAAAGTTAATCCTTGTAAATATTGCTTTTTTGGAAGCAATTTTTTTTTATAGTTTATGATTTTTTATTTCCTTTGCTTTTTTTATGTTGCGATTTATTTTTTAAATCTCAACCTTTGTTTTTATATTGTGCTTTATTTTCAAATTTCAAACCTTGTTTTTTATACTGTGATTTATTATATACACACGTTTGATAAAAAAATATATATTTAAAAAAGATTTTTTTAAGGTATGTATATTTTTAAAGTTTGGTTCAATTCATTCTTTAGTCAAAAAAATTTCCAAACGAATATTCTAAGGGAAAAATTGCTTTATTTTTTCTATGAAAAATTGTTTTCTTCTTGTGGACATATTAATTAATTTCTTTATTTATGATAATGAGCCGAATTGTTAAGAAAAAAAGTACCAACGAGAATGAAAATAAATAATCGACAAAAAAGAGCGCAGACATGAAGAACAAGAAATTATCGGAAAGGAGGCGACGAACAATAACAATTAACAAATAAGTTATTTTTCCACTAACATTTTTAACTAATTTACGAAAAAAAAATTTTGTTTGAATTATTTTAAATGAATTTGTTTAATTGTATTTCTGAATAATGAGTTAATTTTGTTGCTTTTAGATTGTTCCCGAAAAGAGAACGATTACTGGCACACTAAATGGAAGTACGCCGAGAAGACGTATAAATTCAACGCCAAAAATTAAAGCCACACCGTCAAGTGAAGCGAATAAAAAAGCTCGCGAAGCAAGGGAACAATCACGACGACAAATGATTGAAGAGAGGCGACGCGCAATGAAATCAATGACTAAAAATGAAAATAATTCTGTCGAGATTTTTATTCCCGAGACGTAACGGTAATTATTTCAATAAAAATTAGTTTCTTTTTAATGATTATTAAGAAAAAACAAAAAATTTAACGAGAATGCGCTTGAAAAATATATTTGTAAAAAATCATTATAGATTTTAAATGACGAATATAGGAAAATATAATATTAATTAAAATAATTATATAAAAAAAATAATTTATATTTAATATTCGTCATTTCTGCCGAGAATGTTAAATAAAAAATTAACCAAAAGAAAACGAGAAAAAAAAGATAGAAATGTAACAATTTTATAGTACCTATTCAAATTTTAATCGATATTTTAAATAATTAAAATCTTTCTATTTTCTTATTATTTTTTCTTTTATTTAACATTTTTAGCAAAAGATCGTCGCCTCATGAATTAAAACATTTTTTTATAGAATGAACGAAGGAACTTGTAAATATTGGTCAATTTTTAAATTTATTAATAATCTCTACTTCTTTTTGCGGGAGAAAATTTAACTTGGACTGAATTGATGCGAATTAAATTATTATAAACGTCGATGTAAATATTGTTGATAATCGTCTGAAAACAATTTTATGTGTGAACAGTAATTAATGACGATTTGCGTAAAAAACAGAAATGAGAAAAAGAGTAATTTAACGAATTTTAATTTTGTATTGTCAAATTTGTTTTTAAGAACACGAAAAAGTTCTTAAATTTGCTTTTGTTTTCGTTTTGCTTATTAATAATCCAATTTTTAAAAGTTTGTAATTTTACAAAAAAGAAAATTTCTATTTATATGACGAAATTATTTATTAAATGTTTATTTATTCTTTTCACAATGTCGTTTGCATGTCACGGGAAATTTTTAATTTTTCACGCACATAAATATAGAAAAAGAAAATATTGTAAAAAAAAGTAAAAGAAAAAGAAAATAATAGAAAAGCGAATGTTATGTACTAAAAAAATCTTTATCTTATTTTTTAGCAGTATATTTATTTTAATATGAGGAAAAAAAATGTTGCTAAATAGAAAAAGTAAAATTCGAATTCATTTTAAGTATAGACGATTAATGTGACATTCCGCAGATTTTTTTTTATTGAAAGAAAACTTAATCTTAAAATTGAAAAATCGAATATAAGATTTTTGCTTGCGTTAATTGCACAATGTGACCGATTTTAATGAATTTTACCAACCAAATAACACGAATACTCATTTACGTTAATTGTACATTCGATTAGATTTGTAAGAAGATCACAATCTCTAATTAGCCTTTTGAAAAATAGTTTGAAAATAAATTATTTTTCGTACGATAAAAATGCAGGGTTGAATTTTTTTAAATACAATGTTAATTAGGCTATAATCTATTAAATGATTAACAATTATTAATAGAAAAATGCGAAAAGAAATTTTAATCTAATTTGATTAATAATTATCAGATTGTTTGTTAATATTCTTGGTTAACGGAGATTGTGAGATCGAAGAGTTGTAATTATTTGTATAAACTAATAATCGTGTAAGCTTAAAGATAAATTATATAACTGCGAGTGATAGATATTATTTTAGCCTTTTATTTTTACGTCTGAATCTTCTAGTGCCTATTATTCCATTTATATAAAGTAGTAATTTATATTCAGAACGAAATCTTTTTTTCCTTGGTTATTTGTTTCTTTTTTTAAATACGCACATTTTCGTTTGTTTTCAAATAATTATTGAATTCACTCTTTTCTTTTTAGTAAATATAATAATACGCTTATAAAAAAATTGTAACAATTATATTCAACGTTTTACGAATATTCTATTAAAGTAAAAAAAAAAAAAGAAAAATTAATGTACGGCTTCATTTAGTTGCTAATTAATATAAATATTGTTATTTATGGAATCTGAGAAAAAAAATTTCTTTTTTATTAAAACGAAATATCAATTATATATATTTTATACAATATATTATATCGAAATTCGCTGAGAATTATAATTTTTAAATTGTATGTTTTCTAATGAAATTTAAATATATGCTAACATTTTAATAATTCAATTTTATCTAATAGTGAAAAAAAACCCCTAAAAAATCTCCTTAAAATAATTTTTAGTTTTACGTAAATTACTAAAATTTCTTTGATTACTAACAAAATAATACTTTGAAGAAGATTTTTTTAGTTTAGAAACACAAGGACGAGGGAAATTTTTCAAAACTTAAATTTTATAAAGAGTTGCAAATTATTGTCCATCGCTCAATATTTTTGGTAAGAATTCTTTTTCCTTCTGTTCTCTAATTTATGTAAACTTTTTTTTCTTTTAATTAAAACGGAAATATTTATTTATTTAACATTAAATTTAATTTATTTTAATTCAATTCACTTTTTTTCCAGGTCATTGCTGCCATTTGTCAAACTTGTTATATTTAATTTCAAATTCGCAGCTGTTGACAAAACAAGGACAATTTTCAAGGGCAATAATTTCGAGAGAAAAAATATTCACTGCAGATCTATAGAAATCTCGGGTAATTTACGATTCTAATTTTATTGATATCAATTATTTACATTTGTTGATTAATTTTTAATTTATTTTAATTATTATTTATATTCATTTATATTTGGAAATTAAATGCAAACTATTTTTTTTAAAGGCAGAGCATCTTTATTTTATTACAAATAAATAGTATTTACATTAAATATTGTTTGCGCTTTAAAATATACACTTTTTAGCGGAAATAAATATTTTGTGCGCTTTTAATAGATTTTTACAATTTATTATTTGTATATAATATTGGAAAATTATTGAGTTTGAAACGATGGCTATGTAAATATTTGCATTAATTCAATAGTCTCTATTTATACATTTTATATTTCTTTTCACCATTAACAGTCTAACGTATAAATATTTCATGCGACTGACTCACTTTTTGGAATTAAATTTATGCAATTAGTCCTTTTATTGGCAAATTTAAATTATATCCCTTTTTCTGTAAATAATATTTGGCAACTCGAGCATATTTTCGAAAATTGTAGATAGAATATATTTGGAACTATTTTTTTTTTTGCAGATATGATATTATTTATTATTTTTTAAAATTTAATTAAAAATATTCTCTTTGAAAATAAAATTAGTTTTTGAATTTCTTTTTATAATTGAATAATTTAGCAAATTGTGATAAATAATAAGAATAAATCATTGAAAAAAAAAAATTAAGTATTTTAGGTAAAACTATTATTATTGAAAAATTTGAATTCTAGTTTTTTAGAAGAAAAGTATTTTTTTACTAGTTCTAAGAAAGAAAAATATTCTAGAGAATAATTATTTCTAATTCGTTAATGTCGAAAGAATAATTATTACCTATATTATAAATATTTTTCATCGATTGTTATACTGTTGTTTGTAAATTGAAAAATACTATAAAATATGACATTGACAAGAAAAACAACGGGATGGTGTATAAGTTCTTGTATCAGACTGACTTGTTTCAATTGATTCCAGATTTAAAGAATCCTCGCTGCCTTCGCTTAAAACTTCAATACTGAATGGATCAGTGAGATCCTTAAGGATTTTATTTCCAATTTTTGTCCTCGACATGGGAATAAGTGCCATTTCTTCTTCGCTGGAGAAAAAAAGAAAGGTGATGATAACAATAATGATGAAAAAAGTTTTTAATTATCTTTTGGATTTTAAATTAAACATTATACCTCCCACTGTCGCTGTTGCATAATTCAACGAGGGGAAGATTTTTCTTCTTCTTCTGGGGAATTGGTAACCTTTGAATGGGAATTATTCCAATTCCAGGACTCACATTGCAATCATCATTATTGGAAAGTTTCATATATTCTGAACTTTTTTGAATTCTTTTCGCTTGCTCTATGCGTGCTTCTGAAAATGAAGAAAAAAAAATTCTTATTTCGAAAAATTTTGAAATTTTAGAATTAAAAATATTCGATGATAAAAAAAGGATTATTCTTTTAATACTTTTTTTTCAAATAAAATTGTATAAAATGTAAATAAACCATTTTAATTAAAGTAATTAAAACTTTGAAATAGTTGTGAAAACAGTAAAAATTTGTGTTAATTATGAAAACGAAAAATTCAAAAACAAAAAGAAACGAAATTGAAAATTCAAATTTTTATAGTTATTTATTTACCAAGTTTTCTTTGTAAATGTTTTGTCGTTGCTGTTCGTCGATTAATTATTGAATTATTACTGCTACTGCTGCTGCTGCTATCACTTGCCTATAAAAATATATTTTTGTTATTAAATAATGCACATTTCGTTAATATATTTTTTAATATTTAAAATATATTTTTATTCAAATAAATTATTTTCAATTTTTAAAAAACATATTTTTTTTACCGCAAATAAAATTTCGTCTTCTAAATTAACATTATTTTTTGGATCACTATCTATTCCACTGTCTTCAGTCATATTTTTTGTGTTTTCCAGGATTTTTTATTATAAAAAAGAAATGTTACTATTTTCGTTTGATTTTTACAGAACAATTTAATTATTTAGAAAAATCTGCTTAAAATCTTCTTGAAAATAAACATTTGACACGAAAACATGACAACTTATCTCATTTCGTCTATTATTGATTTTCATTTCCACAATTGCGCATGCCACAAATTCAAATAATTATTCTACAATCTTTTTTTTTTTTTTGTAAATTATAAATAAAAATATATTTACAATAATTATATTATAATCATTGTCACGAAATGAATATTTGTTAACATTTTTAATAATTAAAAAAATTCTTCTTGGGAAATATTTTTTTGTTTTTTTAATTTTAAAAATTTGAACTTATTGAGGAACAAAATTAAAATTCTTTTTTTGTTTACTGAAAATAATTGACTTTTTAATAAATTATTTTTGAAAATAAAGTTATAATTAAAGAAATAATTTTTTTTGTCCTCAATTATGAAAATCATTGCCATGGAAACGAAAACAATGTAAGAAGTGTGAACTGAGATAATTTGGTTACATAATTTTATTTTTGAATGTTTAGTTTAATTTTTCTGATTTTTGAGAAAAGTAAATAAAAATTTTACAATTGTTTTTAAAATAATATTTGTAATTTCAAAATTAGTGGTATTTTTCAATTCGTCATAAGCGATTATAATCTTTTGTTTGTTTTCTATGTAGGTTGTCACCGGACAGTTAATGAGTGAATCATGGAAAAAATTTAAATAAACAAATAATGCATCCAACAAAACCAACAATGTCAGCAGGGATTCAGAAGAAACAAATTTCCAGACTTCCTGAAGTTTATGTAAATTACAAAAAAATTTTTAATAATTTAATCAAAAATTTTACGAAGTTTTCTTTTTGTATTACTATTTTTTATTTGGTTTGTTTATTTTTATTAGTATTTTTATTAGAATTTTTTATTCGTATTTTTAATTTGTATTTTTCTATTAGTATTTTTCATTAGTATTTTTAATTAGTATATTTCTATTATTTTTTATATAAAAATACATTTTGACAATGGAGTGAATTTTTTATTTTGACAGTCAAGTGGAAGTAAAAGTCGTGCTTCGCGTTTGGATTTAATGGGAAATGAAGAGTGGACACGAACTAAAACTCTTCTCAAGCCGGACGACCAATTGCAATTAACGGAAAATGTAAGATTTTCTTTTTCTTTTCTAATTTTTTTATTCTGAAAAATAATTGAAATACTTATATTTAATAAATTGTTTTGCAGGAATTACAAGAGGAAATCGCCCGAGTATTACAGATACAAAACACGAGGATACCTGACAATCTGGTAGAATGGTCCTGGAAGCAGAGGGAATTTATTCCGGTGCCGAATCCACCAAATATTGTGACTATTCTCAATGTTCCTGGTATTCTTTTGCACAAAGATTCCGAAGAGGCGAAAATGCAATTGTCCGGTGGACTTATTGGTAATTAATTATTATTAATATATTATTTATTTTATTATTCACAATTACTTATTTTTTTTATTTATAATCGAATTTTCATTGATTTGTAGCCGACTCACAAGAAGAGGAAGTTTCGGTTTCTGAAGAATTTGAGGAACAAATGGCGGAGGAAGAAGAGGAAAGAGAAGACGAAGAAGTAGGAGAAGAAATAGGTAAAATTTGTTTACGAGGATTTTTTTTACAATAAAATTGAATTTCTTTTTCTATTCATAGAAGATGAGTCTGAGGAGCAAGGGAAAGAACCGCAGGTCGAAGTTGAACAGGAAATAGACGAAGAAGAAGTCGAGAAAGCAAAACCGAAAAAAGTACCGAATCAGTTCAATTTTTGTGAAAGAGCAACTTTGACGTACAATAATCCTATTCGAGTCAGTTGATAATTATAATATAATTAAAATATTGAACTAAAATCTAAAATTTATCGATTAAAATAATTTTATTTTAACAAAGGACATGAGTACGCAAACGGTGCCGCCTCCAAGTGCTTCATACAGTGCGGACGTTTACCAGTGGACTATTTACGACGACTATCAAGTATGATTAATTTTTTAATATACAGTTTTTCACTGCCAACTCAATTTTTAATTTATTAATTTTGTATTTAAATTAATTTTCTATTTTCAAGTTTACAGTAAATCTTTATCGACATAATGAAAAATGTTCTTTTTATTTATCTTTCTTGTTTCGCTTCTGCCGGGAACAAAATAATTTTATTATCATTTTACAATAATTTATATTTTTATATAAAAAATTTTTGTAACAGATCCTTTTCTTGGGAGTTGTAGGAAGACTATGAACGTCAGCAGAAGGAAAAGGAGAAGGAGAAAAAAGTTCCCGCACCGCAGACTAAAAAGGAAGAATCAAAAAAACAATCGCACTTGGAAGTCGTGGCTGTAACAAATAGAATGTTACAAGCCGCCAAAACATTGGAACGAATGGTGAATCAGAATATTTATAATGAAATATTACAAGGTACAAAAACAATTGTTGAAGTTTAATTTTTATTTCTGTTTATTTATCAAGAAATTAAATTTTTTGTTTGCCTCGTGAAAAATGATTAAATCGAATTTTTTGTTTACCTCGTAAAGAATTATTAAAGGAAATTTTTTTTTTAATTAATAGATTACAGATATTGGGATGATCCAAGCGATGAATTTAAAGATGGAGAAGGTTCTTTGTTACCCTTGTGGAAATTTAATTATGAGAAAACGAAGAAACACGACGTCACAGATTTATGTTTTAATAGCAGATACTACGATTTGTTCGCCGTCTCGTTTGGAACAAGTAAAGTTATTTATTTATCTTGAAATTAAAATAACAAATTATTATAATAAATAAATAAATTATGAATGTTATTATTAATTTACTATTATAAATAAATATTTTACTACAATTAAATAATAATATTAATTGATTATAATAATTATTATTATATATAATTTTAATAAACATTAAAATTTGTAATCAAGTTGACAAAAATAAATATTTTTTTATTGCAGTGTCTTTCGATAGTTCTATAACAATGGGAGTTGTTTGCTTATTCAGTTTGAAGAATCCTTCATATCCGGAGTGGATTTGTTCAACAGAATCGCCTGTCATGTGTTTAGATTTTAATACACAGCATCCACATCTCTTAGTTATAGGTAAATTATTTTAAAAAATTTATGTATTTCCTATTTAAATATAATTTTTTTTATTTTTTTAAATACATAGATATAATATTTGATAAAATTAAAATTTAGATTAATAGTAATTAAATATTTAAATTAATAATACAATTTTAGATTAAATTTATTTGTTTTGATGAATTTTCCAATAAGAAGAAGTAAACTAAGATTAATTACTTAAGAAAATGCGATTTTTTTTAAGGTACTATGGACGGATCAGTTGCAGTCTACAATGTAATTTTACCATCTTCTGCTCCTCAATATAAAAGTAATGATGTCAATCAAAAACACGCTGGAATTGTTTGTCAGGTAAGAATTTTAATGGAAAAGAAATTTTCTAAAAATGTCTTTCTCGATTAAATTTTTTATTCCAAAAAATTTGCTTACAATTTTTCTTCTTCAATTGGAATTTACTTTTATTTCAGGTATGCTGGGCCTCGGATACAGAAGAAGGAAATCTTGCTTTCTACAGCATTAGCATTGATGGAAAAATTAATTATTGGGTATTATTGCAAAATGATCTTGGATTTACTACTATAATGACACTTTTTCTCGATTCATCTCCAATAACGGGACCTGACGGTACAATTGTTACATTAAAAAGTAAGAATTTCTTTCAAATATTATAATTTAATAATGGAAATACTAAAAAATAAAAATTTTAGATAATTAAATTCCAAAATCTCTCTGCATAATCAGAATTTACTGATTTTTAATTCCTTCATTGAATTTGTTTAGATTTCAGTTATTTTCTTTAATTTAATAAAAACAGAATAATTTTCTTAACAATTATTAATAAATTGAAATTATTATTCAGTTTAAATTATTATCAAGTTTTTTCGATTTCTTTTAATCATTTTTTAATTAATTAAGAACAAATTGATGTAAAATTTACTAGTGAATAAAAATGTCTTTTTCGTTACAGGTTGTGGTACGTGTATAGCGTTTCATCCAAAAGATAAAAATATTTTTCTTGTCGGCACAGAAGAAGGGACAATTTACAAGTGCAATACGGCTTACAACAGCGTTTACATGAGAACTTATGAAGAAGCTCACAATATGCCGGTTTACAAAATTGCTTTTAATAAATATAATTCGAATATTTTTGCAAGTTGTTCTGGCGATTGGAGAATAAAAATCTGGGAAGACGATCGTCCGTAAGATAAATTACTGAGAAGAATAAAACAAAACAAAAAAATACTAAAATATTAAAATTTATTAAAAAATACTTTTAATTTTTTAGAGAACCACTTTTTATGTTTGATCTTGGAGTACCAATTGGTGATGTACAATGGGCTCCTTATAGTTCGACGGTATTCGCTTGTGTTTCAAGTGATGGGAAAGTCACCGTATTTGATTTGAATGTTAATAAATATCGACCAATTTGCTCACAAGCTATTGTCAGTAAAAAGAAGAATAAACTCACTCGACTTGCATTCAATGATGCTCTACCTTTCATCATTGTTGGCGATGACAAGTAAGTTTTTTTTAATCCTAAAATTTAACTCTTTATTTTTTTATAATTAAAATTTGTTTTCTTTTTAATTTTTTTTTTTTTGCTTTAAATTTTGACTGGAAATATTTTATCAAAATTTAAATTTTACAAATATTTTTCAATTATCTTTTTCTCTAGTATTTCGTAAAAAAGATTTATTAGTATTTTATTAAATAATCAGTACTTTATAAGAAATAATTAGTATTTAATAAAAATATTATGAAAATATACAATTTTTTAATAGGGGCACAGTACATACGCTAAAATTGTCACCAAATTTGAGGATAAAAGTGAAACCAACAAAGAAACAAACACATTTATCAAGTGCAGAACTAGAAACTATGAAATTAGAAAAATTATTGAGTTTTGTTAGGGAACCAACAACGTTAACACCTCCAAAAGATGTAAGAGTTTTAAAGCAGTAAAAAATTTCTTGAAAATAGAGAAAATTTAAATAAAAAAAGTAATTTATAAATTATATTTCATTATTGAAATTATGAATTGAATAATTAAATTAAAATAGTATTATAGGTTTATCAGTTTAGTATTAGTTTCAGTTTAATTAAAAATAATTAACCGATTAAATATGTCAAAGATTTAAAAAAATATGTTTATGCGAAAGAGAATAACTAGAAAAATTCGTTTTTACTGAAAGAGACTAAATTTTTTTATTCAACAGTAACAATCTATCAATACATATGAAAATGAAACAATGTATATATAAATATACATATATATATATTATATATAATATTTAAATATTTATCTTCTTCATTCATACACTCTACACAATGATACATTTTATGTATCAAATCAATTCTCGACAGGCAGAGGAAAATCGATTTTTTAAGAAAGCGCTTTTTTTTATTAAAGTTAAAAATAGTTTATTACCTATAGTTATTTAAATGAATTTTGGACTTTACTGAGATTACAAAAATTTCACGGGCTTTCAAACTCCTTTCAATATTTTCGAATTTTTTTCACAATTTAATTCTTTATTTTTTCCATTTTCTGAGGTAAAAAAACTGCTTTATTTTCATTATTTAATTTTAATTTCCCGTTAGTTTTAAATTGACAAAATTTTATTAATTGAATTGTTGAATTTTTCTTGATACACAAAATTGTCTTTTATCTATTTTGAAAATTTGTATAGAAAAAAGAATTTTTTATTGCCAAGACAAATTTCTTATTTAAGGAACAAATTTGTTCAGTCAGCCCAAAATTGATGTCTCAGTTTTTATTTTGAGAAATCGTATTTTTCATTTAATGTCTAGTAAATATTTTTGGTATATTTATATTTAAAAAAATGGTATTATGTTTTTTTCGAAAATTTTACTAAACTATGTTCTGTGTATCTTTTTTAATAATTATAAATTCGAGTGTGTATTTGATGCATGCTCTTTATATTTATATTTTTTTTACTGACTCAAGCAAAATATTTTGAATAATCGCAAGATTCGTTAACTTTATTAATAGTTGATTTATTTCAAAAATGGAAAAAAATTCATTTTCTGTTGAAATAAAGACCATCACTTAAAATTAATTAAATATTAAATATTATAACGTCTACAGATAAAAAATATATAAAAAATTCTCAAAGTCTTAATGAGAAAATCGTAACTATTAAAATTGAATTCAATAATCAACAAGTTGAATAAAAAAATAACACCTATTTCTAATACACATATATAAATCCCTTGAGATATCACATTTGATGAAGAATCAGTCTGACTGAAACGGATAAATAAGAAAATTTATTGATTTATTTTCTTTTTGGAAGACTACTTAATTTTTCATTTCTTTTTAATCCAAAGATATTTTGCCCGGTATCTCTGGATTTTCAATGACTCCTTTATAATATTTGATTTCTAAAAAATCGCGTATATTATTTGGACTAGGAACTTGACGACCGGCAAAATCAATTGTTGACATTGGATGTAAAAATTGTTCGGGAAAATCCCGATTTCTCATGAACCATGCGTCTCGAATCATTGTTCCATTATTCGAATAAAATGGCAATAAATTCACGTGTAAACGATTTACCTTTGAATATTGTATTTTAAAAAATTCACCCTCAGTCGCTTTCTCCCAAACGAAACCGTGATTATCGATAATTGGCTTATTTTGTGCTTTTACTAACCATGGCGATCGTCCCAGGTCGTCGCGATTAATTCCAATTTCAACTTCATGATGCCATGGCAGAATGTCGCCATTTCTCATTGCGCCCAGCAGTGAATTGCCCTCGAGCCAAAAACGAATTCCAACTTCTTCGAGTTTATCGAAAACGTGATAGGCCACTTTTCTGAGACTCGCGAGACAACACGGTGGTGTGTATCTATTTTGATAGAGATACGATGGCACGCCGTTTACGACTGATCCGAAACAGCGGACAGTTTCTCTCGAGCAGCCGTACCATTCGACGACACTCGAGGGTCGTATGACTTTTTTTATGCCAAATTTCTCCAGCATCGCTCGCTCTCGACTGCGATGTAGTTGTTGCACCTTCCACTGGGTCTGTTGACTACGGTACAATGGCCTCCCCTCGTTGAAACGATGTTTTCGTAAAATATTCACCTGAATATTATAGTTATGATTAACTATTAATAAAAAATATATTCTCAAAGAAAGAAGAGTTGAAATAAATGTTTACCTTAACTCCAATGGCCCTTGTTTGCAAGTAAATTGAATCGGTGAATGGCAACATGAATGGATCGGATAATTTCTTTAATAAAGAAGTCTCTAACATGATGACATGCCTTCCAATCACAGCATCACAAATCGTACCACCAACATTTTGGATCTTTAAACTCCATTCTTTAATTTTCAAACCCATATTTAAACAGCTCAAGGAATTTTTACCAACTGCAACACTTGTCATTCCAAATTTTGTCACATGATTGATCATATCCTTTGAAAGAGAAACAGAAAATTCAAGTATTAAAAATTACTTTTTAAAAGGAATAGAATATTTCTCTTCTTCCCACATACCTGTAACATGTGCTTACTCGATATTCTGGTTGAATCCGGAACAATGAGAATAAATTTTGTACGTACGTAAAATAGGGGATTACGTTCGTCAAATGATTTATTAAAGTCCGGCTGTAAATTGACGAGTCGTAAATTTTGTGTATTATTTGATAGATTCAATTCAAGCGGCGGATAGGGTAATTCATCGCAGACTATTAAAATTTGTATTATTGGAAATGAATTTAATATTGACTCCACTGTTGATGCGACATCATTTTCAAATGTTTCGAACTGTCTTATTACAACCGTAACAAGACGTGCGAGACGTCGATGAAATTTCTGTGGATTTTCACTAATATTCGAAATATCCTTTAAAGATTTATTTTGTACTGTGAATAACCTCCAAATTTTATGCCACACTATTATATTGCCTAATAATATTAAAATTAATATTCCCCTTGCGAAACGGAATCGCATTTTATTTTTAGGAAATCCTAAATGCCAATTTCATCATTCAATAATTTTTGCCTTGTTTTCTTTTATCTTTTCTTTTAATTCTGATTTAAACGAACATTATAACAATCCTTTCGGTTTCATCCTCGTGAGAGCAAAGGGTGAATATAAACTGGAAACTTAAAGTTGCGCGTGAAACAAAATGTCAATGCGCTAAAGTTCAATCCACTTTTCAATCATTTTTTTTCCTACGATCATTGATTAAAATAATCCTCCACTATTTTGCAACTATAATGATTCTTTATAAAAAATCTTTATTAGAAAAGAAAATAGAATTAGGAATTCCAAAAATTCTTCTAATTATTAAAAATTTATTAATTAGAATGAATGAAAAGTTTTAAATTTATATTTACAGATTGAATATTAAGAAAATTTTATTAATAAATACAAATCTAATTTAGATTTAGAAAAAAATGGAATAAACAAAAAATTACGTAAAAATGGAGAAAGAATTGAAGTCTTGTTAACATTTTTTCTATATTAAAATATATAAAATAGTAGATTATGGTATTGAAGAAAGAAAAAGAGGATTCGAAGAACTTGTATTATGATCACGGTTTGTAAGGCGTGAGAAGATTTTCCGAAAAATCTTTGACATGTTCCACACCACGCACCTCTCTTTCAAGTAGAGGCAATTTCGTCACGTGAAAGTCTTCGTATAAATCCATGATCTTTAAAAAAAACAAAAAACTTTTCAGTATATACAGAAAAAATTCATAGTTCAATTATTATAAAATTAATAATAAAAATTAAATTATTGTAAAAAATAATTTAAAAAATTGTTACCTGATCTAAATATTTATCCTGGATTTTTCGCCTTGAACGACACAATCTACAAGGCACTTCACCCTCTTTCAAGAATAATAATTGATTAACAATTATATTGTGAGTGTCTATTCCACATTTTGTTAATTCTTGAACCAGTCTTTCAGTTTCATAAAGTGATAAAAATTCTGCTATACAAACACAAACGAATGTCGTTTGCTCGGGATCTTTAAATTGCTCATTAACTTGTCGTATTATTGACAACATTTCTTCCATTTTTTGTGAAAATGTGTCAATATTAAAGTCTGACATTCCCAATAAGGAACTAATCTAAAAAATCAAAATTATAATCAAATTTAAGTAAATAATTTAATAATAATAATAGTAAAAGTATTAAATTATAAATTGAAAATAAAAAATATATTTTACCTGTGAAATGAAGGGACTGATTTTCATCCTGAGACGCATTAATTTCCCTAAACCTTTTTCAACGACTTGGGGAAAGGACAATAACCTCAATGTGTGTCCTGTTGGAGCAGTGTCGAACACCACAACGGAAAAATTCATACCCTTTACTAATCTTTTTTGTAAAAAAGAAAAAAAATTATTTAGATAAATATCCATTAAATTGTTTTTAATAATTAATTTTTCAATTATTTTTCTAGTTTAAATAAATAGTATTTACTTCATAACTTCTGCATAACTCATTGCTTCGTCAATTCCGGGAAATGATCCAACAATATCTTGTATAACACTTCTACTTAAACGCATCGCTTCTCCACCTCCGGCACCTTGAAAATTACATTTTATGTAAATTAGATTTTTTGTTTTATAAATTTTACTTGAAAACATTATTTTGCAATAAAATGATATTTTACAAACCCATTTCATTTTCAAAATATTCATCCGGCAATTCATTTACACCAACATTGGGATCAATTTCCATTGCAAATAGATTTTCAAAACCTCGAACTAATGTTGGCACTTTACTGAATTTTTGATCGAATGCATCTGAAATATTGTGCGCTGGATCTGTCGATATAATTAGTACATTTTCACGAACTTTTGATAATTGTACCGCTAGCGAACAGCTGTAATTTGGAAAATTCATACATAGTTCAAATTATACAATTGTATCAAAAAATCAAATAGATAGAATTGGAGATGATTTAAAATAAATTTAGTTATTTAATTGAAAAAAATACTTATTTTGTTTTTAATAAAAATTTCTTTGCCACGTTACCTGCAGGTTGTTTTTCCAACACCACCTTTTCCTCCTACGAAAATCCACTTGAGGGATCTTTGTTCAATAACATTTTTAAGGGATGGTTCGTATTCTAAATCGTCCACGTGAAGTGCAGTTGGTTCTTCAGCAGGTTCAGTCATATTTACAAATTTTTATGGAAAATATTTTCGATTAAAAATATCTATTTTGGTAGTTTTTCTTTCCTTGGAAGAAGTTGTTTTGGGTAAAAGCTTAAGGTAATAAAAATTATAATAGAATATAATTTTTGTTAATTTGAATTAAGAACACAAAGTCCAAATTACACAATGTATTTATAATTATTTCTATTTCTTTCTAGAGAGACTAGAGAGATAAAGAATAATTTAAATGATCAATTATTATGATCATGATTAGGACAATTTTAACAACTATTTGAAGGTTAGATTTTTATGCGCATGCGTTGATTTTGACACACCTTAAGGTAATTCACATGTAATGCTGAATCGCATTTGTCAGTGTTACAAACTCCAGTCGACATTTTTATTCGATTTAGAATTTTGGGAAATTTCATACGACCGAATGGACCGAATATATAATATAATAATTCTTTTTTGTAAATTTTGAAGAAAAAATGTAAAATATCCTACGACTAAATATTTAAGAAAATTTTGTTTTGTTTTTAATTTTACCGCTACGATCAAAAGTGACATCTGTCAGTCATGAGGATAATTTTTTCTAATCAACGAATCGGAGCGGAATATTTCACGTTACTTCCGGAAACAATACATTCTGATTGGTTAGGAGAAAATAGCGGGAAATGAATTTTCGAAAATGTGATTTGTCATTTTATCGTTGGGTGGCGCAACTGCTATAAATATCGCAGTGCCAGCGATTTCCGGTACAACAAACTCTGCCATTTTTCTCGACACGCGCAATGGAGAAAGAAGCAGTATTCGTAGAGCCATTTTGTTACTGTGGCCGACGTGGCGGCCGGCGTGTATTCATTTATTCCTCGAAAAATGAAGATTCGTGAGTACTACTTTATTCAATTATATTAGAGATAAAGTCTAATTATTTTCAGGAAAAAAAGAATCTTTGCAAAATTATTACCACAACTCCTGATTCTGTGCAAATTATAAAGGATCAGTTATTAACCTAAATTTTTCATTTAACTGCATTAAAGTATAGTTTTTATTTCTGAATTTTTTATTCTTTCCTGCAAAATTATTAGATTTTCTTTATGTAAAAAGTTTTCAAATGTTTAATTTATAATATTTAATTTAAAAAGAAAATAGTAAAATTGCCAACGTATCTCCCCGCGTGGCATCAACTATGTCTTCAATTATTATTAATTACTGTCTATTTATAAATTTTTTGTTTTCATTTGTTAGAATATCGAGAATAAACAAAATTTTTTTAATTTTAACATATATCTAAAGAAATTGAAAAACATTGTTAGAATCTAAAAATATGATTTCTTTTTCAGATTCTTTTTTAATTCTCGGACTGATCTTCGTATCAGTGATCGCCGAAACACCATCTTCGACGAGTTCTTATCTGTCTGATGCAGATCGCGTTCGCTTGAGGAAAGTAATCGAGTCAGGATTTCAACTTGATGATGTTTCTGCTGTTCATTATGCAGTTTTAGGTCACAATTTAATTGGAGATACTATTCCTAGAACAGCTGTAAGAAATATTGAATTTTCGAAAAAAGTTTTTCTGTTTAGAAATATTTTAAATTGTCTTTTACTTAATGATGAAAAATTGCTGTTTTGCTGAATTTCGATGAAGCTTTGATTAGTCTTACTGATTATTAATTAATATTCATTCAATTAAATTTAGAATTTTTGTTTATCAATCTAATGTTTTCTATTTTTTTCTTTCAAAAGGAAATATGTAAATTTTTATTACAATCAACCGGCGATGGAAGTTCCTTAACACCTGAAAATGCTTATTACATCACGTCGACGTGGAAGACGTTGAAAGTCTGTCAAGCTTTGCCAGTTGCTGCAATAACAAAGGTATTGAAAAAAAGAGTCAGAATTTTTTAATTAACAGGATTTTATATAACTCTTGATATTTGCAAAGATTTGGAGTTATGTTAAAAATTGTTAATTGAATTTAAACTTAATAATGACGTTGAAAATAATAAATTATTTATTTAATGAATTGCATAAATAATTTATTATATTTTATTTTTGATTTAACATGATGTTTTTTACAACTTTCGTTCTACTGTAAGAACTTTGAAGAAACTTTTATGATCTGATTTTGCTTTTACGAAAATTAATTAATTATGAAAAAAAAAGTAATTTCCTAAATTAATAGTGAAAAATATGAAAAATTTTAGGCACTGACAGCAGTTATCGAGAAGGAGGGTTCTACAATTTTAGAATTTCATTATGCGATCAATTCTCTGACTGCTCTTTCTCAAAAATTGTCCGATGCCGTTACTTCGAAAGTGGTGAAAAATTTACAGGCCATTTTGAAAAAAGATGATAGTCTCTTAAAGTGAGTTTTCCTTTTCTTAAATTTATTGTATATTTATTCCATTCGAAAAGTTTTTTTTCTATATTTAACTGATTTTTATTATAAAATTGGATTTGATTTATTTTACATTTAAAATAAACTATTCTTTTTTGCAGTCTTGGTTATGCTTTTAAAATTGCTGCCGATCTCGGAGCGGCTGGAGCTTTCGCTTTTGAGAGAATTGAAGACACAATAGTTCAAGCCGACGAGGTTAATGGACGCTTTTTACAATTCGAAGGAGGTCTTACCGTCACTAGTAAGTTTCTGTCCAGATAAAAATTAGAAATTCTTTTTAAAAATATGTATTTACTTTAAAATGAATAGGTATTTTATAACCTGACACTAAAAATTGTTTAACAAAATATTAGTTTTTTATTTAGTTTGTTTATTAAATTAAATTAAATTAAAGATTTCATTATAATTAGTAAAAGGACTAAATAATATTATAATATTTAATTTATTTTCAGGTCTCATTGTAAACGGAATCTTCCAACTTTCCTCGAATCTAAAGAAGAAATTGCCTCTCAGTTCCCATCAAACAGTAAAATTCACTAATTATCTTTTGTCGCGTCGTTCCGTCCAAACACCAAAAGGCGTCGTTTCACTTCTCTCTGCACTTGATGTTCTTGCCACCAACGAATATGAAAAACCAATTTGCATCGCTTTGATGGAAGGTGAAAATATTGTCTCGACGAAACAACCATTAATTCGTGTTAAAATTTGCAATATTTTGGGTAAACCACTTGCATCAACGCCAACTGTGGTTGCCAATACGGCGACGCGTGTCGGTGACGATGTTGTTGTTCTGAACAAAAAGAATTTCCAAGTCGATCCCAAGGACAAGTGAGTAAAAATCATTTTTTCTTTGAAATTGAAAAATCCCCAATTTTTTGCTGGTTCAAAATGTTTCTCATGATACTAGTTATACGCTTGGGGTACAGCGAATTTGTTGAATATTTTTTATTATCGTCTTCAAGGGATGATGTTTTAAAAAGTATTTCATCAAACAGTCTTTAAATTTTGCTATACGAAAAATTACAATTTTTATTGTCTGAATATTTTTATCACTATAATATTATTATTTTAAATATACGTGTTTTTTTAAAAACAGGACTTTGTTTACAACGAACTTGATGGACGCAAAACCTGAACGTGGATTTTACAAGGTCGCAATCTCGGCCGGTTCCATCTCGAATACAGTGACCGTTAAAGTATTATCAGAAGCTGTTGTTGATTATTTGGAAATTGGAACTGCAGACGCTGACCAAACTATGCAACCAAAACTCGTCAGGTAAAATACAATTCTCTTTTGTAAATATTATTATATTTACAAAATATATTTTTATTTTATTTAGCAAAAAGTTACAAAACGAAAATATTAATAAAATTATAAAATATATATATTAAAATTAAAAATACAAAGTAACAGTAAAATAAAATTTATGTAGTAAATAATAAGTAAATAAAAATTACAGAGTATCCTATTCGGAAAAAATGAAAGACAAAATTGAGGCGGATTCGCAACAGAAACTTGTAATGAGATTTTTATTGAAGGATTCTCTAACAAAGAAAGCAATGCGCGTTCATCAGGCTTTCGTTCGTTTATCCTCTGTTCCTCAACCCGGAAAGGAGAAACTCACGAATGAAATAATCTTCGTCGCGGAACCTGATGCTTCACATATTTACAAATTCGATATGGTAAGAAAAAAAATTCAAGTACAAATTAAATCATAAAATTTAGACAAACATTAAGAAGAAAAAATTATTATTTCGATTTTTATTAATTAATTCTAGATCAATAATGAAATTTTATGTTTCAGCCTTTAGCAACGGCTGCCAAAAACTTTGGCCACCAAAGTGGAGATTACAATGTTGAATTAGTAATTGGTGATGCTGTTTTGAGTAATTCTTTCCAATGGAATTTGGGAACAGTTAATTTGAAATTTCCCGAACCAACAGCAGCTGAACTTGCGGAAAAATCGTCAGTCTACAAAGATAAGCAGAATATGTATCAACCAAAGCCAGAAATCAAGGTAAAAATGAAAATTTTCATTATTTCTCGTAAAAAGGCCAATGATCGTTAGTGGTAGAAAGTTTTCATGTTTCCATCACTTCCATACCATTGGTAAAGCAAATGGTCTTTCTTCATTTTTAATCTTGTTAAAAAATTTATTTTACTAAGATAAAACGGTTTGACCGACAAGTTTATTTAATTAATATTGTCAATTATTAAAAAATTAAAATTATTTGTCTAGTTTTGGTTACTTTTATTACTTTTCAATTATTTTTTCCAAATTATTTACAATATTTATTTTATTCACTTTTTCTGTTTATTCTAAATATTTTTATTTAAAATAATGAAAAAAAGTAAAATAAATGAGAATAAAAAATTTATTCAATCAATAAATAAAATGGAATTTTATTTTTACAGCACATGTTCCGCGAACCGGAGAAAAGACCACCAGCTTTTGTTTCGAATCTCTTCACTGGACTTTGTTTAGCTCCAGTTTTATTGTTATTTATTCTCTGGGCAAAATTAGGAATAAATATTTCTAATTTCCCATTGTCATTGAGTGCTATTGGTTTCCACGTTGGCCTAGGAGGTAAGCTTTTCTATTTTCCTACTAAAATAAGTACAAATAAAAATTTAGTTGAAAAATTAATGCTCGATGCTTGACAGACAAATGTTTTCGTAATTTGAGTTTGTTTTCAATCGAGCAAATAGTAAAGGTTGAATTTTTCACAGATGTAACTTTTTTTATTTGTTGCATTTGCAGCCCGATATTCACGACAAATTTAATTATTATAATTCCATAAAGAATAATTTTATTCATAAAAAGTTGGTTAAAAAAATTACAATTAAATATTTCAATTATTGATTTCTATTTTATTATTTGATACAAATTATTGAAAAATCCAAATATCTAAATATTGCTCTTAATTTCAGGTATTTTTGTACTTTTCGGAGTATTCTGGTTGAAACTGAATATGTTCGTGACCTTAAGGTATCTTCTTGGCCTTGGAATTGTAACATTCCTCGCTGGAAGTAAATTACTTTCACAAATTGCTCAAGGTCAAAAGCATAATCGTTGATTTTTAAGAGAAACGTTTTGCAAAAAAAAAGAAAAGACAAAGAAATTTTTAAACAAATTCCTGGACGAGTATGAAAGCAGTTGAAAAAACTGCTTGAAGCAAAAGAAAAATAAAGAATCGTTTCTCGTTCCATTTTTGTACATAAAGAGAGTAATAGTAATTTTTTTATAACTATAATTTGATTACTTCATTACGAATTCAATAGATTATTATTTTCTTAAATAATAAAATTATAATCAATTTTTACTTTCCATTTATCACTTAAGGCACTAAAAAAAAAATTTTAAATACAATTTTAACACAATTACAAACTATGTAATTAAAAATACTTGTTAATTTTAATTATTAATTCATTTTCATCAGATTCTTACGAAATCTGATACTTTAAAGAAAAAAAAATGAATTTAGAAGACTGCTTTGGATCTCAGTTCGGTTCCGAATTATTACATATATATTTAAATAATATGTAAAATATAAATTCTTTAAACGGTTTTCAATTTTTTGTTCTTTAAAACAAAATGTGAGAAGATTGACATTTTAAAAATAAAAATTATTGAAAATAATTTATTTAAGTTGAGGTTAAATGTACATTTTCTGTCAACGATATAATGAAAAAAAGAGAGATAAAAAGGTAAAAAATTCTCGTTGCAGAGTTTAAACGGCTTAAACTCATATTAAATTATGGTTTTATACCTGTACAAATTTTTGGAAAATATACATTAATCTTCTATTATAAAATTGAATTTGATTTATTTGTCCTTGAGTAAAAACTTGTTTTATCTTTTTTCCTTGGAAATGTAGTGCTTTAAGCATCGACATAAATAGTTTGATTCCTCTTTTAGGATTTCATGTCTATTTTTCAATTCGGCTGTTACTGTTGTCACTGATCCGACACGTTTCCAAAAATGTTCCAGAAATTTAAGTTCCTTGAGAGAAAGAAGAATTTTTTTTGAAATCTGAATTTTTAAATTTAGTACATTAAAAGTTGTCTTTTTTGTAAAAACCTCTAGACATCGGGTCCAATTTAATTCAGTGATTATTTTTTCCTCTCGAATTATTGGCGTTTCGGTAGGAATTAATTTTTCATTTTCGGTTTCATATTTTTGGCAAATTTGTGTCAGAATTAAAATATTTTCCAATTTTTTAAAAAGTCTATTTAAATGATGAATTGTTTGATTGTACTCTATTGCCATTACTTTTAGTAGATTTTTATCGGTCGCTTGCTCTATGAAAAAAGAAGTCTTCTTTTAATTTTAATAAATAAATTAAATTTTTTTATTAAACAAATTTGTCAAATGTATTATATTAGAAAATCTTTTTTTTAATGAAACTGATAAATTTTACCATTTAAAAATCTATTTTTCACTATCCAGTAACTTTCTTGGAAAAAATTTCGATTTTGCATGATATCATTGATTGGTTCTTCATTTGCTAATTTAATGTTCGCTATTTTTTTCTTGAGTTTTCGAATTTCTTCAAAAGCTGCAACGGTTAATTCCATTTGATTCGCAATAATATTTCTCTCAAATTGATCTTTTGCTTTTAGATTCTCATATGCATTTCTACGTTCTTTCGTTTCTGTATCAAATTTTTTTTCAATCAGGTATTAAAAATTATTTTTAATTAAAAAAATACTTTTGAGGAAAAAAAATTACAATCACAATTTTTTTTAAGTAATAGAAAAGCGAATTTTAATTACTAAGATTCGAAAATATTTTCCAAACTTACTCCATTCATAGTCAGCAAAAACGTTATGAAGTTCTTGCCATGAATTTGTAATGCTCTTAATTTTCAATCCTTCTTCTATTTTTCGAATATCTTGAAAATCATTTGCCTGGGTTTCAGTTTTTCCTGTAGTAGAAAATTAATATTTCAGAAATAAAAAAAATAATTTCTCAATTTATTATTATTTTTTCTATTAATGTTACAAAAATTTAATTTAAAAAATCAAAGTCAAAATTCTTAATTGTATTATTGTGAAATACAAATATATTTTGCACTCTATTACCAAATAGAGTGCTTTTCACTTTATTCAAAGATTCGTCAAATTTTTGATTCATAATAAGCAATGTTGTTTGTAAATAAATAGTTTCTTCCTCATTGTCACAATTAATTTTATCCATTTTCATTTTAAATTCATTGAGAAAATTTTCCAAATTTGTTTCATACTTAAATTCCAATGACTCAAGACGTATTTTATGAATTTTCAAAAATTCGTCAATTTTTTCAATATGATCTCTTTCACTCATTTGATATTGCTCCTCGGCATTATCAATTGCGTCCAATAATAAACTGATACTATTTTTTAACAAGAAAAATTATATTTTATTTAGAAAAGATAATTACAATTATAAATAATAATTATTTATGAATATTATTATTATTATTATTAGAAGAAGAAATTGGAAGATTGAAAATATTTCTTCCAACTTCAAATTAAATTAGAATTGAAATTAAAAATAATTAATTATAAATTGAGATAAATTATGACAATTAATTAATGAATCGATTATTATTTTTTCTGTAATAGAATAAAAAAAATATTTGCCTATAATCTTTAAAGTCAAGAACACGATTGAATGTGTGCAAGGCATTTTGAATATTTTCCTTGATATTTGGCATTTTAATTTTCATCATTATTTCTCGCCACGATTGTTGAAGACGAATTGCGTTTTGTGATCCCAATTGAATTTCTCGTTTTAGGCGTTCCTTTTGAAAATTTTTCTTTCTCTCCTCAATATCAAGACGTTTCCTTTCCCTTTTTTCCACGACCTTAGCCTTCTTCTTTCCCCCTGTTTTTTTAACCATTTGAATTTCCATTCGAGTTTCTGGCTGTGTTTTTAATTGCATATATATGTATATGAAATTTTTCTTTAATTTATTTTTTATTTCCGTGAATTCCATTATTTTACGATATATGTTGTGTCACAGCAGAAAATAAATTTTTTTTTAAATATTCTTTATTTCTCAATAATAGGTATATATTTAGAAAATTTAATTATACATATCACAGTGTATCGATTTTATTCATTTAATTCCATAAATTTAATTTAATTTCGTAAATTAATTAATGATATAATTTGATTTTCCTGAATTTGTTCATTGCTCTCAAGTTAATTAATTAAATTTTCATTAAATAAATAAATATAGGTATATCACCTAATTATAATTATAGGACTAACAAATTATTTTATTATTAATTTCTATTCGTCAATATAAATATTATTTTTATTATTCTGTTATAATTGCTAATTATTATTAATTAATACTAAAAATTCTGTCACATCTGAACAGGTTAAAATAGAAAAAAATTAGTACAATTATTTTTGAATTTGTTGCTTACTTTCTGACGCATTTTTTGGGATTTCATTGTTAAACAATGTAGATTTACAATGTAGATTTCTTGTAAAAATAAATAATTAATAAAAAGAAGATTAAAAAGAATATAAAATTTACTTTCAAGTAAATATTGTACACTTTTTGACATTAAGTAACAGTATATTGTTATTAAAAATTGCCTTCTGCTGTCTTCGGATCATACATAAATAGTAATAAATAAAAAATAGAAAAATAAATAAATATTTTTGATTTTTAAATATTAAAAATATTTTTATACATATATTTTTTTGTTATAATTATAAAATTTTAGTAATTTTTAAAATCATGAATTATTGGTAAAAAAAATAAATAAAAGAAAATTAGAAACGAACAAATGTAATAATTATTTACAAATTATATTTAATAAACGTAACAATTAAATAACTTTATTTAAATATTATGAATTAAAATCGAAATATAAATAATAAAAATATTCTACATCATTATAAATGAATATTTTATCAACCTTGAAACTTCACACGTGTCTATATATGTATTTTATATCTTAAAAAAATACCGTTCAGCATCAAAATCTATTCCAATGTGAATGTGAGGCCACTGGTGGGTATAAATTTTTCGTATTTAGTATTTAGTATTTAGTCAGATTTATACCTATCAAAAAGAAACCTGTCTGCTCGATTTATCAAAATTAATTTATTTCCGTTTATTTATAAACAAAAAAAATAAACTTCCTCTCCGCAAATGTGAAATTTCAAAAGGGAAATAAGGATTTCTAAGCAAAAATGGTTCGTACATGTTTCTAATTGTTTGTGACTAAGGAAAAATAAAAACTTATTTGCTCTTATAAATTAGCATTGCTTTTTATTATTTAACAATAAATTAAATTTTTTAGTTAAAAGTTTTTTATTATTTTTGTTATTATTAAAATACATATAAAGGAAATTATCAACCTTCCAAGTCAATCAATAAAATAAAAAAGAAAAAACAATCCTTTTGACATTTTCGACAGCTCAGCTGTCCTTTTCAACAAATGTAATGTTTAATAAAATTAAAATTACAAAAATTTATCACAAATAATACAAGTAAAAAATAATATTTTTTTTATCGCAAACAAATTTTTTATTATTATTAATATGATTATTTAATTTCATTATTAGGATTACTATTTATTACTTTAAAATCTAAAATTGATGATAAAAATAATATTTACTGTTTAGTATTACAATAATTATTATTTGGAATTAATTTAGTTAATTGATTATTAAAAAGTAATTTTTAATAGTAATAACTAATATTTTCACTTTCTTTTGTTAAATTACTGTTAATTTATGTATTTCAGAGAAAGTTAATTTTGTAATATTACATAGAGACGTCGAAAATTGTATTTTTTTCTTTTTAAAAAAAAGAAGATGACGTTTGAGTGTAAAATATAAAAAAATTATTGGCTTTTTTTTCAATTTCACAGACTACTAATAAGTTTAAACTGGTAACAGTGATTTTTATCGTCGGAGTTTCCGTTATAATTTCGGAGGCTGTTGATCCATCGGGTAATCAATTTAATGCGCCTCATCAAATTCTGGAAAGTATTATACTTCATAGTGGGAGAATTCAGCAGAAACCCGAGCCAAACATTTTAACAGCGAGGTAAAATTTATCTATTTTATATATATAATTATAATTATATACATTTACACACGTGTGCGAATTCTCTTATAATTATCATAATTATTTACAATATCAATTTTAATATTCGTTATTTCTATTTATATTTTATTTAATTTTTACAATATTAATTTATTGCAATGTTATCAAATTTTAATTATCATATTTTTTTAATTTTACAATAAATTGGGTTTTTTCTATTTTAATCTTATTTTTATAAATATTATACTCAAAAAGTTCTTTTTATTGAAGTTTTAATTTAATAAATAAGAAATTAATTACAAAACTCAAAAAGTTTAGTAAATTTTGAAAGTTTGAAAATGGGAATTTTTTTTCATATAATTTATTAAAGTTGAGAAGAGGGGGGAGAGTATAAAAAAAATCTTATTGACAAGCTCCTAGGAGGAGATGAAATGTGAGAAAAAATATGGGAAACTTTATAAAAGTATTAAAAAAATGCAGCGAGACTAAATATAAAATTTTATTAAAACAAAATATAAAAATAAATAAATATAAAATAAATAAAAACCAAAAATAAAATATAAAACAAAATTAATGCTCTATAAATTTGAATTAGTAAAAATGTTTACTAATTTGAATTTAGAGAGTGAAAAATAATGAAAAAATAAAAATATAATATAAATTCACTGGTTATTAATTTTTCAGGATTACCAACAATGTCAAAGAAAACTCAAATCTTGAACTTCTTGGTGGATACAGACCATTATTTCCACCGTACTTCCCCTTGAAAAATCCGTATGCGAATACAAAGTTATATTCCGATCAGGAGTATTATACACGAGGAACGGATGAAATTCTCCTGGACAATGAAAATCAAAATTCGCAAAGTGTTACAACGCTTACAAAGCCAGCTGTTCCTCTGATACAAAACACGCAAATATTCTTTAAAAACAATAATAATAATAATAATAATAATAATAATGATATTTATAATAAGAAAGCTCGATTTTATCAAGAAGCAAGATCAAGCGTCAGTTCCATCAGCGCCACGCAAAATGTTCAATATCTTCCTTCTGTAATCACTACCCACTCAAATGTTAATAATCACAACCAACATCAAGTTACATTTATAACGTATCAATAAAAAGGACCTGATTTTCCACATTCATTTCAATCAATAATCGATATTCGTTTATTTCTTTTTCATTTTTCATATTTTAATAAAGTTACATTCAATTGCATAATAAAATCATAACAGTTTTTCCAAGGATATTAAATTGAGTAAAACGTTGCTTCGCAACTATATTTTGACACGTTTTTTGTCTCAATTTGATATCCTGACTGTTAACTTAAAAATATATAAAATTGCAACGAATTGAAACCAAAAATGTAGATCAAATCAAGAATTGATTCTTTTCAGTATCATAATTGCACAGTTTTCTTGAAATTATCAAACAATAAAATTTTATTCTCAAAGCTCTCGGAATTTTTTTTAAAGTACTCTCTTCTTTAATTTCCACAAGTTAACTTTTCCTGTTTTTGTTAGTGGCAGTTCGTCAACAATTTTGACAATAACGGGAAATTCAATGTCAGTAAAATCATTGACAATCTCACTGAGTTCTTTTTCAGTAATCTGCAAACCATACATAACTGTATTATTTAAATTATGAATTGTCTTCTCTTGAGAATAAAAAATAATATTAAAAATTGTTAAAAAATTACTATGAAGATTGCTATAAAAATACAAGATGCAATAAAGGGAAAAAAATATGTCCTTATAGTTTTTAAAATTTACCTTTGAACCAGAAAGGAGTACAACGAATGCAAAAAGTTTGTAAGTATCCGAATTTTCGTCAGACGTTAAAACGATTGTTTCAATAACTTCCGAATTCAAAAGTAAAGAACGCTCGATTTGCCAAAGTGGTATTATTTTTCCATTAGGCAAAACTTTACTGTTCTTTACTCTTCCAAGAACAAAAACCAATCCAGATTCCTCATAATAACCCAAATCACCAGTATGATACCATCCTGATGGGAAAAAGAACAAATCAAAATTTTTTAAGAGTAAAAGATCTCTTCTAAATTAAAAAAGAATTCAAAATTTCAATTTCTTGTAAGCACGACTTCAATTTTTATAAAGATTGCAGAAAAATTACTTTATTTTATTTTTTAATTTACTTTATTTGACAATGATTTTTAGCTTAAAAAAATTATAATCGGTTCTTTGATTAGGAGTTAGGTAAAGATTCAATACCTTCTGGATCGATAGCTCTTGCAGTAGCCTCAGGATGTTTGCAGTAACCCTTCATTAAGTACGGTGATTTAAAGCAAATTTCGCCAGATTCTTTTGGTCCTAAATTTTCACCCGATCTAACGTCAATAACTTTCATTGACATATTCGGATACAGAGAGCCACACGAGTTAGGATCAATTTTGTTCATTATTCCACGAGACATTGGTATTGACATTTCAGTTGCACCTGAAAAATTAATCTTTTCTCAATTTGCAATTATAAAGAATTCAAAATTTTTACCATATGTCTGCTCAACAATGCCATTCTTTGCCACTGTCATCATGAACTTAATCATTTCCGCTGGTAGTTTCACTCCATTGAATGTTAATGTTTTTAGTGAAGATCTGTCATATGTTTCTAGTTTACGCCACTTGAAAATCCTGTACATCATACCAAGGGAAAATCGCACTTTTGTAACCTAGGGATCAAAATTAGGAAAAGAATCAAGCTTTATTCATTTTAAAACCAACCGGAACTGTCTTCAGGGCTCGAACTACTATTTTAATCAAATTTTACAAAAGAATTCAATTATTTAAAAAAAATTTAATAAAATTCTACACTAACCTTTAATTATTTTCATAAAATAATAGAAATTTCACAGGAATTCAATTATTTGAAAATTTATTGATAAAATTCTTTATGAGAATTGAACTTTGAGAAACATGCAATTCTTTAATAAATTATTTATTTTTGTATTTAAATAATTGAACTGTAGTAGAATTTTTTAACAAAAATTGATTTAAAAATGAATTTCAGTTAAAATTTTAAATAATAATTGAATATTAAAAGTAATATAGCGTGAATTTTAAGAAATAATAGAATTTTTAAATTAATTTTTTTGAAAAAGTTTAATTGTATTTTTTAAAAATTATTTCAAGTTTTTATTTTCTAATATTTATTTAATTGTAGAATTTACGAATAATTAAAAAATCGTAAAATTCAATACCTATTGTAAATAAATAAATTAGAAAATTGTTTTCAGGGGTTTTCATAAAATTCTATGCAACATTCAATTCATAGGAATTTTAATAAATTTCTTTGAAAAATTCAGTTATTTTTAGGAATTTTAATAAAATTCTAATAATTTCTAATAAAAACTGATTTAAAAATGAATTTCAATTAAAATTTTAGATTTTGTAGGAATTAATTAATCTCTTACCTTATACTTTTGAATCAATTGAAAAGCCTCGTGTAAATCGTAACTAGTCTCATTGATAACGATTCTCGTGGTAAAATTCAAAACATCTGACAGCATAACCCTCAGGCCAATTAGCCAGTAAATTGGCAAATAGACCAACGATACGTCATTACTCGTAGTTTCTTTATTCATATTATGTACCAAAAGACCTTCCATAATTGCCTTGTAGGAGTGTGAAAGAATTTTCGAATCACCTGTCGTCCCGGACGTTAATGGCAAGATACAATCGTCGTTTGGATTTAATGGTGCAGTAGGAGAAAATTCATTCACTTCATGTGATGTCGATTCATTGAGAATGTCATTTATGTAATAATAATCAAACACTTTAGTGTAAGTTATAATTTTCACATTTAAATTCATTTCGATTGCAACTTCACTAAATATTTTCAGTTCCTCCACTTCGGTGAATATAAATTTTGGCTTTAGAATTTTAAATAGATATTTGGTCATTTCTGTAATATTTATTTAATGTACAGATAGGATAGGAAAATCCATTTTTTCATGTTAAACATTTTTTCGTATGTAAAATATTTGAATATTTATAAATTGTAAATTTACCATTTACCAGCAAGATTAATATTTGGTATTTATAATTCAAAAAAAGAAGGATGGTAAAAACATACGAATTTGTATTCCCTTGTAGCCAAAAGCAAGTGTAGAGCCGTTGTAGAATGTTGCTAAAATTGGAATGTAAGAATTCATTCGATTATGCGAGCAATTAAAAACTATATCATTGGGACCTAAGCCATGTTTCTTCAGCCAAATAGCACAACGGACACTATTCTCAGACATTTTTTGATAAGTTGTTGTTGTATCCGTTATAGCATCAATCTAATTTTAAGTGTAAGCGATAAATATAATAAAAACGATAACGAGTGGAATAAAATTTACAAAATAAATCATACGCAAAATTATATGATCTGAAAATAGTGAAAATTCTAAGAAAAAAATACAAATTCCAGGCAGTTTAAATTACAAAAATGCGGTTGAAAATTTATTAGTCACTTTATTATAAAAAGTTAAAAAAAATCATAAGTTATTAAAAATTGTTATAAATAATTTTATTATTAAACAATAAAGAAAAAAAATTATAAAACATGATTATCATTTTTTATTTCTTCTTTCAAACTTATTAAAAATTTATATTCACCTGGCCGATAAATTCCGGTTTACTGTTCAAAGTATCAAAAAACATTTTTCCCAAATTAACATTTCCTATTTCAAATACATGTTCACTTCTCTTCATTATTCCATTATTAATCGTAAAATTTCGAGAATCCTAAAATTTATTCAATTCATTCAATTCTATTAAAATGTTTTTATAAATTGTCTATGATGACTAAAAATTTTTTATATACCATTTTTATTATGTCTTTTCCTAAAAGTATGTCTGACTTTTCTGTCAATAAAATTCTTTTAGTAAAAACTGAAATTCCTTTGAGTATTAGTTTGTGAAAATTTTCCTATTACATTGTAAATTATCTTTTTATTAAATGACTTTGATTCTCTGACTCTCAAAAGAGTAGTGTCATCAGGTATTTTTCATGTAATCTCTTATCATTTATATATGTTTAATTTGCATCATGTGATCAGATACAGAATATTTACTTTATTTTTTTCTTTTGAAACTAATCGGATTTGATGTAAACAACTATGTTTTGCGAGGAAATTTTATAATGAAAAATCACAAATTTATTTTTCTATAAAAAATGTATTCTCGTTTTAAAATTATTTTAATATATTTAACAAAACAACATTTCTTTAAAAATTTTTTAAATTTGAAATTAATAACAATTTACAATTAATTTAGAATTACTTAAAATTTTTGGGTAACAAACATTAAATAGTACTGCGACTGTTTGTGTATGTTTATTTTTAATCGAGTAGTTTTAGCAGTTCTCCAACTTTAAATTTCCCATTAGATGTCATTGGTATAGAATCGATAATTTTCACTATAACTGGTAATTTAATGTGACCGCAATTCTTAGCAATTTCACTGAGTTCGCTTTCTGTGATCTAAAAATAAAAATTTTTTTTGTTAAACTTGATACATTTTTTTTGAAAAGTGCAGAAAACGAGAAGAATCTCCAGTTATGATTGCTGGGAGTTTCTTTTAAACAAAAGGATTTCTTTTTTTATTTACCAGCGAACCTGTAAGCAAAACAACAAATGCAACAATTTTTAATGGGTTACAGCGCAAACTTCCACAACTTCCGAATTTAACAATAATCCACGTTCGACCTGCCAAATCGGGGGAACTTTTCCATCAACTAGGACAGAATAAATTATTGTTTATTCTTCCATGAAGAAATGTTAATTCATTCTCATTATAGTAACCCAAATCCAGTATGGTACCATCCTGTACATTAATGATTTTTTGTCTGATTTAAAGTCGTGTCTGCTGTTTGATGTAAGCTTCTACTGAACAGCAGGCATGACTTGGAAATAAAAAGAATTAAATTTTAAACGAAATAAAAAGAAAAATAAGATTTCAAAGACAACCTTCTGAATCTACAGCTTTTGCAGTAGCTGCTGAATTTTTGTAGTAGCCCTTCATCATGTACGGTGATTTAAAGCAAACTTCACCCGAATTTTTTGGTCCCAAAGTTTTTCCCGACTTGATGTCAACAATTTTCATTGACATATTCGGAAATAACGAGCCACAAGAGTTTATATCAATGTCATTCATTATTCCACGACACATTGGTATTGTCATTTCAGTTGCACCTGAAAATTAATTTTTTCCAACTCTTGGTAAAATTTGAACTTTGTGTCAATGCAGCAATAACATTTTTCGTACTGGTCATGCAGCTCCAGAACTTGAAGGAAAATATGAAGCATTGTTTCAATATTGACCACAGGAGCAATATTGAAACATTTATTTGAAAAAATAATTCATACCGTATGTTTGCTCTACTATTCCATTCTTTGGCACCTTAATCAAACCATTAATGATTTCTGGTGGTGATTTTACACCATTGAATGTTAATGTTTTTAGTGATGATCTATCATATGTTTCCAGGTTCGCCCACTTGAAAATCCGATACATCATACTAAGGGAAAATCGTACCTTTGTCACCTGAATAATAGAAAAATGATGTTGCACAAACAATACTAAATAATGAAAAGCTTCATCCAGATCATATTTTGATTCACTGATGACAATTCTCCTTGTGAAACTTAAAACATCACCCAGCATTACTCTTAGGGAAATCAGCCAATAAAGCGATCAGCCAAGTAAATCAATGATATATCATTAGGTTTTTCCCCTTCCTTCTTCATAGTGTGAATTAGAAGACCCTCCACAATTGTTTTATATAAGAATCCAGACGATTATAACAATTGGTGAATACAACATCGTGAGAATTAATTCCCTGCTTTTTTAACCACAATGCACAACGAACACTATTTTCTGCCATTTGTCCGTATGTTGTCTCTTCACCCGTAACTGCATCAACCTATTGTGAAAAAAAATTAATTTCAAGAAGAATCAGAATCTAAAAATATTTTCCTGCATTTAGAAAAAGAGAATAGTAATTTTCATTGAACCAAATGAAAAATGGTTTTACGAAACATAAATTTAATTTTTCTAAATTTATATTAGAAAAGAAAAGTTCACCTGTCCCAAAAACTCAGGTTTGCTTCTCAGTGCATCCAAAAACATTTTCCCCAAATCAGCGTCGCCAGCATCAACGTCTACTTTTTTTCCCTATAAAATAGGGGAGAGTGGGGCAAGACGGGGTTCACAAATTAAGCAAAAAAAAAGAGAAATAAGAGAAGTTAAGAAAACTACTAAAATCAAGACTGAATAAAATAAGAGTGACCAAAAAGAAAAAAGCTTGTCAGGTTAAATCATCAATTAGCGATGGTAAAGTGGAAAATACACCTTGTCTCTATTGCAATGGTTATTATTTAGACTGAAATGAAGGCTGGGCTGCTTTTGTTGTCTACGGCCAATGGGCTCACTGCAGTTATGCATGAAGATGAAGATGCAACTTTTACTTGTAAAATTTGTCGACAGAAATAGGTTGTTTTTTGTTAGTACCCCATCTTACCCGCCGGTGGGGCAAGATGGGGAGATTTGCAATTTTTTCAATATTATTAATTATAAGCTTTTTTAAGAAACAGTTCGCCTTTGTACGCCTTTTTTACGAAAGACTGATTCCCAAAGATGATAATTAAAAATAATAATAAAGTATATATTCGATAATTTTGGTTTTTTTGCGCTTTAAACCTTAAGTACCCCGTCTTGCCCCACTCTCTCCTACCATCAAATTCCTTTGAATCCTAATATTCATACAATTATTAATTGGTAAAGTGAATAAAATAAACTAATTAACCAGGGTTGCCACAAATATTTAATTTTCTTTTTTAAATAAATATTTCTGTAATGCACTTTTACTTAACTTTTTTTACTTTAACTTTAATATATATTTAAGAACTAATAAATAAATAAACATAAATTGAGTGCGACAATTTTAAATTAATATTTAATTTTCGTTGTGTATTTGTTATTACGAACTAAATACTTTACCATTTTATAGAATTTTTCCTTTGTAATTAATTGCGGAATAACTTTTTATCACAGATAAATATTACTTTCACTTTCGAAAAAAGGGATATAATATATATAATTGTCTTCTCTTCAGGAAGATGTTAATACTGAAGAAAATTGTAGGAAAATTCAAAATCGCAGTGTATTCAAGTGCGAATATAAGAGAAGAATGCTTTTGTAAGAGGAATAATAAACCAAAACAAAATATAGTACTTATTGTTAGAAAAACACTTACATCTGAAAATAAATTTGTTTTAATAAACTGTATGAAATTGGAATTCTTTCGACTTGTTCTAAAAACTATGTAAAGAAAAAAAATTATTGTTGTTCATTAAAATTTTATTTCAGCATCAAAATTGAAAGTAAAAAATTGTTTCTTTAAAGATTTGATAATAATTATATTAAATTATATTCAGTTTATAATTATAGAATTTGTTTAAAGTTGCTTTATTAGTTCACCTATTTGAAATTTTCCATTAGATGTCTTTGGTATTGAATCAACAATTTTCACAGTAATCGGTAATTTGACATCACTGCAATTTTGAGCAATTTCGACAAGTTCATTTTCCGTTATCTAGAAATGGGAAATTAAATCCATTTTTTTAATGACACCTTCAGAAAAGAAATAATAGAAAAACTAAATATCAGCAGACGCTAATTAACATTGTCTTTTAGAAGAGAATTTTTCACTTTAACCCTTTTAAAAGTAACAAAAAAACTTTATTTATTATTTTATTACTAATCTACCTGCGCATTTGGAAGAAGGGCAACAAATGCGAAAATTTTGAAAGTGCCCAAACTGTCATCTCCGTTAGAGAAAACGCAAGTTTCCAAAACTTCCGCATTACAAAACAATGCACGCTCAAAACACCATAGAGGAACAATATTTCCGTTTGATAATACAGTACAACCTTTGACTCTTCCTTGAAAAAATACTAATCCATTTTCGTCAAAGTAGCCTAAATCTCCTGTATGGTACCATCCTGCATAATTTTTTTCAATTGTGCTTTTTTAATATAATGGTTGTCAATAAAAAAGAGAAAGAGAAAAGTCCTCTCATGTAAAGCATTAAATTTAGAGGAATCGACTAAAAATAAAATTACTTTTTTTAAGGTGATAAAAAAAAAGTTGAGAAAATTCAAAGACAACCTTCAGAATCGATAGCCTCTGCAGTAGCTGCTGGATTTTTAAAGTACCCTTTCATTAAGTAGGGTGATTTAAAGCAAATTTCACCCGCTTCTTTTGGTCCTAAATTTTCACTCGATTTAACGTCAATAACTTTCATTGACATATTCGGATACAAAGAACCGCAAGAGTTTATATCGATTTTATTCATTATTCCACGACACATTGGTATTGACATTTCAGTTGCACCTGAAAAATTAATCTTTTCTCAATTTGCAATTCATTTTAGTTATATTTAGTGCAGTATTAGTCTGTTTATTTGATGCAGCACCCAAATTATTTTATCTTCGCTTTTGGAAATTATTTCCAAAGAAGATAGAATAATTTGTTTAATTGAAATTTGAAATACTCCTTTTATTCAGGGCTCGAACTTCACGGAGAAAAAAGATTGTTATGTTGATAAGATGATTATTATTATTATAGAACTAACAAATTATTTTGTTGTCCTTACAATTCAAATTTTTTCTAATAACAATAAATCTGTTAAGGCAACAAAATTGAAATTGAAATTTTGAAGAGAATTTTTAAATATTTTTGAACATAATTGAATTTCTGTACACATTGGTAACTTCTATAAAATTCTCCAAATTATATCGTACAATTTACAAACTTTTCGTCCTTTTTTATACAAATTACTAGCTCGAGTCCTGCTTTATTCTATTTAATGATTAATGTTTATTATTTCACACCATATGTTTGTTCGACAACTCCATTCTTCACAACTTTCATCAAAATTTGAATCATTTCCGGTGGTAATTTAACACCACTGAATGTCAATATTTTCAGTGTTGATGTGTCATATGTCTCTAGTTTCTTCCATTTGAAAATCCTATACATAATGCCAAGAGAAAATCGCACTTTTGTCACCTAGGGAAAAAAATACTTTCTATTTCTTTTCTATTTCTAAATAAACATTTTTTGTAGATTATAAACGAAGAGGTTCTCCTATACCTTATATTTTTCGATCAATTGAAAAGCCTCATCTAAATTGTGGTTTACTTCACTGACAACAATTGTTGTTGTAAAATTTAAAATCTCACTCAGCATCACCCTAAGGGCGGCCATCCAATAAAGAGGCAAACAAATGAGTGACACACCATTTTTCTTATCTTCATTGCTATTGAATACTAGAAGACCTTCCATAATTGCCTTATAGGAGTGTGAAAGAATTTTTGAATCACCTGTTGTACCGGACGTTAATGACATGATACAATCATTATTCGGATTTGATGGCGGCTTGGAAAAAAATTCATTCACTTCATTCGATGTCGATTCATTGAGAATATCTTTCAAAAAGAAGTTGTCTGATACTTTAGTAAATGTTACAATCTTTACATTTAAATTTTCTTCCTTAGCGATTTCGACAAATAATTTCAATTCCTCCTCCTCGGTGAATATAAATTTTGGCTTCAACAATTTAAAGAGATATCTAGTTCTTTCTGCAATATTACATAAAACAGTTGTACTAACTTTGTATACATCATGTTAGTGCAGAAAAGATAAAAGTCAAATTTCATTGATTAAGTTTTAAAGAAAGAAAAAACGAAGGAGAAAGAAACGTACGAGGAAAAATTCCTTTGTGTCCAATAGCAAAAGTAGCACCATTGTAGAATGTTCCCAAAATTGGAATGCAAGAGTCTATTCGATTATGACAACAAGTAAATACGACATCATTAGAACGTAAACCATTTTTTCTCAACCAAATTCCACATCGTACGCTTTCATTAAAAATTTTTCCATACGTCACTTCTTCACCCGTGTTTGCATCAATCTATTTTTCAAAAAGAAGAAATTATTTCTTTTGAAAATTTAAAATTACTACTCCCACAGTCCCACCTACTGTAATATTTTTCAATTTTTTACTTTAATTTTTCTATAAATTTTACTTTGAATTTACTATAAATTTTATAAAATTTTACTATAATAAATTTCATAATAAAATTTTAGTAATTTCTTTCGAACAATGTTATGATTATTTCTTGATGTTTAAAAATTGTAAAACATACCTTTCCGATAAAATTTGGTTTGCACTTTAGCGTATCAAAAAATAATTTTCCCAAATTAGCACTTCCCACCTCCAATACTTTATTATTACTACTGATTATTTTATTTTCAATCGTAAAATTAACCATTTTTTCAATTTGAGAAATTTTTATCCTGAATTTATCAGCAATACTTTACACTGTACTGGTAAACCACTCTCATCGACTTAGTTTATAATAATTTTTAATAATACATTTTGTTTTTATATTCCTTGAAATAACAGGTATTTCTAATCTATTTTTTTTAATTATTACTTTCAATATTTAAACTAAACTTTGTTAGAATGAGTAAATAGTAAACGAGTTTTATTTTTATCTAATTGATGTATATAAATAAGCTATGAACTTTGAATAAATTTATTTCATTGTTTCAATATAATAAACAATAATATATATATTATATTCATTAATTTCTTATTTAATTTACTATACGTGGGTTGAAAATTAAATAATAACAGTAGTAGTAGTAGTAGTGTTATAAAAAATATTGTCCTAAACGTAAAACATTGATTTTAAAAACAACAGTTAAATTTTATATAATTGAGGAAGGAATTTTTTTATTGCTATATAAGAAGACTAGACTTCCGTCTATAATCTGCATGCTAATGAACCTTTTTTTTCTACTATCGCCCCAGAGGTTGCAAACTTGTCAAACAGGTGGTTCAAATTTTATTGGCGCTATTTTAAACTGAGCGAGGACATTCAAATCAACGCCTGTGCTTTTACATTTTATACCTATACACATGTAAAAAATATATGTATATAATATTTAAAATATTACCAGGAATATAAATAATTGTTTTTTATAAACTTATTTTTTGGAAAATAATCAATAACAAATTTTTATGTTAATTATCTAAATATTATTACAGTTTTACAAAAATAAAATTTTTCAAAGACAAACCATTTAAAAATCCTTTGAAATTTAATTATTTCTAAAAATTCATTATTACAACGCTTCTAATATTTAATTGTTAACTAACATTTTTTTTACATTCATTTTTAATTCAATTCTTGTTAGAATGTTCTAAGAGAATTAAATTATTTAAATACAAAAATAAAGAATTCATTGAATAATTGATTATTTCTTAAAATTGAATGTTTACAAACTATTTTATCAAAATTTAAAAAAATAATTGCATTTTTTTAGTGAATTTATTTTAAATTTTCAAAAAATGTAGTGAAAATTGTTATTTTAAATAATTAGAAATCTGTGAAAATGTTATTATTTATGAAAATAATTAAAATTTTGGATTCGGGTTGTAAAGAATTTTATTAAAATTTTTTTCAAATAATTGAATTCTCTTTTGTGAAATTTTATTAAAATAGTAGATAATAAAAATAATTGAATTTTAGCGAAGAATTTCGTTATTTGTAAAAATAATTTAATTCTTGACAAAAAAAAGTTCTTAAAATTTTTGAAAATAATTGAATCGTTTTAAAGAATTTTATTAAAACTAAAATTGTTTAAAATGTTTCTAAGAATTCTATTAAAGTTTTTGAGAATAATTTCTATATTTCAATTATTAGCGGATTTAAATTAATGTAATTTGTGAGAAAAAAGAAAAAAGTAGCTTTTAATGTCAGAAATCTGGAAAAAGTATCAAAATAGTAGCAAATTGTAGAAAAAGTAATAGCTTTGCAATAAAAAAAACAAGTGACAAGTTTACTGTATTTATTTATCATGAAGCAAGAAGACAAATGATGACATTTCTCCTATTTTTAAAATCTATGCACATTGGCATTGAATTTCTACTTTTCCAGGTCTATTTGCGCAAAATCAAAATTTTAATATATTTAATAATTTCCTCACTTGGGAAAAAAGTATCTTTTTCTTATGAAACTAAACAAAATTATGAAAAATTAGTCGGAAGATGTTATTTTAAATAAAAAAATGAATATTAGTTAGGAGTTAAGGAAAAAGAAAAATTAATCTAAAAAGAAATAATTAATTAAATAAGCAATTAGTTTAAAACAGTTTAAAAACAATGAGTTATAAAAGAAAAATATTTTGATGAAAAATTAAAATTTGCCACGTGCAGTTTAATAAAATGTATCTATTTCCAAGTGAATATTATTAATATACAGCAATCGAGCTTTTAAAATTTGATAATAGAAGCAAATAAAATACAAGGGTTCAAGGTGATGTCTTATGGTATATATCCTTTTTTTTTTAAAATATAAAAGTATCAGGTAGTATATGCAAATTTAAAAATCTTTTACATCTATTCGGTAACGCCCACTTTGTACGTTTGACAAAAATTCCTTCATCAAATATTTGATTCTAAAATATTTTCAAAGAAGAAGAAAAAAAGTGATGCGTGGATTATAGTTTTTATTTCTTTCCAACATAAAAGAAAAAAACTAATATTAATTTCATTCAAAGATCGAATTCAATTCATTCATCAAACTTTATAATTTCATTCATTCATATTCAAAGCTACTTATTATTATTATTGTTAACTGTTAAGTAATAAAGCAATTAATGAAAACTATCCCCAAGTATAATTATTGTCACCCAGAGAAAAATTTTATTTAAACCGCAAATATATTTTATTTCAGTTAAATAAACGTATATCATCTTTCCATTTAAAATTTTCAAAAAATTCAAATTCAAACCTTAATTAAACAATTTATAAAAATATTGTTATAAAACAGAAAGATATCGTTTGCTCCGAGTCGAAGACTCGGAGTGATCAATATCTTTCTGTTTAAAACAAAGTATAAAATTATTATTTCATATATAATGAGAATATTGTTATTTCAATTTTAAAAAAATTAAAAAGTATAAAAAATTTCGATATCTTAAAATTCCATAAATTTTTTTCCCAATATTTTAGGGGAAAATGATGGAAATAAAAATTCATTATACGACATTAAATAACTTGGAAAAAGCATCTGTTAAAATTTGTTACGTAATCACCAAATAGTTGGGTGATAAAATCATTCTTAAAAAATTTTTTGATTAATTTCTGTAATGATGAGAGTTTAGGATAGGCGATGGGAAAAATTGCCCTTGGGTATATGTATATGTATAAATATTATACCTTCAAAGAATTTGGCTAACTTTCTCTAATTTTATGGATAATTATGATAAGAGAAATTTCTCTATTTCACTAAAGAATATATTTAGTATGCATAATTTCGATAGATTATTAGAATAATATTATAAATGATTTGATTAAATCAAAACGCGTCAAAAATTTTTGCAAAGAATTCCTCCCAAAGAATTTTTATTTGACAATCTGCCGGAGAAAAAAATAAAATTAAAAAAGTGAGCGTTAAAAATGTGTTTCATATTAGCTTAATTTATATCTAAGCACCGCATAATCGATTAGAAAATATAATGATTAATATAATTAAATTTGAAAATTAGTATTCTTACAAAATGTAATATTCGTTAATTAATAATTACTATCACACATTCTACTAATTTTATAATTATATACAAGACAATCGATAATAAATCATGTTAATTAATTAATTACATAATTAATTGCTTCATTTCACACGTATGACAATTTTCAAAACTTTATTTTATAATTTTTTTATAATTTTTTTATAATTATTTGTTGTTTATTTAATTAGTTATTTTATGCAAATTCCAAAATTTTTTATTTTCAAATTTAAATCTTTAAATAATTTTATAATCAAAATTAAAAAAAATCACTTGTTAAGTACATAATTAATTATTATTGTTTATATTTTCAAAAATTTTAATAAAATTTCATGAAAGAATTCAATTATTTTCTAAAATTTTAATAAATCCATCGAAACAATTCAATTATTTTTTAAATAGTAAAGTCATTGTAAAAATTCAATTATTTTCAATTATTTTAATTTTTTCCCTCTCGTTTCATTCTGGTTGTTTAAAATCTTTTTTTATGTATAAAATTCCTTAAAAAATTCATTAATTTTCAAAATGTTTAATAAATTTCTTGAAAAATATTCAAATACCTTTTTTAAAACTTAAAAAATTTCAATTATAATTTCAAAATTTAATTTTTTTAAGAATAATTAAAATAATTCTAAAATTGAGTTAAACTGAAAAATTCAATTATTTGCATTAATAATTTAAAATTCTTCGGAGGAATTCAATTATTTTTAATTCAATTTTAATAGAATTTCTCGAAAGAATACAATTATTTTTAAACATATTAAATAAAATTCAATTATTTTTATAAATTGTAAAATTCTTCGCAAGAATTCAATAATTTTAAAATTGAATTTATTACAATCAGAGCGAATTTATTATAAAAATTTATTTATTTAATTTACAATATAAAAAATGATAATTGTAATAAAATTATGCACCCAGAAAAAAGATATTTTTGACTCAGAGCCAACTATACTTTTTATTTGATTCAAATAAATTTTATTTAGTTTAAATAAAATTTTATTTGGTTAAAATAATATTTTTCTCTGGGTGTAAATTTAAAAATAATATTATTGTAAAAATAAGTATACTTACACCAAAAAAATTTATTTCATTCAAATAAACGATTACTTGAAAATAATTTTATTTTATAAAAAAAATATTTTTCTAATTTTAATTTATAATAAAATTATTAATTTTTTTTTAAATTTTGATTTTACTGAAGAAGCTTCGGCTTGTATGAGTTCAAGGTCATTGTTGAAAGTGTCTCCCCATTTTTTCATCTTACATTATACATATCTTCTTTATAACTAAAATATTGAATTTGACGATGCTGGGAAACAGGAGGAGTCCTTCTCTCTCCCAAATTAGGAAAAGGTTTTCAGGAGTAGGGATACTACACTATCATCTTCCTATAAAGTCTTCCGTTCCTGTTCAATTCAGCGACTTTTAGCGTGAAATTCGTCAAGGTTTGTTTCCAACAAAAAAAAGGGGAAAAAATCTACTTTTTTTCCTTCTTCTTCTTTTTTACTATAACGTGAAATAATATATAGAAGCACTTTAATACTCAAGATTAGATAAATAGAAAAAAACTGTGCGATTCAGGAATTTGTGCGCGATCAAAGTGATTCTTTTTTTCTATATTTCATCGAATTGTGAATAAATATTAAATAAAAAAAAATTGAAATCGAATACATAAATTTAAGAAAAGAATTATTTTATCAGATAAATAATAATTTTCTATTAATTTCGTTCTTTTACATTGCTTTTTTCCGCAAATATTTTGTGTATTATTTTAATGGTGATTCAAAGTGCGAAAATATAGTAAAAATTATTTAATGGGACTAGATTTTCATGAATGATATAGAAATGTTTTATTTGATATTCGAAACTATTTATTATTTTTAGTAAATATTGAAAAATAATTGTCTGTACAATAAAACTTGAAAACAATTTTTGAGCTTGAATTTTTAAAAAATATTTCAAATTTTAATATTTTTAATTTTAAATATTTTTTTCTAAATATTTTTCGTTTTATAAATTTTATTATCTAAATATTTTCTATTTTAAATAATTTCCATTTCAAATATTTTTCATTTAAATATTTTTCATTTAAATATTTTTAACTTGAAATATTTTTACTTTTAAACAATGAAATAATCAAAAAATTTACATAATCTTGAAATCATGTTTGAACAAATAATGTTAATTTGTTATTTAAAATTTTTTGGTGTTTAAAAATCTTTTTGCTTTTTTAAGTAAAAAGTTGATCTTGATTTTCGTGCAAATATGTAAACTTTGTCACTTATTCGAATGGACACGTGTAAATATTTGAAGAATGTGAAGAACCGCTATTAATATTTCGTAATTTAGACTTTCGAATTTCGCGGGCTAATCTTCATTTTACGCCGGATTTTTTATTGCATAATATTTATACATAGAGCAAAAAAAAAAAAAAATACTCACGCGCAAAACTTGATGAGAATTTTAAAAGAAATATATCGAACTACTGACAATTTTTTACTTTCGCGAAAAGAAAAAATAATACACAAAAAAAGTAAACGACTTAATACGTTTATTTAAATTCTTCAAAAAATATTAATGGCTTCTATAAAATTTAAATAAATAATTTTTTTACAATATTAAAATCAGATTTAAAAAGCAAATAAAATATCAAATTAATAGTGCTTTTTATTTTACGAAATTTACATTTTTTAATGTAAATGAAAATTATTAATAAAAATGAAAAAAAAAATGTTAATGAAAATAAATTTTTTCAGATGCGTTTCCTGTACATATTTTTGGTAGCTGCCTTCCTAGCTGTGGCCTATGCAGCCACAAATGCTGACACAGAAACAGAAAAAAATGTGGAACAAGTTCCTCATTCTCGTCAGAAAAGAACAATTCTTTTGAAAAAAAAACTTGCACTTCTAGGAGGAGCATTACTTGCTAAAAAATTAATTGCAGGCAAATTGTTATACAAAGGGTATGTATAAATATATCAGTAAAAAAAATTTTTTCACAAAATTTTTACGTTGATAAAAATTAACGAGTTTACAATTTTAAAAATAATTAATTAAAAAAAAATTATTTTGTATTTTATAAGCCCGTTAATATTAAATAAATAAAAGATAGATTCAGTTTGAATTTCAAAGAAAAACATTTATATTCCTAAAATTACAAACGTTCAAATGATGGACAATTTTTTTTTGGTCCCTTTTAATATTAAAAATTATTTTGTTATTAATTACTTAAAAAGTTAATTCTTAAAGTTAATGTTTAATTTACATTGTTAATCATTTTCCATTTCAGTATCTATAATTAATTATTTAATATTGAAACAAACAAATTTTTCGTTCAGTTAAACATTTAAAACTTTGAGGAAATAAAAATTTATTTCGAAAAAACTGAGAAATAATAAATAATAAAGAGTTAAAAAATTTGGTTAAAAAAAAATTGAAAAAGTGTTGAGTGAATTTAATTTTTATTAATTAATTTTCAGCTTCGGTGGAGGATATGGCGGAGGATATGGCGGAGGATACAATGGATACAATGGATACAATGGATATAGTGGATATGGAGGAAATGGTGGATATGGAGGACCAGGAGGTTATTATGGAGGAAATGGCTATAATGGCTATAATGGAAATGGCTATAGCGCAGGTTTTGGAAAATCGTTTGGCGCAAGTTATGGTGTACAATTTGGAGGAAATGTTGGTGCCCAATTTGGTGGCAACGGAGGAACCAATAATGGCCAATATGGTCCACCCCCACCCCCTAGTGTATACTATCCACAAAGCAGCAGTAACAGCTATGCCTACGCTGGCTATTCTAGGTAAAAAGAAAATTATAATCCAAATTTTTAAATATTTTAAACAAATAATCGTTTTCTACTATTGTTATAAAAAAAACTTTATTTTTATAAAACTTGTTTCATTTCAGATAATTTGAATTAAAAATTATGCTCTTTCTTTTTGTTTGCAGATAAAATTATCTCCATGAATGTTATTTAACAAAAAAATAACAAAACATCATCTCTTGCCATCGAGAAGACTTGATATAACATAAAAATAATAATTCAAAAACTTTTCAAACGCATCTTGTATTATTATTGTAAAAAATCATTTTCACGCTCATAAAACTTTTTTTATTAAAGTTCAACAATGTCTCATTCTTTACTATCCCTATCGAAAAATTTATACTATTGTCAAACTAAACTACGATAAAATTAACTAAAATAAAATTAATTACTATTAGTTATTTATTTATTTTTTATTATTTATTCTCAATAAAATTACCTAATAATTAATAAATTATATTCTCATAATAGTAAGAAAAAAAAATAATTTCTTTTGAAAAAACAAATAAAACTTTCTAATACGAGAAAAAAGTTAATGCAACAATAAAAAAGAAACTCAGAAAATTTTGTTCAGAGAAATTTTTTATGCTTATCAAAGAAATTATTTGTAATAATTATATATCAAGATAAGTTACACCCATTTTATTATTTTTTGAGGATACTTTGTAATATTTTACAACATCTGGAAAAAAGATACATAAAGGGGTAAAAATATTTTAAAAATGTAGAAATGAAGTGAAAAAAAATCTTTTTTTCCCATGCATTACAATAAATCTTAGAGATTCATATTGGAATCCCATTGTATATTTGAAGAAATAAGAAAATTTTCGTGTGTGACATCAATAAAAGCGAAAGTGATTATTGTTGCGTACACCATAGTGACAGTAATAGAATTTTAGAAAAGTAGTCACGAATAACATTAACATTAGCCGTATGAGAGAAAGAAAGAGAGAGAGAGAAATGGGAATGTACAAATTAGTGACAATTGTATTTTATTTTATTATATACGAGGCATTTGATTTTGATGTCTATAGACAGAATTTGATGGGTAAAAATCTTTGCGGCAAGGTCAGAACAAAGCCTCATGCGGTTCACACACATGCTTTGACACGCGATCCAAGGCAAGCAGGGTCTTTTCTTTCTCTTCTTTTTCCTTTTTTATTCTTAAAAAAAGTTCATTCACAAGTTATGACTGATTTCTTATGTTATTAACACAGACCATCTTTTCTTCCGTTTTCATTTTTATCTTCAAGCATTTGCTTTTATGTGAAGTAAACTTTTAAACTTTTTATCAACAATAATAAATTTGTTGGCTTTTCTTTCCCTATTTTTAATATAGGGAAGATTAATAATGTTTTTTTAATTTTTACAAGAAAATTGCAAAAATAAAAAAAGTTTTACATAAAATTGCAAAAATGGAAAAATTATTTCATGAATATGGAAAAATAAAAGAATTTTACACAAAATTACAAAAATCTTCTATTTCTATCAATTAAAATAAAAATTATGTTACATATTGCTATAATAATAATAATTTTGTATTCTATTAATAATAATAATAATAATTATATTAGTTATTGTTTATTAATATATTTGCTTTTGTTATTTGTTAAAATCATTTTTAATTTTTATTACAAAATTATTTTCAAATATTAATTTTAATTTTAAAATAATATCAGATTCAAAATTTAAAAAGATACAATTATTAACTAATTTACTAAATAATTAGACTTGTTTATTGCCTTCAAAAACTTTAATAAAATTCTTATCAATATTTCAATTATTTTTAATACAATTTCAATAAAATTTCTCAAAAGAATTCAATTATTTTTTAAAATTTGATAAAATTTTTTCGCAAAAATTCAATTATTTTTAAAAACATTGTAAAAATGAGAATTGAAATACAATTTTAATTAAATTCCTCGAAAAATTCAATTATTTCTTAAAATATGATAAAATTCTTTGTAAAAATTTAATTAGGATTTCGAAAAATTTGTAAAAATGAGAATTAAAATATTTTCAACTTAATTTTAATTAAATTCCTTGAAAAATTCAATTATTTCTTAAAATTTGCGAAAATTTTTATCAAAATTTAAATTATTTTTAATACAATTTTAATAAAATTTCTCAAAAGAATTTAATTATTTCTTAAAATTTAATAAAATTCTTTGTAAAAATTTAAGGAGATGTGAATTGGTGTTGACGAGAATAAAATTAGTTAGTTTTTAGTGTAATAAATGTGTTTTTTCTTTCTTGCTGGTCTAAAATTATATATTTGTTTTTAAAAATATGACATGAGACAACGTCTATGTCAATAATAAAGCTTTCGTCCTTCAAAGAATTTTCAAAGAATTTCCTTTGTAAAAATTTAATTAGGATTTCGAAAAATTCTTAAAAATGAGAATTTAAACATTTTCAATACAATTTTAATTAAATTCCTCGAAAAATTCAATTATTTTCGAAAATTGTAATAAAATTCTTATCAAGATTTCAGTTATTTTCAATACAATTTCAATAAAATTTCTCAAAATAAATCAATTGTTTCTTAACATTTGATGAAATTTTCCGCAAAAATTAAACTGTAAAAAATTTTTTTAAATGAGAATTGAAATATTTTCAATAGCAGAAACTTAATTATTTTAAAAAACTCTTCACAAAAATTTTATTAGTTTGAAAAATTTCAATACAATTGTTTATAAGAAAGAAATTTAATTGAAAACTTTGAAAAAATTTTATTCTTTCCCTAAATAATAAAATTTTTCGCAGAAATTCAATTAATTTGAATAATTTTAAGTTGAATAGAATTTATAATTACTTTAATTTAATTCAATTCCTTTTTTTAACAAGATTTCAATTATTTTCATAATTAATAGCATTTCTCGAATAAATTCAATTATTTAGAAAAATTGTAATTTTTGCCCCGTTGATAATTCACAAACTACTTTATAATTATTTTACTAAAAATTTTTATTTTATTATTTTCCAAAAAAATTGATAGAAAGGAAAAAGAAAATTTCTTGAAGAATTTCATAATTTTTCTGTAAAAAGACACGAACAAGATAAAAATAAATACAAAGTATATATTATGTATTTAATAATCATTATAATAATAGGAATTCAAAAAAAGTTAAAAATTGTATATTGATTTTCGTGCCTGTTAATTACAATGTAATCAACACCCAGACGATATACGAAATTCGTTGTAAATTGAAAGAAGCATCACCATAAATTGACATTTACTGATGTATTTATAAGTTATAGAAAAGAAAGTTCATTAATAGTTATTATGTATTCCTTTCGGTGAAAAATTTATCATCACTTTTAAAAATTAATGGGAAATAAAAATTAAATATGAGATATTAACATTTAATAATGCAATTCTTAAATAAACTTCAATTTTTAATTTTTATCTGCATATTTTTAATAAAAATTATTATTGAAAAACTAGTCGAAAAACTTCGTATGACTATGAATAAATTTTTTTTTGATATGAACTCTAAAAGTTCTACTTGTGAACACGGTTATAGTCAAAATCAAAATTGAAAATAAGACCGTGTTTTAATTTGTACAAAGCATTGTGAACTCTTTTAAGTGAAACGAACAATTGAGTTTGAAATCGATTTATTATGAAACAATGAATTTGATTTCATCATGAATGAAGTACCTTCAGGGAATATCAATGACTCTCACGTCATTCCACGCGTCGCGTCGTGAAGAAAGTAAAAACAAGAAAGAGAAATAAAAAACGTGCGAGTGCAGGTCAAAAAGTAAAGCAGAACAATTTTATCATCAGAGTTCGTCTAATTGGAAAGTGCATTATATGCAATTTTGACTTTCATAATAATTAACTATTATAACAACATTTTCACCAATCAGACACGAATCAAATTTTATTAATGTCCTGCCCACTAAATATAATTAATTTCAAATAAATTTTGTCTCAATTCTTAAAAACTCGTTTTTTAAAAATACGGACTTTACGGACCAAAAATTAAAAATTACGGACCAACTGACAAAAATATAACCAGTCCGAGTCAAATAAGACAACATTTTACCTAAAACTATAAATTAAATTTTCCATAACTATAAAACATGAAGATATCAATAACGATTTCTTCATGTTTTATATAATAATTATAACCAAACGATAAAATTATTATCAATTCAATTATTATTTACAAGAATTTTTAACTAAAATTCTTCTTTAAATCGATTATCAATATTAATTTTTAATAATTTCCGAAAAAGTTCTTTGACAATTTTCAAATCCATTTCTTTACAATATTCAATTTTACGAAATTCCAATTATTCGTAAATTCTTCAACTAAAAATGTATTGGAAAATAAAAACTTAAAATTATAATATAAAAAAAATCCAATTAAACTTTTTCAAAAAAGTTAATTACAAAATTCAATTATTTCTAAAAATTCACGCTGTATTGCTGTATTGCTTTTAATATTCAATTATTATCAAAATTTTAATTGAAATTCATTTTCTAATAAAAATTGAGGGCCTGGAACGAATAATTGCCTGCTACGCATGGCTGAAAGCGCTGAAAGGGACTATACCAGTCAGACAACAGTGAGCGTCTCTATAGGCCTCTCACTGCTGTCTGACTGGTATACATAGTCCCTTTCGACTATGCGTTGCAGACAGTTATCCGTTCCAGGCCCTCAATTTTTATTAGAAAATTCAACGAGAATTCAATTTCTTAAAATTCAATTCCCTTAAAGAATGTTATCAATAAATTTTTAAATAATAATTGAGTTCTATCGACAAATTTTAATTAAATTTCAAGAATAATTCTGCAATGAGTTTTTTTTTCCTGCAAAATCGTGACCATAATTTTAATAAAAAATTTAGAAAATAACTTTTTGTTCTCGAACAATTTTATTATTATTAAAAATAATTGAATTCTTGTGATGAATATTGTTATTTATGAAAATAATTGAATTTTGCAAAAAAAAAAATTATTAAAATTCCTGAAAATAACTGAATTTTTCAAAAAAATTTATTAAAATTCCTGTGAATTGAATTTTGAATAGAATTTTATGAAAATCCCTGAAAATATTTAAATTTCTTAAAAAATTTTATTGAAATTCATGAAAAAAATTTTCAAATCCATTTACTTACAATATTCAATTTTACGAAATTTCAATTACTCGTAAATTCTACAATTAAATAAATATTAGAAAATAAAAACTTCAAATAATATGAAGAAATGCAATTATTTCTAAAAATTCACGCTTTATTGATTTTAATATTCCATTGTTATCTAAAATTTTAACTGAAATTCATTTTTTATACAATTTTTATTAGAAAATTCTACGAAAATTCAATTATTAAATACAAAAATAAATAATTTATTTAACAATTGAATGTTTCTTAAAATTGTACTCTCATTTAAAGAATTGTATCAAAAAAATTTTAAATAAATGAATTCTTTTAATGAATTTTAATAAAATTTTTAAGAATAATTATATTTTTCGAAGAATTTAATTTGGATTAAAAATAATTGAAATTCTGCGATGAGTTTTATTATTATTTATGAAAATAATTGAATTTCTGAAAAGAATTTTAGTATTTACGAAATACTTAAAGGTTTGCGTAGAATTTTATTGAAATATTGTTAAATAATTGAATTCTTTTGGAAAATTATATTAAAATAGTAGATATTTTAAAAATCATTGAATTGGGGAAAATTTTTGAAAATAATTGAAATTTTGACAAGAATTTTATTAAAATTTTTGAAAATAATTGAATTTTGGAGAAGAATTTAATTAAATTTGTATAAGGTAATAGAAATTTTAACGAGAATTTTAAAAAATTTTGAACATAATTGAATTTTTGCAAATTTACGGACCTCTAACTTTTTATAAAAAGTCTAGTTGGTTCTAAATATACGTTTATTTAACTGAAATAAAATATTTTTGAATGTAGAAGAGTGATAAATTGATAATAAAATGTTTTTCTATGTGCAACACAAAATTTCGTGTCATTCTATTCGATAATTATTATTAAACAAATATAGTTGTAATTTAAAACTAATTACAATAATGTAATGTATAATTTATAAGTTTACATAGGTATAGATGACTTTTTAGAAAGTACATTGAAATTTAAATCTATACGCGAGAAATATTAAATAAACGACATTAGATCTAGTGCCGACAATTTAGTATGTGAAATTAGTCATTTTATTTATGTTTCTTTATATTTGAAAAACGAGGTGTTGAATTGTATGATGTAAAAGACCAATATTATCATATAAATATACACTCACCTCAATACGTAATATGTGTTTCCCTTTTCTAAAAGTAAGCTGGATGTCTACCTATAATAGGCAGACTTTAAAGATAGACTCAAAAAAATTTCATGATGAAATAATTGTCTAATGTATGTAGCATACCACTTGGTATGCTCAGAACAAACACTTTTCGAATTTAAGTCGCCGAAAAAAGAGAATTGAAAATATTTCCCACCGGATGTTATAATTATTTCACTGAATCGTGAAATTTTAATGTGAATAATTTCAATCGCATCACAATCCGCACGATGATATGGTTCAAATTTCGAAATAATTCCCAGCTTGATTACAAAATTAGTCCGGTTTTCGACAATCGCGGAATTAGTCCGAAATTAATTTGTTCTATTTGTAATTAGTGAATTTGAAATAGTTCGCAATTAATTTCAATTGTGGAGAAGCTAGTGAATCGTAATTTTATTCCAAAACGGGTTAATTTATTATTTTAGATAATAGGAGATGAAAACAATGATGTGATTAAGAAAAAACTGAATTTTATTCTTATATTAACTATTAATGCACTGTATTAATTAATATTAATAACATTAATGAATTTATTGTTATTATAAGATTTAACTATATTTTCCATGCGCTGAATGTTAAATTCTTTTGTATAATTTAAGACATTTTTTGATTTTAACTAAAAGTTTAAATCTGCTGATGGCAAAATAAAATTAATAAGTGTGCTAATTACTGCGCTTTTTTGAAAAATATTATTTAATATTTCAGGGTAATTAAAAAATATTAAATATAGAATAAATATCCTTTTGGTCAACTAAAGTTTTCTTCAGATGATCAAATTCTTTCTTCGAATGCAAAATTTCTTAAAATCAATCAAATTTTTCCGTGTGTTTAATTAATTAAGATAAAATATTTCTTTACGCAGTAATTGGTACATTTACCCTGTCCCTAAGTTTTTCAAGTTCAAATAAACCAATTCTCTTATTATTTCTTTTGAAGTATGAATTTTGGTACACAAACCAATAATAGAATAATATTGAAAAATCTCTAAGCAAATTTACATTCAATTTTTATGAAACATTTTTATTTATTTGTTTAAACATTTTAAAATGCAAATTTTGAAAAGAATTTTTTTGTTTTGGGAAATTATTTCACATGCGTTAATTTAATTACCAGAATGAAAGTTCTTTGAAAAAAAAGAATAAGAGACGACACTTTTTGAATTTTTTTTTTCGGTGGCGTTTCTCGGCTAATTGTCATACAATACACACAGCGAGTTAGTGCGCTGTGAAATATTCTCGATTGTCAAGAAGATAGAGGGGTTGCAGAGTGAAATTGTCACTATTTCTTTTTTCGCAAGTAGAAGGGATGTGGATTCCGCTATATAAAATCGAAAGTACCGCCTATCGATGTCACAGTTAACTTTTGCGACCTTTTCCGTTTTTATCGAATTCGTTCATTCATTCATTGTGTCAAGGTGAGAGTAAACGATTTAAAAAAAATAAAAAAATAAAATAAAATCTCGAGTAAAAATTAACTGAAAGCTAAAAGAAAAAAAAAGAAAAAAAAATTTATCGAATTCAATTTAAAATTCGAGCAAAAGTAAAAAGCCGTTCGGAAACGAGCTTTCGAGAACGTGCTATATAGTATATACCATACAATAATTACGAACTCGACACTTAATCAATTTCAATCACCGGAAATGAATCGTTCATCGTTTTGCGATCCAAAAGGCACTCTATTCAATTTCATTTCTAAAAAAGAAAGTTCTTTTTTTTCTTTTCAATTTCTGCGCGAGTTCCGTACTCAGTGTCACTTCAAATAATTCTATTTATTTAAATAATAGAATTTATTTTTAGAAAAAAAGTTTTTTAAATTCTCAATAAAAAATTAAAGAAGAAATTTCTACCTTGACTTTAATAATGTGCTGAGAGAAAAGGATGTAAACGAAAACTTAAAAAATAAAGAAAAATTGTCAATTCAAATATTAACATTAATTAAAATGAGAATTTAAATTTAATGTTTCAGATGAATTTGAAGATTTTGCTTTTTTTCATTTTTGCCATTTTTGTATTGTACGTGACGGCGGAAACAATAGAACAACAAACACTTCCTGCTTCAAGTTCACTTAGGAACGAGAAAAATTTAGTGCATACGAGAAGCAAAAGGACATTATTTTTAAAGAAAAAAGTCCTTGGAGCTGGACTTCTTGGTTTTGGACTCGGAGTTGTCAAAGGGTGATTAAAAATTCATTCATTTAAATCCAATTAATAATTTAGAATTTATAATTAATAAAACATAAAATAATAATAATCAATAAAACTAAACTAAGTTTCAATTTTTAAATTTTAGTCAATTGGAATTAAAAAGTGAATAAATGAAAACTTGGTCTGAAGTATCTTAAATCGAACAAACAGAATAAAAAGTTTTTTTTCATTCAAAGAAAATTTATTTAATTTAAAAAAATATATTTGATTTAAAAAAATGTTTTTAATTCAAAAACAATTTATTTGATTTAAAGAAATTTTTTTTTTAAATTAAGAAATAATTTCTTTGACCCTTTATCAATGAGAAAAGTTCTTTGATTCAAGGAAAATTTATTTGATTATTAAAAAAAAGGATTTGATTCAAAAGTAGTTTATTTGTGTGAAGCAAAATTTTTTTGTAAATTAAATAATAAATTCTTAGACTCGTTGAGTTAAAGAATAAATCAAATTAAATAGAATTTTTCTGATTTAAAGAACAAATTTCTTCGATTGAAAAAAATTGGTTTAAATGAAAGAAAAGTTGTTCAAATCAAAGAAATTTTCGGATTCTTTCAATAAAAAATCCTCTTTTTTCAAAAGAAAAATTTATTTTGAAAAAAACAAAATGAGTCTAAGAAACCGATTTCTTTAAATTAAGAAAAACTATTTTTGTGTTTGTTCTTTAATTTAAAAAAAATTTATTTGATTTAGAGAAATTCTAATTAAATTAAGTAGACACGTTTTTTTAAGTCAAAGATATCCAGCCATCAATTAAAAGAAATTTTTTTAAATACAATCATTTTATTGCCTTGAAGAATAAATTTCATTAATTTTAATCCCAATTTCTTTGTTTCTAGAAAATAATTTTATCGATTTATTATTTATTATTTTTATTATTTTTATTTAAAATAATTTTTCCGATTAAGCAATAAAGTACCTAAATGAAAGAGTTTAAAAAAAAATTTTCTAGTGTATAAGCAAATTAATATTAATACTGATGGGCAATAAAATAATAATAATAAAAAAAATAACTGGTTTTATCTTTGTAATTATTTCATGAACACTTTGCTTCCTCATAGAGAATAAAGTATTTGTTTAAATGTTTTAACCTAAAGCCGAATTGAATAAACAATAAATGATTGCATAATATTAATATTGAAAATAATAATAATAATAATAATAATAATAATAATAATAATAAATAAAAAAATAAAATTTTTTAGTTTTGAAAAGTAATTAAAGTCGTTGATGAGTTTTATATCTGACATTGTAGATACAAGTATGGTTACCATAGAGCACCGGAAGTGCATCACGTGTACCTAGCCCCACCACCATCACCTGTTAAATACATCGAATACGTTGAGAAACCTGTCTTCGTTGACAGAATTATTGAGAAACCAGTCTTCAAAGAGCATGTTGAGAGTTGGCATCCTGAACCGCCTTCAACTTACGGGTAATTTAATCAAAATCAATTAATTATATTTTCGAGGAAGGATTCTCCAATTAATTATTAATTTCAGTTAATAAACCACCCTTATACCCAAAATTAGTTTACAGTAGATAAACCTACTTATAATATCTATTCTCCTAGACTGCATGATATTAAAAATGATAAAAAAATAACATTTTCAAAATTATTAAAATTATTGAATTATTATTAACTTGTGTTCCAAAAAATGAATGGATTTAATTTTTCCCATATATTCTAATCAATTAAAATATTTTTTAAATTAAATTGAATTTTTTGAACTAAATTTAAATTTTGTTGAATAAATTTACATTTTTTAAAATAATTTTTTTTGTTATTTTTCTACAGAAGAGGAAAAAAGTTTAAGTCGTCTAGATTTTTATATAACTGAAATTTTTCTTTTTTAAACTTGAATACCATTATATAGAGAAAAAGAAAACAAGAAAAGCAATGCCCTTAAATGCTTTAAAGTGTTTGTGAAAGTTTGCCTTTGCAATAAATATATACAACATTCTATGGGAAATCGATATATTCAAGAGAGATAGAAACGTGAAGAAAAAAAATTATCGATATTATTTTCATTAATGATTCTTTAATGTTATGAAAATTTTCCATTATTCTACAATTTAATTTAACTTATTTTATTATCAGAAAAAAATTTGTTTACTAAAATAGAACAAAGTTGCTGCACTGAAAAAAAAGTTTCTTTGGTTCAAATAAACGATTACTCGTCAATTGACAAATAAATATTACACCATTTAATATTTGAATAAAATAAATTATTTAGTGTAACAGACAAGTAATTCATAATTAGAATAAAGGAAATTTTTGCGGTTCCCATCGTAACAAACAAAAATTGCTAAAAATATTCTTGTGAAATAATTTGAAGAAAAGTAACCAAATAAATATTTGTTCTACGCAATATTGAAAGAATATCCCTGTAGAATATTAAGTAATATTACTCTATATTTACTATCACTTGCGAAATATTACATATTTTACATAAAAATTTCTCCAATATTCTCAGGAATTCAAATAGAATACATATAAAAACATTTTCCCCCTCATTTTTTAAATTTCCATTTCATTATGAAAGAATTTCATTGATAAATTTTCGGAGGTACAAATATAAATGAGTTTGAAATTTATTATTATGACAAAAAAAAAATTGGAGAAATAATTGCAAGAAATATTTTTGTGTAAGAATCACTTTCTATATGAGAGAGGAGAGATAAAAAAAGTGGACATAGATAATATAATGATCCGCGTCAATTAATTTTCCGCTCTCTGTGTGGTACCGCCCATTGAAAGTTTCATGTCATCATCGAAGACCCTTTTTCCATCATTTTCAATCCTTATTTGTACACTATTTACAATTTACGATAGTACTGCATCAAAAAATAATTATAATTTTATAATATTGAATTTATTATGTTATAATTATTATAATATTAAACAATTTTACATAATTTTGAAATTAATTTCCAAAAAAAAACATTAAAGAAACTAAATTTTTAATTATTTGTATTTTCAGGGCGTGGTGAGCTGAGAATAGAATAAAAAAAATTAATACTCAAAAATCAGAATAAATGAAGCGAAAAAAATGATATAGTTATTTGTTGATGAAGCGATGATTTATTTATTGCGACCTACACATTATTTTATAGTCTAGTTTTTCCTTTCATTGTGTTAAACTCCATGAATTTGAAATTACAATCAAAAATTTATAATTTTCAATCAGTTCACTATTGGAATTTTTTACATTAATTCCAAAAGATGATATTTACACAAATTAGCAAAAAATAAAAATTAATTAATATTTACCAATAACTAATTAACGAAAATTGGTATTAGTAGTTCAATAAATTAATAAGCAATTAATTAGTTCGGCTACTAAAAAACTAATTAGTGACAATTAGTATTAGTACAAAAAAATTAACATCATAAAACTTAATTCGTTAAATAATAGCAAAATAAAAATTATAACTAATTAATTATTTTGTAATAAAATAAAAATAGTGAAACAATTAAAAAATGGTTTCAACAAAAAGGAAACAGTTAATTCATTTCAATTGTTATCAGAACATAAAAATATCAAACAAAAAATTATACACTGATTCAAACTAGTCTTATAATTTTTTGATTAATTTCAAATTTAGTGAGTGAATGTTGCCAGAATTGTGCTATAGAAAATAGAAATTTATATTGTTTATATGCGCTTGTTAAATAATTTTTAAATATATTTCGTGATATGTTTATAAATATTTGTCTTGTTGTTTTATTTACCTTATAATAAATTCCCTTTTATAACATTTATCAATATTTTCTTAAAATTTTGATTTTTGTATATAAATAAAAAACTAAATTTAGTTTTAGCTGATATCTACTTGTAAATAAACAAAAAATAAATAACTAAATAAAAAAATGTATTACTTTAAGGTATTATTATATTGTTATTAGTACTTATTATTACTTCTATTATTATTTTTATTATTATTTTTTATTACTGTTTTTTAATTATTATTACTATTTTTATTTATTTATTTATTATTATTATTATTATTATTATTATTGTCATGTATTTTTTATATAATTTAGAGTTACAAACATGTAAAAAGGAAAAATAAAAAATTATTTTTATCATTATTGTAATTATTTTTTAAAAAAGACAATAATTAATTTCTAATAACTAATAAACAATATTTTATCATTATAAATGACTATACAAATTATGATGTTTCATTTATTAATTCAGTAGTAGATGATTAATTTCTTAAAAAAAAAAAAAATGATGAGCATAGATAATAATTAGTGAGTGTGAATAAATAAAAACGGAAGTTTAAATATGCCTTATGACGTTAGAATATGAAAAATGGAAATAAAATGAAAAATACCTAATTAATGAATTTTAAATTACTGTATTATGGTTGTTTTAGAATAAAAATCTTATGAAATACACGTCACTGATTCTTGGAGTTCACCAGAATGCTTCTGGGAATTTACTTTTATTGAAGTTTCAGTTTGATTTTATTGGAATTTCAGTGCCTTGAGAGATTCTTTTTTTATACACATATGTGTATAGGGAATCCCAAAGAATTTTATTCATTTCAAATATTTTAAGACACATACAAAAAATTATATTACCGAATCTATGTTTTCAAAAATATATTGCTATTTAAAAAAAAAATGAAAAGATTTTTAACAATTAAATATTTTTTAAATTTATATTTTTAATTTTTATTTATTTTTATAATTAACTTTTATAAATAATTTTCTTTCATCTTCAAACAAAAAAGCAATTTTTTGTGTTTAGCATTTTAAATTATTTCTAATTGAAAGAAAATTAAAATCTTTCATTTAAATTATATTAAAAAAAGCATATTTTATGAATATTATTTCTTGGTTTAGAGTAAAGAACCAATTTTTTCAGGAATTTCCGAATGAAATGTCTCTATTATTATTTAAATTTATCTATCATTCAAGGATTGTTCAGTATGACTCATTTATTTATGTTAAACAAAAAATATTGTACTTGCGACATTCAATGAATAAAAATTTTTCTTTCGAAGAAATAAACATTGACCGAGACATTTAATTAATAATACATGTTTACATGTTTACGAAAAAAATAGTCTCTCTAAAAATAAAAATTTTTTAATGTATTTTTTATGATTCTGTTATGATATTTTGCGTTTGGAACACAGACTGAGAGCGGAAATCTATTTGCAATATATTCGGGAATTTCCAAGTTTCTTCAATATATTTGTTATTTAATTATCATTGAAAAAACGTCGAATTATTATAATTATGGTCTTTAGAAGCATGAATGGAAATTTTTCATACCAATAAATAAATTTTCTATTTGTTACGCGTTGCGAAGCAAAATCTTATAGGTTATGTTTGTTATCTTTTTTCTTTGAAGTAAGGGTTCTTTTTTAATTTTTTTAAATAAAAACAAATTATTAAATATTTTCAATGTATTCAAGATTTTGAGGAAGTTAATTTGAATTCAGAGTTAACCGACTTTGTGGATTTTTATTTTAAATGTAACAAACATAACCTATAAGAGTTTGCTTCTTAGGTTCTTTTCTTCACAACGCTTCACACTTTATTTTTTATTTACATGATAAAAAATTCACAAAAATAAAAAATAAATAACGGAATTAAAAATAATTATTTTAATAAATAAAATTTATTATTAAGTATAGTTAATAAATAAGAATATAATAAATAGGTATATTGGTAAGAGTTACTTAAATTTTAACTTTTCCTCGTCAAACAGAAAACTAAATTTCTAATTCAATTTCTAATTAATTATTATTAATAAATAAATAAATAAATATTGCTCTCTAGATTTTAAGTAGTAAAACTTTTTACTAATTTGAATGAGTGAATGCCTGCTTTGCTTTTGAATTAGTGAATTTTACTAATAAATACTTTTTACTAATTTATTAGTAAAATTTAATAATTCATAAGCGAAAACTCAGTCACTAATTCAAATTAAGTAGTAAATATTTTTACTAATTCAAATTTAGAGAATAAATTTCTGTTTATGAGCAACAAGTTCCTTTGCCATCTGTCGGATGGTTATAAAATTCTATTGGCGCGAAATTTAAATTTTGTGAAACAAAAGAACAGTTTAAGTAAAAAATTATATACAAATATAATGTTTGTTTGTATAAAGTTGATTATAAACAATAACATAAGTTCCTTCTTATGTAAATCATACCAGATTTAATTTAAAAAAAAAATTGAAAAATTCCAATGATAACAATTTGCTACATTCTCAAATAAAAAAAATATTTAAATGTTTAATAAATTTTTCCATTTTTAATTAATTTTATTTCATCCTTTCTTATTTTTCTTCCATAATTCTTTCGTAAGTGCTAATATTTTTTTCTTCATTCTTAAAACCATCTTAAAACCTATAAGATGCTTCTGCATTTATTTGGGAATTATTTAAAAGTCTCATCTGTGGGTAAAACTTTATGACTCACTGATTTGAAATTGAAAGGAAAAAAATAAAAAACAAAAATTTGGAACTAGGTATTAATTCCTGTATACATTTTTTATGAATAAGTTCAAAGTCCTAAAAAATTTAGTATAGATATTCAAGAGTTTAAAAAAAAATTCAAGGGAAAGAATAAGGCAATGACCGGAAGAAGGTTAGTTGCTTATTTAAGTGGGAGAAATCTCAGACCTTACTATAAGAACAGGGATCATTTTAAGAAATCTTCACAGGTTTCGAGAGTTACTGTGATCATATATGCGATCATTTTGCGTAGTGCGTTGTTTAAATAATAATAAACCAAAAAAGGTGAGCGTGCATGGATATACTCCTTTGAATTGTAAAATTCAACTTTTTTCTCTCTTATAAAATTGTGTACTCGTTCAGTGCTTTCAAATGTATTTGGAAAAATAAATAAAAAATTAATAAGTGTGCAAATTATACAAAGAAATCGATCCTCTCCAACCGAACTTGGATCGGTTCTTGGTTCAAATTTCGAGTCCTATGTATAATTCGAATTTTTGCACATTTCTAAAAACTATCAAGAACTTTGCAAATATTTTACTTTATGATTAATATTCAAGTGGTAAATTTTTTTTTGTTTTATTTTACAAAAGGTACTTTTTGATTTCAAAAGTGACATTTTTAGTTCAAAAAAAATTAAATTTTCGTGTTTTTAAGTGTAAATTTTGAAAATAAATGATGAATTTACAGATGAGGGGAGAAATTATTCTATTCGTTACTCTTTGCCTGATGAGTTTTGCATTTGGCGATGAGGAAAATGCTGGCAATTTTGAGGAAAAAGTAGAGAGTCCTCTTTCAAAGAAATATGAATTTCTTTTGAGACCAAAACGAGGTCTCTTTGATCTTGGGTAATGTATAAATAAAACATTTCTTTGCTTTTATTAAGAAACTTTTTCTTTTTAAACGATAATTTTTCCTTAAATTTCTATGAATTTTAATTTTGTAAAAGTATCTCAAAAGCATTTGTGTTTTATCCTCAACTTTTCCTAACATACCCTTATCCATCGACACTAAACACTAAACACTTGTTCTAATTTTTATTTTTTAAATCAGATTCTCTTCTAAACTTAATTCTGTTACTTACATGGCAGAATAAAGTTTAGCAGAAAATCCATTTGTTGTTTAAAAGTAAACTTTTTGCTAACTACTGTAATTGAACCTTAAGCATAAATAACGAAACCGACTGACTTCCTTTACCCTTTTTCTGTACCTCCTCATGATCCACGCAGAATTTGAATTACTTTTGACTCCCAGTCGATTGTTTTCCCAGTGGGCAAAAAATACATTGTATTTTTAGTTTTTACCCACTGGGTTGTAATTTTGGGAATTTTAAGTTTTTGTTTAGAATGTCAACAGCAATGGTTTATTAATTAATGGATTGTTATTGGATAATAGGTTGTACACAACGGCTTATGGAGATTATGATGACGACTTATACGGATATAACAGATATGGAGGATATGGAGGATATGGTGGATATAATGGATACGACAGACATAGACATCACGGATATGGTGGTTACAATGGAGACAGAGGATACAATGGATATGGTGGATATTATGGCAACAGAGGATATAATGACTACTATAATTCCTATCCTTATCGTAGAAATCCAGGAGGTTACAGTAACAACTATGCAAATGCTAACGCTGATAGTTTTAGCGCTTCGGCAGGATTGGGTCCTTTTAATGCAGGTTTCTCAGTGAGTCACGCGAACGCTAATGCAGGATCCTCAGGGTAATTATAATAATAATATTCCTTATTTTAAAATTAAGTTTAATTTTCAAATATCACTGTTTTTCTATAAAGATCAAACATTGAGACTAATTAACATCATTAAAAGATTGCATCACAATAATTTGATATGCAATTTCACATAATTATCCCTATCCCTTATAGAAAAATCGTGTAGCTGTTCCTAATTTCTATGTTCTATTCTTTCAGTTCGTACTATAGATGAGATGAAAGGATGTTCATCAAACGAAAGGAGAATTTTTGGAACTGCTCTTCATTATTTTCGAATGATTCGAGAATCCTCTCATACTTAAATATCAGCTAATTGTTGCGCCAAAAAATCATGTTCATCTCAATTATGTTAACACAAATTCATTAGTTTTAATTTTGTAATTAAGTTAAATAAAAAAAGACGTAAAAAGAAAAGCATTTTGTTTATAATTTCCTAAATAGAAAATGCATCTGCATAATTTTTCCAGATGGCATCAAATAGTTTTAGCTTGCTGGATCTTTTTGTTTATGCTACCAATTACTAAGATTAGAAACTAATTTGATTTTTGCTTATTTTTTTCAATTCAATCTCTACTATATAGAAAATTTTTTCTATGGATAGTTTTCGATATTCCGATTGATTACGTTTCCGAAAATATCGAAACTAATTTCGAAAATTCTCAAAAATAAACCCAAAGAATAGATTTATAATTAAGGGGATGAATTAATTGAAATTGAAATTTTGAATTTCGTTTTTTGCAAATTCGAATTTCACTTTTTTAATTTAAGGAAAATAATTTAAGATACCTAGTATTGTTATGTTGGTAGAAAAAGACTTACCGTTTCTGGAACATTTTTGGCAAGATCAGAGGCGACTATGTAGGGACCAAGGTTCTTTCATCTGCAGACTCCTTTCCATCCTCTACCAGTTTAAAACAAACGAAGAAAAAAATTATAATTACATTCATTGCACTTTTCAGTAAAAGTTAATTGAAAATCTTCTCTACTTTTAATTTCAAAAAAGTAAACGATTTCTTTTTTACAATTTCAATATTAGAATATTTTCGTTTTTGAACTACTTACAGTGATCAATACCTCAGCCTGTTCCGAACTCCGTTCTTCGGTCACAAAAAATACCAACTCTCTTCGTGAATTTAAAAATTTTAAACACTACCGAACGACGTGTTAACCGAAAATGGGGTTCAAAATTTGGGAGACAAAGGGGTAGAACTTAACGCGTTCCTTATATTCTCTCTCTTTCACTCTCTTCCTTCCATTTTCAATTTCTGAAATTATAAATAAATAAAAATTGATATAATAGATAATAAATAATAAATAAATGTAAATAAATACAAATAAGTATTTATTAACAAAAACAGTTAAAAATTAAAATAAAAATAAACTGAAAAAGAATTTACTTCATTTAAATAACCGATTATTTATATATTATGAAATAAATATTTATTTGAATTAAATAAATTATATTCAAACCAATAATTTCGGCATTTGAAGCAAATACCATTTAATTGACTGTTAATAGTGAATATAATAATAATAATTTATTTATATAAAATAATCCTGAAATTATTCAATAATAACAAATTATAATAACAAAAATTGAATAATAACAAAAATAAGAAAAGTAATCGTTTGTTTGAATACAAATAAATTCCTTTTGTCACAGTCCAATATTTAGAGCAATAATTTTCTTCAGGTTGAACCGAATAATTTTACAACAATATTTTGCAATATTTGCCACACGAATTTCTTTCTTTCTTTCTTGTTGAAAAAATAAAATGAATAGCTATTTTCCAACATATATTGAATAATAAACTTGAAACAAATGTATTGAATATTACACATACACACGATTATCAATGGTTATGACGTCTCATCTTTTGTGTTTATAATATTTTTTAACAACTCTTAGCTAACTAAGTCTTTCTTGACACTGGTTGATGAGCCTTGGGAGTGACATTATCCGAGGCGTGTCCAAAGTCTTCAGACCCGGTAAAAACTATACTAAATATAGGTGCAAGTTTTGTTTATTCAAAAAAGGAGAGAATTTTAATTTTTTTTTTTTTTAATGAAAGAGAAATTTTTTTTTATTCAGAGAATCGTGATTATTATTATTATCAGGAAGAATAAAAAAAAGTGGTAATTCCCTTCGCGACAAGTTGGAAATATCTATCTTCTATCTATACATAAAGGATTCAAAACTTCTTGGGAGAAAAAAAGAGAAGAAAAAATTTCCAAAGGAGCAGACAGAGAGGGGAAAGGGAGTGATGGGACTGGATAAATATTCAAGGTGGGAGTCTCTCCAGCTTATAAGTACTGTCATCATTTTAAGAAATCTTCATATATGTTATCATCTCTCAACAGTGTTGGACCCTTTGTTTTATCTTTCAATTTGAGTGCATTTTTAAAAAGGTGCATGAGAAACAAATACAATTATTAGTTTTTATTAATATTAAAGAAAATTTTTGTGCAACGATTTTTTTATCACTGAAAAATAAAAAATAAATAAATATTGAATTAAAGCAAGAATTACTCAACTAATTAATTAATATAATAACATATTAATACATTAATTATATAATTAATATAATTAATTAGTTTAGTTATTCGCAATTTATCTATTTTTTCAAATATTTATTTAAAAACTTTCAATTTTAGTGTTCTAATTAGTTACTTTTTCTAATTTTTCACTTCGCAGGACAAAACAAGAAATTTCAATTATCTAAATCAAAAATTTTTTTGTTGCTTCTAGATGAGGGGGCAAATTTTGCTTTTTGCAATTATTTGCACTATTGGCATTGTTTTCACTCAAGATGTTAATCAGGAGCAAGTTAACAATTTAGCTGCGGAAAATAGTGACTTAGCTTTAAGTAAAGAATCCACACATCTTTCAAGGCCAAAGAGAACACTGTTTCTGAAAAAGAAAATTTTGGGCGCTGGTGCAATAGGCTTTGGCCTCGGACTTGGAGTTGGTGCATTTAAAAGGTAACGTATCAAATTTTCTCTTTCTTATCGTAATCATATAATCAAAAAATATGGGGAAAATTCCGCAGATTAGAAATTCTACCCAGAAAAATATTTTATTTAAATCAAATATCTATAATTTATTTGTATTAAATAAAAGCTCTATTTAGCAAAAATGAAATTTTTATTTGCACTCAACAAAAATTCAATTAAACAAAATAAAATTTAATTTAACGAAGTAAAATTTCATTGAACAAAATAAAATTTATTTGAAAGAAATAACATTTTTTCTGGGTGTATTGAATTATTTACTTGTTTCAAATAAATATTTGGTTTGATTAAATTTTATTTAGTACAAATAAAATTTAACTGCGAAGAAAATAAAATTTATTTGAAACAAACAAATAATTTAGTACACCCAGAGAAATGTTTTATTCAAACCAAATATAATTTACTTGAATCAAATAAAAGTACATCTGTCACAGAGCTTACTAAATTATTTAGTTGTTTGAAATAAAAACTTTATTTCGCAAAAGTTAAATTTGTATTTGAACCAAATATAATTTTCTTGAACAAAATAAAATTTATTTCAAACATACAGTTTCTCTAAGGATATCAAATTGAGACAAAAAACGAATCAAAAGTGTTGCGAAGCAACGTTTTGATTCGTTTCTTGTCTCAATTTGATATCCTTAAAGAAACTGTGCAAATAAATAATTTTATGGGCTGATAATTTCTGAGTCAAATATTATCTTTTTTCTGTGCGCAAAATTCTTTATAATTGTCCAAAGTTAATAATTTACTCAGCATTTTTCCTTTTCCGGGAAGTGATTTTCCATTCATTACCAATTCTGTATCTTCTCAGTTGTTTAAAGGAAAAATGTTAAATAAATTACTAAATAAAATTCCTCCCATGCCTTCCAATGACTATTTTGAATACTCTATGAAGAGTATTTTGAATAACGGAATAATAATTTGAAATTTGCAAAATGTGCAATTTACTTATAACATGCTGATCATGTAAAGCTTACAACTTTTCATTAACAGACCACGATGTTAATTCTAATTCAAAGAACGTTCAGCTCATATATATTGCAAACTCATCCATTATACCGACAATACTCACAGAGAGGATCTCTTTAAATTTCGTTATATTTATACGCTCATACTGAAACGTGATTGTGCTTCAAATAGTACATAAATGAGAGTAGACTTCAATTCAACACTTCATGTATGAAGTTACATTACATGACAAAAAAAAAGAATAAAAATTTAAAAAACATTTTTCCCTATAGTGCTTGTCAAAAAAAAGTAAAATTATGCAACATGTTCGGCATACCTATAACAAGTTCAAAGATACACTAATGTGATGTGCAAATATCTTTGTCCCACTTTTCAAAATATTCTCTTACATAAGTGTGTCGTTACGTGAGGAAGAACATTTTTTTCACTTTAGAAAAACATTAAGAAAATAATTTATCAATTTTCTCTCAATTTATTTCAATTTCTAATTTCTTTTATTGTCGTCCAGTAAATAAGTTTTTTTTCATTGTACAAAGAAGGCTAATAAACACTTCTATAATGAAGTAAAGCAAAAAAAAGTGAATGGGCATAAAAAAATGTGAAAAAAATGTTTTAAATCTGTATAATTATTATGTCTGAAAACCAATGTCACATAAAAAAGTAATTGTCCTACACAAGAAGTAGTAGTATTCTATTTATAATATACAAAAAAAACCTCATTAGTTATGAGAATGTATAAAAAAGCAGTAAGTGACTTTATAAAGTTATGCTGTTTAACCACATAAATGACTCCTGATAAGTTTTTTCCGTTTTCGAATAATTTTGACATAATCTCACCGAATTGATAGTATTATAATAATATTATGCAAAAATTATACATATTTACAAACAGAAAATACAGGCGGAAATGTTAATGAAAAAAAGATATTGACCTTTCATCAAACATTCTTAATTAATAGATAAATTTTTATTAGAAAATTTTTCGAGAATTTAATTATTTAAATACAAAAATAAATAATTTATTCAATAATAGAATATTTCTTAAAATTGATTTTTTATGAAAAATTTAATCAAAATTTTTAAAAATAATTGAATTCTTTCGGCGAATTTCAAAAAAAATTTTAAGAATAAATGCAATTTTGTTTCATTTCATTTAAAATTATCTAAAAAATAATTGAAATTTTGCGATATTAAAAATAATTGAAATGAGGAAACTTTTTGAAAATAATTGAAATTTTGCCAAGAATTTTATTAAATTTTTTGAAGATAATTGAATTTCTGAGAAGAATTATTTTATTATTTATAATTAAGATGATTGAAATTTTGACGAGAATTTAAAAAAATTTTTGAACATAATTGAATTTCTGTAATCAGTTATTTTTAAAATTTCTATTTAAATTCATTAAAAATTGATATTTTCTGAAATTTCATTTATTTACGAATAAAAATAGTAACCATTTTTAATTTGCAACAAACATATTTTATTAAATTAAAGAAAAAAGAATAAAATTTGATTTGCTTCGAATAAAATTTATTTGAAGCAAATAAAAAGTTTGAGTCGAATATATATATACCTTATTTTCTGGTTGTAGATAATAATAATAATAACAACAATAAAATACAGCTCTTTAAAGTAAAGAACTTGTATTCTAATTATAATAATATAGCAGGAGCACATCTTCCGTTCATTCATGAAAATAATAAAATCAGAAATATCCCATTGTATCTTCAATTCCCTAATTGTAAAAGATTTCAAAAATGCCCCAACTCGTTTGCATAATAATACGAAACGCGTTCTCTAAATATGTTTTATAAATATTTTCAAAAAATATTCTATTTATTCAAATTTTTTTAGTGAAAGTTCATCAGTATGCACGTGTGAATATAACAATAAAGGGTCGAAAAGAAAATTGAAAGCGTAACGGAAACAATATTACTGATTTTGTTTTTGATAGTTTTTTTGATTAATTACATATTATTGTTTGTGTAAATAAGAAAGAATTATTTAAATATTTTCATATTTGTAAACAGAGGGCCCCACACAATTTACATTAGTTTTGCCTCCCAGATTTTAGAATTTTGCAACTTTGTTTAAAATGTTCTAGATACAAAATTCAAAATTGGGGAGTCAAAACTAATATTATATTAGTTTTGTTTTCAATGTATGAATATTTTTTTCTAATTGTAAACAAATTGGAATTAATTGTAAATGAAAAATTTCAGTTATAAATACGGTAGCAGAGGCTATGGTGGATACGGAGGCTATGGACATGGCTATGGGCACGGTTATGGAGGATATGGCCCCAGCTACACAAATTACCATAGACCATCGTATCCCTCTTATTCGAATAATTATTATTGGAAAAAGCCAAGTTACAATTATGGATATCCGGGAAATTCTGGATGGACTGGTTATAATTATGCTAATAGCAATGCTAACAGTTGGAGTACATCGGGGAATCTCGGCCCACTTCAAGCCGGGTTTTCCTCAAGTCAAGCTAATGCCAATTCAGGGACATACAATGGGTACCAAAATGGAGGGTAAGAGAAAAAAATATTTTTATCAATAATAAAAAATATCAAATAACAATATTTCGGAAAATACTTTATGCTTAAAATTCATATCGGTATGTCAAAGTATATACGATTTTTACACAGAGCTGCAATGAAAAAATTGCATTGACTTTGACGTTGCCTTACATTTTTTTAAAATGTTTAGACGTTTATTTGTCTAAATATATTCTAATTTAAATATCATTTCAGGTATTACTATTGAAGCTAAAGATTGGAGTTTAAGAAAAATACCAAAAAACTGATGCGAAAGAATTTGAATCCTTTTTTTTTGAATTAAACAAAAGGACTTCTGACGAGTGCGAAAAAATTCTTCAAAGGAATTTCTCTAATCAATGCTTTATTTTTAAATAAACTAGGTTAATATTAGTAAACAATTGTTAGGAAAAAATACTCATTTTACATTCCTCCCACAGCATCTTTGTAATTTCAATATTAACGAACATTGGAAAAATATTCTAATATTCAACTTTAAATGCTGTGGAGGATTTTTATATAAACAAACAAATTTTGTGAAAAATTAAATCAATTGGCAAAATATTCTACTATATCTTCAGCTTCAACTGCTGTAGGAAATTTTATCTAAACGAAAAAATTGTTTCAAAAAATAAAAAAAATTTGTTTTTTCTTTAAAGATTTCTTTAAAAAACTTTAAAGAACTTCTTTAAAGAACATTTCTTTAAAGAAACAAATTTTGTTTTTATAGAAAGAAAGATGGAAAAACTTTTTCTAGTAAAGTAAAAAATGTAAGCGAATGTAATTACAAAAATTTTACCTAATTAATTACTATAAATGGTTATAATAAAACTTTTTGTACAGAAATAAATTTTTTCATACAAAAGAATGTGCTTGGGAGTTATTATTTTTTTTCCCCAATATATGTGTGTAATTCTGTTAAATTGTTTCTAAGAAGCTATAGTTAGTTTTGTCATTTGAGAAAAATACATTGTTTTTTTAAATATAACTTTTATGCGGACATTTATGCATAATTAGAAACCTATTATACTTTCAATAATAATTAATTACAGCTGTAAATTGTAATGTCGTTATATATGAAGCTACAATTTAACGCGTGGCTAATTGTGTTGATGATTTGATTACTAAAACATCCTGTCATGTCCATTGATTGTCTGTTATTATATAATTCGAATTTCTTGAAATAAATAAATAAATATGTAAACAGATAAATAAATTACTAAAGAAATAAATTAATAAATAATAATAAAAATAATAATTTCTTTAAAAATTAATGTAAAGTATAAAATTAGTAAAAAGTCATCAAAAAGCTTTGTAAATTTTTCAACCCTAAAAATCGAGTAAAATAATTGAAAAATACTCAATGAAATAGGAAAGAAAATTTTACTATAATAATTAGTGGAAGTTTTTACTAATGTCAAATAAAAAAAGACAAAAATAATAAATAAGTGCACGCATTTAACTTTTTTTATTGTTATTTTTCTAAATCTCATTTTTGAGAAAAGAAATGAAAATGTTTTTGCTATAAAAAAAGAAAAAGCGATAAGAGAAAAAAATTTGTTGTCTATTTTTGTATTGTTTATTACCCTAAAGAATAATCTTAATCCGCGGAGACCATTATTGTGTAAATATGTATGAAAAAATATGTCTGACGTAAGTATCTGAATTTCAACGGATATTGGAAAAACTTAATTAGGTATCTATTTAAAAAAATAAGTGGAGAAATTTCCAATTTTCGATTGAGAAATAAAACGAAAAATTTTCGACACAAAAACAATTGATTGTTTTAAATTAAAATAAAATTCAACTCAATGAATTGTGATTTAATTACGATTTTCTTTTTATTACTATATATGAATAGATTCATTTTAACAGAGTTTTTATCTAAAAGATACAAACACCCGACTTTCGGCGGATTTACAATATTATTCCTACAACAAATCCTGTCAACATTAAAACACATCCAGTTCTTGAATTACATTATAACGCAGACAATTTTTCTCTCTTTCAACCAAAAAATTTTTTTTTCCATTATTTAAATTTATTTTTAATTTTGCTTTAATTATATTTAAACATACGATCACATACGTTGTCTCTGGAATTTGCAATTCTCAGTTCTATTAATATTTCCATAAAAAGAAATTAAAAATTTTATTTTAAAATATTTGTTTTGAGTTTGATTTTTATGAACTGAATTCAAAAGAAAAATTAAATATTTTTGTCTTGAAATCAAAGTTTGTAACTAAAGATTTACTTGGTTAAAAATTGATTTAGATTTAAAAAATTTTTAAATAAAAATTAAATACTGCTACAGTTAATGATTTTTTCGTTTTTATTCTTCTTTTCATTTTAGATCCCTGAATACGAAAAATCGTATTTCACGATTAATACATAACTTGTGAAAAATACGACATCCCGCGTCTTTTTTTTTTTTGTTTTTTTGTTATAAAATACATATTTACACAATTAATTCTAACATCAACCATTTAACAACATGTAAATATTTAGAAATCTTTCTCTCCCTCTCTCGCTCTCTTTTTCTAATATGCACACGAAGATTTTAATTTTATTCGCTCTTTAAAATTTTTGCAGCTTTTCATCGATTTTATTTCTGCAATGAACAAAAATATCACAGCGAAATTTATATAATTCAATTAAAAGCATATTTTACTATTTATATTTATAATAAATTAAACGATTTTATACGGTACTTTAAATGCCCAGGCGGAAATTTCCAACCGGCGCGGATCCTAGTCCGTACTGACGCCGGTGTAACTGTACTGGCTCGGAACCGCCTGCCAACCGAATGTGAACGGGCATTCTACCGAATAGTGACTAGGCCAGGAGCGCGCTGGCAACCGGCTCGGAACTGGCATTCTACCGCCCGCTGACCGGCCGGGAGAAGCCGTTCCGTGTATAATTCAACCGGCTGGGATCTGGCACTCTACCGACCGCGGATTTTTCATTTAATAGCCAGCCGAGCGCTGGCATTCTACCGACTGACAACCGGATCGGATCCAAATGATAATTTCAACAAATATCAATAAAAAAAATAATAATTAATTGCAAAAGATAAATACTGATGACAATTCATTGACAGTTCACTTTACACATTTTTTTTATTTTTTTATACACTTAAACGTAATTTGTTATTACATACACATTTGAAAAATCCTAACGCTTGGAGGTACGAACCTACGCCTAACCGAATATTTACGCACCGAAATCTCGCACGCTAACCACTATGCTACGCTCGCATGGGACTCTCAAATCTTAAATACTCTCAAGTGTCACAAGCTGAAATAAAACTTGTCCAATAACTACGCGTCAATGCTACAGCTATATTTTTATTATTATTTAATATATTAAATAATTGTATCTGAATATAATAATATTGAACATAATAATATTAATAATTTTAATTAATATCACAATAATAATAAATTTATTATTATTGAGATATTATTAATTAACATTAATATTATTGAGAATTAATAATAAATTATTAACATGAATATTAATATTTATTAATATTAATAATTTATTATTAATTCTCAATAATATTAATTAATAATATCTCAATAATAATAAATTTATATTAATAGTATAAATTTATTTATAATAATTATAAACTATAAGTGCACAACAAATTTTTTTAATTGCTTAATTTTGAAAAAACTCTTAATAAATAATTACTTAATATTTTGATTAAATTCATTTATTAATTAATCATTATTTTCTAAAATAATGCAATTAATTATTGTAATAATTATTTAGTTATGACACATTTATTGAAAATAAATTTATAATGTGATTTATAATGTGACAATAAATGACGACATCCGCAGTCGGATCCGGCCCAGCACCGAGCCAGTACAGACTAAACATATTCGTCATTCTTCCGACGCCGCAGAAGAATAAGATCCGCCGGCGGAAGAAATCCAGTACCGAGCCGGTACTGACAATAGTGGGAAGACGGTTCCGACAGTCGGAGCATAATCTGTACCGCGCCGGTTGCTTTTTCAGATCCGAATCGGTACAGACCGTCGGTACTTGCGGTCTGTACGGGCGCGGATCCCAGCCGGTTGTAAATTCCGACATTCGTCCGACTTTTCCGCCTGGGTGTTAAAACGGAAAAATTTTAAATTCACTCTTTTAAATATAATGTCATTAATTAAATTTCCAATTCTGTTAAATTTAAAATTTTAAACCATTTAATTATTAACTTCTATTAACTTAAATTATGTTAAATTTAAATAATTAAATTTCCAATTAAATTTTCAATTCAAACATTTTGAAAATGTAAATTGTTATATTAACACTATTTCTTGAATAATTTTCTTTCTTCAAAATAAAATTTCTTTTGTTATTTAATTAAGTATTTGTCCTAACTTTATAACTTCATTATGCCACACTACGTTTAAAATATTGAATTGTTTATAACAATTTTTGTCTTAATTTATTTTATCAAAATTCGTCATTATTATTTGGTATAATTTTGAATTATGTAATTTGTTTGCTTAGAATTTTAACTTCTTTTTTTGCTTCTAAGTTTATTTTTTTCATAAGTTTTTATTTTGCAAACAAAGTTTGACAACTTTAGAGAAAAAGTTTAACATTAATCTTCGAGCATTGAAATTTATTATTTTGTTTTTATCACATTCACTCAATACATTTAGGTGTAAACAGGTACCTACGAAGAAATGTGAGCGATAATGGACTATAAATATATATAGTTTACTGGTGTTTTGTCATTATATCAATATTGTATTCAGTGTAATATTTTACTAAATTGTAAATGAAAGTAAAAAATCATGAAAAAAAATCTGAAAGGGACACTTTAATACGGCACTGGCATCCCCTCCAGTGAATAGAATTCCGAGAAGACAAGCTCCGCCCTATTCTCGACTATAAAAGACGGGCTCGCGACCCAGACATCGCATTCTCTTGAATGCGGTCGTACAGTTATGAACTCTCGAAGAAAATATTTTAAACGAAAAATTTTTTTCAATTTAAAAACTTACACTGAATAGATAAAGACTTTTTGACTACTTGTTTAGGAAACATTTTTTAACGATAGTGGAACGAGAAATTGATTTGAATGCTTAATTTAAATTTGACAGTGGCGTAGCGTTTTATATGGAAAGGCAATGACTGAAGATTTAAAACATTTTTGTCCATCTCATTAAGGTAGTTCATACGCTCAATGTCTGTATTGAAAACTACGACTGTCCTTATTTAAAATATTCATAAGTTAATAAATAATCTCAATTATTTATTTTAACTTATCGCGACGCCACTTTTTTTTATTAATAGATTGTCACCTAATTTGTCAAGTAATAATGATCCTCAAATTCTGAATGTTCAATTAGAAAAATAAACATTTATAATCTTTAGGATTTGACGGAATATTGGAATAAAATAGAAATAAATTTCATTCAATCGAACCTTCAGAACTTTAGGGACATAAATAATATTCCGTGATGTTGGAAGATTGTAACATTTTACATTTTTTTTTGTTATTTCTTATCGAAAAATTGAAGTAATTTAAAAATGCAAAAAAGTTATTCGAGTCACTTTCCATTTTGATAAGTATTTTAAAAGTTAAGTCGTCATTCAATCTGTTAAAAGTGTATTTTTTTCCCTCTGCTAATAAGCATAGACGTAAAATTTTTATTATAATCAGCTATATATATATTTTCATCGAATGAAGATTAAATCCTTATGCTATTTTTCATTTTATTTTCATTTTTATTTATTTTTTTATATATTTATTTATTTAAATCTTACGCATATTCGCATAAAATCATTGACAAAAATCATCATCATTATCGTAAAAACACTTTTTATTGTCGAGACGATCGTGATACGCCGATATTGATTTTTTTAAAAATGGAATTCCATTGTATCCTTAAAAATTAGCTTCAAATAAATTGTGAGCGTATAAAAATATACCTGTAAGTCCGACAATATTTTGTACATATTGAGCATAATTTAATTTATGAATAAGTTAGATTGCACACCATTTCTTAATAGCGTATTCTCGTTAATTTCTCTTTTTTTTATTTTAACCAGCAAGATTAATAAAGCTCTATGAAAAAATTTATAGTGAAATAAAAAATAAAAAACAATTTTTGTTTTTGAATTAAAAATAAAATGTTCCTTTGAAAACTATGAAAAAATGGGGATGTTTTTTTAAAAATGAAAAATCTTATGATTGAAATGTAATGGTAAAAAATGATGATGGGTAAATTGACAAATATTGAAACTCACAAATTATAATTTTTCCAAACTAATAACAATTTAATAAAGTTTATAATTATTGTTTAGAAAATTGATACGAACTTGTATAGAATAGACATGTATATAAAAGGAAGCACGATCGTTCGACGATTATATAATCATTCGTCATTTCTACGTATAATATCGTCTCCCATATGATTGTTGATACACTTTATATTACTGTAATTTTACAAGATAATTAATCGTCAATGACTTATTGTTATGACGAGTTTTTTAAAAAACACGAAAATTTTTAGGCCGATAGAAAAGGGTAACTATGTATATGTATATTATTAGATACTCTTGAAGCGAGTTTAATTTTATATATATAATTAATAACTATATGTAGATATTTTAAACCATCTCGTCATTTTAAATTAAATTCTTTTCGTAAATTTGTTTTTGCACCTTATATTACATATCATTTTAATTATGATATTTTTATATTATTCATCATAATTATTATTCATTATATTAAAAACTGGAATTTTTCTACTCAACTGACCAGCAGTGACATTAAATAATTAAATTTTTAATCGACTTGCATTTTTTTATAAACGCAAATAATCTCACTTTCAATATATACTGTACGGGTTATCCAAAATTAATATTTTTATATAATTCATTACTATGTTTGGCACAATATTTGATTCGAATGAAAAACTGTTTCTCTTTCCTATACAATTTACAGCGAAAACAAAAAGAATTTTACACTTTCAGTTTTTTTTTTTTTGTAAAAATCTTTTGTTTAATCTATTTCTATTTTATTTTTCTCTTGTAAATAAAATCTTTCGTTTCTTTTGTAAATAAAACCATATACGTGAGTTTATTTAGAAAATTCTTTTTCATTTACGTAAAAACATTCTTTAAATTTACTCTTCTAATTTTGAACAATAAGTGATTAAAACTCTTTTGATCTTTTCTCTAGAAACAAAAAAATTCGTTTTCGAAAAATATTTCTTTGCATTTATTTAATTAATAATTCTTTTAAAAAAATTGTCTTTTTCAAAGGAGGTAGTTTGACGTTTTTAACGCAATTCTAATATTTGGGATTATAACGAATTATCGATTTTTGTGTTACAAGCTTTCTTTCTAATTTTTCAAAATGGGTGGGCGGATGGTAAATTATTGACGATATGAAGTGAATAAATAATAAATTAATAAATGATAAATTATCAAATATTAAAGTATAATAATACTAATAATAATAGTTACATAATATAAATTGTATATTATATTACTATTTATTATATATTCATAAATAATTAATAACTGAATAAACTAACTAATTAATAAACATAAGTTCAAAGAAAGTAAAAGAAAGAAATTCGAAATGATAATTTAAAATGTAAATTATATTAGAAATGAAAAAAATTGTAATTACCGAACAGGAAATTCGAGGAGTGAAGATGATTTTTTTTTGGTCTACTGCATAGTCAGGGATTCGACAGATAGAGACATGGAAGCATGACGATATACTTGAGGGCCAGGAGTGGATGGAACCTCTTCTATTCTCTCCAAGTCATTCGCAGCTCCAGCACTGTTTTGCTTGTTCAATCGTGGAGCTATTCTCTGAGAGTGTTGGTCGGGCACTATTATCGCTGGCTCATCTGCACGATCCAAGCTGAACTGTCTTTTAAGTAATCGACACGCGGAATTTTTCCCTAGAAAAAAAAAGAAATTTTCATTTCAAACTTAAAGTACATTTCATTCTCTCCTCGCATTTATTTTTGTTTATAACTTTAAAAAAAAAGTTATTTCAACTATAATCATTTTATTGTTTATATCTTTTAATTTAATATTTATTTTAAATCTATAACAGAAAATAATTGTTAATTGTCAATAATTGTTAGTCGAACTCTATTTTTAATTTGTAGAGATGTCTTCTCAACAACTCATTGTTGAGAAAACATCTCTTCAAATTAAAAATACGTTGAATTCTTTTTTCTTTCCAATAATTCATTGTTGAGAAAAAAAAATTGACATTTATAATTATTTTGCTTATGAGGAGTTTTTTCCATAGAGATAAAAAAATAAACTTCGCTAGAACGTACGAAGAAATGGAAGCGTCAGGCCGATAGAAAGAGTCAGCTAGTGTACTTACCGTCCCCACTTCTTTCTCTCTCTAGAGACGCATGCGCACGATTGTCACCAGAAGCAACTGCTTTTTTCTTTGTTAAGAAACAAAGAGAAAAGAGGGGACGTTACATCCACTAGCTTTACTACTTAATTACGATAATTAATTATACAAAGTAAATCTAAGAATTCGTACCATAAAAAAATAATAAAAAATTCTTACCATGATCATTGGGCGAAAGACATCGATAATGATTATAAGGAGTGCTGAGATCATCTTGATCGAAGACACCGACTCTTCTGTGTCGTCGATAATTTGTTCCTGGCACGGAGGCGAGTGACGTTGTCGATGCTCCCAAAAGAGCGGCAGCAACTTCCGCAGCGGAAACTGGAGTTGCCAGATTCGTTTGATTGTCACCGGATGTACTTTTTGTAATTGTTGCACTACTATAGTCTGGCGTCTTTACAATGTCTTTTGGTGTGTCAATAACTTCGCTTGATTTTAACGAATAGCTATACGTCAATGTTCTCTCATTATGGACGGAGACCGCTACTTTTTTCGTGTCCACTTTATCCACACACGTATTATTATCACTCGCGGTTATTTTTACCGACGACAATGATTCTTGATCGATCGCTGGCAAATTATCCAGGGAATTATTCTCCTCAAAACTCACGTCCTCAGCTATTGGCGATGGATGTTTTGGACTTCCCAAATCGGCGTCTTGATTCACCAGACTTCCCAGTATCAGACTTTCCTCGAGTCTGAAAATTTATTAGATATTAAGGTCATGTTATTCAGTGTGACGTTTTTCCATAGTAAAGTACATGGGGCACGTGACCACTGAATAACATAACCTTAATGTGTAAAAGAATTTTGGAGAAGGAAAAATAAACAGATGTGTTAGATTCCGTTGTGTCCGAATTGCATGCAGAAATCCCTTTTGAACCACTGTCAAACTGTTCCCACCAAATATTTTCCTCTTTCCGAAATATAAGCATCGAAAGAAATTATTCGTTTCAAAATCAGTTGGCAAAGCTGGATAAAGTGCGAAGGGAAATTTTTGGTTTTGCCTGGGACGCAATTCGATCGTCCGCGCACGCAATTCGTGTTCAGCCTTAGATTTCAACAAAGAAATTTATCTTCAAAGGAGTTAAGAAAAGTTCTACTTTCGCCACGCTTTTTTAACATGAAAAGTTCTCCTTTCAGAGCAGGAGTTGTAGAAAAGTTTTTTCCGGAAACTTTCTGAACAAGTAAAAAGGTTTCGTTTGTTCTAATAATAGTAAATATTATCAGAAACTATCTATTACTAGTACAGTAATAGCTAAAGACAAGATGGTTAATATTTTTCAAGCATTAAGTAATAATAAAAATAATCTTACCGATGATCCTCTCTGATTAGGCAGCAATGCAACAAATGAAAAATACAATTAATCTGAAAAGAAATATTCAAATGCAGTTCTTGGTTATAAAGTGAAAGTTTCCATAAAAATAAAAGTGAAAAAAGTACAAGACACAGTTACAAAGGTAAAAGGTGAAGAATAATTATTGGGTTGATTAGGTTTTTGAAAATTGAAAATTATTGGGTTTTAAAGTGGATGGATCTATTTTTTTCCAGGATATTAATCGAGTGGGTTGTGTGTGTGAGAGGGGAATTGAACTGCATCTCTGAGAGAGAGTTTATTGAAGCGTTACGCTGGGGAAAATGACAACTTACCCAAGAGGCGGCGGTGTCGGAAGCTCTTTGTCGAAGCCTTGCTTTCCGAGAAGCCAGTATGTTGGCATCTTCCCTTTACCCTTTACGTCTGTTCTTCCTCGATACTCAATGTAGTATCCGCCAACTTGCGTTAATCGATCTCTTGTTGCTTGGCTCATATGAATTCGCCATGGTGCTCCGGTGGACTCCATTCTAGATGTTGTGTTTACCGTATCACCAAACAGGCAATATCTTGGCATTGTCAGACCAACGACCCCTGCACAACAGGGTCCTGCAAAATAAAAATACATCGTTCAATCATTCTATTTTCTACTTTAAAGTTATTTATGATATAAATATCTGGTCTTTAATTGAAAATCTAACAATTTAACTAAAATTCGGTCGAATTTTGTGTTCCAGATGAAGCAACTCTTGATAATCTGAGTCACTGCAAACTGTCTTTTTCTGTTGGTTCTCCTCATTTTGTTTATTAGTTAAATGAAGGTTAAATAATACTGTTTAATAGTATCCAAAAGTGTGTTACGAAGCAATAATGTAAACTGTGTATTCTGTTATGGTTCAGTTTAAGTGTGTAAGTACAATTAACATTAAATAAATGTTTGATTAAATATTGCTGTGTTAATTATTTATTCCCAAACCTTTCTATATTTTCATGCAGATCTAATTAAGATCACACACAACGCAATTCCAATTTTAAATATTGAAAACAATTATTGGATTTTGTATTTTTAATTGTCCATTTTGAGATAATAAATTGTTTTATTTAAAAAAACATTGATCAATGAAATAATAATGGCTAATGAAAATGGTCAATTATTTTAATCATTAAAGTTAAATAAATTTTAGAAACTTAAGCTATATTGGTTAATGCTTATTTTTTGTCCCACAAACTTTTCCTGACATAACAATGTTTGAGAGGAAAATGTTGGTACTCCATTATTGTGTAAACTAAATAATATAAGTTTATGTTCAGTCTCTAATGACTATAAATTAAATCACTATTCTGTTTTAGAGGACTTACCAGTATGAAGGCCAATTCTCAAGCGTAATTGAGTTTTCGGCAAATGCTTTAGTTTGAATTTTCCACTTTGATGAAGAAGATCTAATGCCATTGTTGCAACTTGAGACGCATGATCAGGTATCCTTACAGGACATCCACCGACAACCATGTAAGCATCTCCTATTGTTTCCACCTTTATAAAGACAATTCAATTATATTTCATTTTAAATTAAAAATCAAAGGAGCACGCACAAAATACATATAAATTGGATCCCAGTCGATTTTTTTTAAACTGCGTAGAAAAGTAGTTTTTTGTGTCAGGAAAAAGATTCCCAATTGAGAAATAAAAAAAAATTGACTGGGATCCAATTTGTATGTATTTTGTGCGTGGTCCTTTGTTAATATATCGCAGATTTTTTTTCAAAGGACATATTTTTTAATTATTTTTTATTACCAATAATATTTTTTAGGACAGACACTATATTTTCGAAATGAAATTACATTTTATAAAAAAGGAAATGTAAATACAAATTTTAGAGGATTTTTAAATGTTTGACAAACATTGTTAGTGGAATATTTTTATATTGCATTAAAATAATTTTATTAAAATATGCGCTTAAAAAATAAGAAACAAAAAATAAAAATTTCTTTAAAATCAATTTTCAACTCTTGTTTTCGACTTTAAAATTATAATCGAATTACTTTTTTTTTTATTTCAGTTATCAGGGAATATTTTATTTGCATTAATTTTCTTTTGAAACACGTCAGCTGTGAATTTTATTTTTAATTTTTCATCATGAATTTTCTTTTAGAAGGCAATTTACTCGCGCAACATTTTGCATTTTAACCTTTGCATCGAAACGCGCGTTATTAAATAGTTAATGGGATGTAAAAAAGAATTTTTCTACCAAGTTGCTTTTATAGTGTCCTCTCATATATATTCCCTAAATTTTTTAACTGACGGGAAATTTAATGTTTATTGACATATTAATTTTTGTTGTTCAAAAGTATGGGGGGTTTTTTTTAAATGATGGATATACACGTGTCTATATATTTATAAAAATCACCTTATAAACTGTGTAGGCGTTTATCGTCGCATCAAAACAAGTGTACAAGTCGTTTAGTAGGTCAACAACTTGAAAAGGTGTAGAATAAGCAGAGATCGTCGTAAAACCGACGATGTCAGAAAAATAAATAGTGACCTCTCGAAATTCCTCGGGATCCACTGGCATTCCTAGTTTTAACTTTTCCGCCACTGAACTGTTGACGGAGAAAAGTTTTTTGAAATGGTTCAAAATACAAAAATCTTTTATTAAATGATTTTTATGATAAATTTTTTTCTTAATCCTCATTTAGTGTTAATCTATTGTAACCCCTTAGCCTTTTGTGGAAAATACGTATAAATTAATAAAAATACAAACAATTGTGAGTCGAAATTATTTTTTCTTAAATATCATTTAGCGATTTCCTATAGTAAAATTTTCTAAGTGCATTTTTTGGAATTGACGATAAAAATTGTTATCGAAAGATACTTTCCAGTAACGATAATCTTTTCTCCAGTTGAAAGTTGGTAAATGGGATTTGGCTTATCACAAGTGATGCACTTTTTTCCATTTTTGCCAAATTTTATGTCTTTATAACACGTGCATGATATAATAAAATAAGCGAACTTTTCTATGAAAAGACATTTCTAATACACTTCGATTTGAAATTTATTATTAAATTTACTAATAATCCCGTTCTACCTTAAGCAAGCACCAAAATGAGAATGAGAATTAAATGGCCGTTTCGACATAGATTACACAGGTCAACAAAAAAAGACTTACTTTTTTTTTATGAGATAGCGGAATGGTTTCCTATGTATTTTTGGACGCTGAACACGATCCCGACTTCCAAATTTGCCCATCACGTCAGGATTTTGAGAAAAGTGGGGGTAAAGACCCCAAAAACGCTTTTTTGAGGATTTTCAACATTTCTTTTCTCTTTAACCTGACGTGCTAGAGACTTCCACAAGGTCTTAAATTAAAGCTTGTAATATGCACTACAAGACCAATATCCATAAAATAAAAAAAAATTAAAATTTTTTTCAAAAAATGGGGTTGAAGACACCAAAAATTTGTGTTTTTGGATTGCTTTAATAGACTTCTTGCAATCGCTTGGATTCGCTTAAAAATGGGTACTTGGGGTTTTTGGGGTCGCTGATTACGAATCCAATATTTGTTTGCAAAAATTTAAAACGGCGAAACCAAGATGGCAGATGTAAGAATTAAGAATTGCTTGGATTCGCTTGAAAATTGTTATTTCAGGGTTTTTGGGGTCGCTGATTACGAATCCGCCATTTTTAATTTTTGCAAACTAATATCGGATTCGTAATCAGCGACCCCAAAAACCCCAAGTAACCATTTTCATGCGTATCCAAGCAATTGCAAAAAGTCTATTAAAGCAATCCAAAAACACAAATTTTTGGTGTCTTCAATCCCATTTTTTGAAAAAAATTTTAATTTTTTTTTTATTTTATGGATATTGGTCTTTTAGTGCACATTACAAGCTTTAATTTAAGACCTTGTGGAAGTCTCTAGCACGTCAGGTTAAAGAGAAAATAAATGTTGAAATTCCTCAAAAAAGCGTTTTTGGGGTCTTTACCCCCACTTTTCTCAAAATCCTGACGTGATGGGCAATTTTGGAAGTCGGGATCGTGTTCAGCGTCCAAAAATACATAGGAAACCATTCCGCTATCTCATAAAAAAAAAGTAAGTCTTTTTTTATTGACCTGTGTTATAAGCGACTTCTCTTCATGGTGAGTCCCCTGGGAGTTAATTACTCGAATTACGGTATATTCGCGGTCGGCAAAACAAAATGCTAAATAATAATAATTTATCACTACTTTAATATGACTAATATAATATAATAATAATAATATAATAAATATAGATTGAGTAATGATAAAAATAATATTCATATATTGTGCGTGTACTTACGCTGGCAGCATACGGTTCAGCAACTGTTCAGTCTTCTTTTTTTCCATGTCCAACTGCTCTGTCCTCTCGCGAATTAGTTCCTCAAGATTGTTCGAGTACTTTTCCAACATTTCAAACATCGTGTCCACAAAGTTTACTTTCCTAGGAATATTTTAGGTACTCTTGTCAATTTAGTTAAGATAAAAGTTTGCCAACTTCTTTCAACCTTCAGTTTCTTAATTAAATATTTTTCTTTGCGGTAAAAGAGGTCTTTCTTATTGTCTCAAAACTTCCCAAATAATGTTCATTGCAGTAAATAATGAAAAGCTTAAAGTTCTCGTATTTCAAATTTTTAATAATCAAAACGTTGCATTGTTTGAAGAAAAAGAAAATGAAAAGGCAATTAAAAACTTAATTAAAAATATTTAATAATAAAAATAATTAAAAGTTTTTATTTTAATAATAAAATGTATTAAAAACTAAAAGTTGATATTTAAAAACATTACCTTCCGTGATTTAATTTTTTAAAAAGATCATAAACAGCATTGAAGTCAGGTCGCATGTCTGCAGCTTCGGCCCAACATTGACGCATGATGTTGATAGCTTCCGGTGGTGCTGCGCCTTTACTGACCGAGGGCCTGATTAATGGCGGTGGTTTTTTCACCTTTTCAATTATATCTAGAGAAAAACATGTGAAAAAGAAGAAAATAACCACTTTAGAAAAATTAGTTTTCACAAAAAAACGCCCTCATTCTTTCTTCATCTCTCCGTCAATAATTAATTTCCACTTCACAATCTGTGAATAAATAATAAATAACAAGTAGATTTTGTCTCAGGGGGAAAGATTGAAATAAAACAAAATAAAATCAAGAAAAGATAAAAACATCGAGAAATTGAAAAATAGAGATATATTTTTTATCTGAAACAGAAATGAAATTCTTAAACTTATTCTGAAAAGCCATCTATACATATTATACAGGAAAAGTTTCTAGATGTGATAATTCTATTATCATTTGTTTTTAGAGAACTGTCTCTCATTTTGAATATAAGCAAAAATGACATTGCCGCTCGGGGGAAATTCATTTGGAAACTTGGCATTAGAAATGGTTTAAAGTTCAGAGCTTAATGTACAAAAGGGGCGATAATTCTGTACGACACCGCAACACACGAAGCTCATTACGAAGCTTATAATGCAGCTCGTCATTAATTAAATCTCAAGGACGCATTACTGATGACAATTTGAAATTAGACTTTTGTCCTTAATACGGAAATCGTTCACTTTACCTCATTACATGAAGTAATTAATTTTTTTCTAATTGGGGGAGAAAAACAATTGTTTTGACCTAAAAAAATCACAGATTTGATATTATACTAAAAATTATTTTGGTCCTTTTATGATAATTAGGTATTTAAAAAAACGACCAATCTCCATTTACAATATTAAAATCCATAAAATACGGGAGAAGCTATAATTGACACCGAGTCAACGAAATTGATCTTTGTAAAGTAGGTAAACAGTAAACATGTTATTTCATCTTGATCGAGAAAATAAAAACATTTACGCGACCTTGGCTTTCTTTCATTAAAATCGTTTTTATTTTAATCAAATGGATGAAAAAAATTGGAAATGTTTATTTTCACATAGCATTAGAGAGAGTTTTAGTAAACAGTCATGTAAAATTTAAGGGATGAGAAATTGTTTTCGCAAGAGACGCAAAGTTGACGTTTATGAGGTTTGCAGAGGCTTTTACGCTTTTAGTTTATTTGGTTTTCATACATATATACAATATTTATGTATATATTTTGTCTTTAGAGAGTGCATTTGTATTATCAGGACTTACCTTCCGGTGACAGAGCTAACATGCAAAAAGGCTCTCCACGGACAACGACTTCTTGCATGATGATACCAAAACTGTACACATCCCCCGCTTGAGTTCCTCTCTTTCTAAGGCCTGCGTGCCTCAGCAATTCCGGAGCTGTCCAAAGCAAGTCTGAAACAATTTAACTCTTTATCGAAACCATAAAAAAATTCCCCATTTCATTCTCCCTTTTTTCGCCCTCTTTTTATACCCTCTTTATTATCGACATTACAGAAAATCTCAAATTGTAATAAAACTAAATCGTTGGAAAAATGTTCGTAAATCTGGGACTGTTTTTTCCGTTAGAGATTTAGAAAAAGAAGCAGGGGAAAAGGAATTCTCCCAAGAAATCAATAGACGTTTAATTTAATTCCAAAAAATAATATCAGCAACATTGTTACGCTTTTAAACCTTGAAATAAAAAATACTTTATTAAAAATTAATTCCCTGCATGATTTTGTTTCAAAATTATTAAAAATTGAAATGAAAAATTTTTACAACAAGATAATAAATTATAATTGACAATATGTTATTAATAGTTGAACGAAGATTGAAAATATGAAATATTTATTTAATATTGTAAGCAGTATAATAAATAGAAATTTTTATTTATCGTAAATTTTCATGACACGTGTAGCAATATTTCACGTTTTTATGTATTCACATTATTGATGTTTGCGAACATTTGTAACGAAAATAAATAGTTGGTAACGAAGTTCAGAAAAAATATCAACAGCAAAGCTTTTATAAACTCAATTCAGTTAATTAATTCAACACGAACTGTATTTTCATGTTTTCATCTTCAAAATCAGCAGAATGCAAATTTTTGGGTTTATTTTATACACTTTATTTTCCAAGAGATTTTTAAAATTTACTTTCAATAACGATTATTATTTTAATTGGCCTATCAGTTATATATTGAAATTTGATAAATGCAACAGAAGTTATAATACTTTTTCATAAAGGGATTTAAATTATTTAATTTTAATCCTTTAATAATTTTCATTTTTCATTTATATTTTCGTATAGGAATTATTGATAAATAAATGCCAAAATCATTCCTAACAGTATTGTCTATTTTTTTCCCTTCCGAATTGAGTCGATAAATAAATAAGATAAGAAACTCACCCCGAGCAGTTTTTATCGGCGTAATGGCATTCTGGGCCTCGTAAAAGGCCGGAAGACCATAATCGGCGACTTTGAGAACCCAACGTGCATCAATGACACAATTTCTTGATGTGAGAAACCCATGAACACGTACAGGAGTACTATGAAGGTACTTCATACCCTTAAAAAGCCAAAATCTTAATACTTCGCATCTTCTTTTTTATATTGTCAACGACTTTTTTTTTATCATATATACACATATATCGAGCAATATATTACCCACACATCTGGTTACTATAAAAATCTCAAAAATATTCACATCTTTAATTCTAAGCAACGTAATTCTTAAATTTAAAATAGGAATACTTTAATATAAAATAGGAATATTTTTAAATGCAATATAGGAAATATTATTTATAAAACTTTTTTAATAGAAAAAAGTGAACGAACAAAAATAAAAAAAGGAGCGACATTTTTCAAAGAACGTACCTGGATTAAACAAAAGGAAAAATGATAAAAAAAGTATATGAAGAGGAGTAAATAAACTTTAAAAAATAGTAATCTAACCTTATATTACTATATAAATGAAGATTTTTAATAAGAAATAAAGGTAAAATATTTAATAAAAAATGAAAAATGTTTCGGAAAACTTTGTAATGAAACGTATTCTAAAATCAATTGTACCGAACTTATATAAATCCAAAACATTCTTAATTAAAACTTTTCAAACAGCAAATGTTTTATGAAAGAAAAAAGTTTTAAAGAGTGAAAAATAATTGTAGCTATGTATAGACAAGTTTGGTCTGCCTCTCGACTATTATAGTCAACTGTAGCTGCTTTATGATCCACTATAAATATTATAGCAAAGATTTTTATTTGCAGATCTACTACTTTTGTTCAAGATAAGCAACGGCTTGCATAATTGTTCTAATCTTTTATCCTTATTTCCTTTTCACATTACTAGTTCACAATTTTTTATTTTACAGTACAAGAGAACTAATTAACTAGATAATTTCGTAATTATTAATTAACAGACTAAGTAGAGAGGCAAATTAATTTTAATAAGTGTTCATTTTTTTTGCAATATCCCTTTACTTTACTTTCGCCACTCTCTTCAGAAGAGTTGAGAAAAGTTCTACTTTCGCCACACTTTTCTAACAAAAAAAGTACTCCTTTCAGAGCAGGCGCTGGAGAAATTAATATTTATTAATATCAGAAAAGAAAATTTTCAGCAGCAAGCTTACGTGCTATCTGGGATAGTAGAAACTCTCAAGTAAATATACAATCATTTTAATACTATACCGAAAAAAATATGAATTATCCGTGTAATTAAATTAATAAATAAATATCAAAAAGCGATATAAAAAAGCAAAAAAAAAGATTATAATGATTTTATTGAGGAAAAGAAGCATGTTGTGGTACTCACTCGAACTAGATCCGTGAGAAGAGAGAGCCTAAAGGACCAGTCGAGCTTGATTTCATCCTGGACCAGAACGTCTTCCAGTGAGCCTCTGGAGCAAAATTCAGACACCAGACACGGTCTCGTCGGTTCGTTCAGACATCCGATCAGTGGGTTCAGGTTCTCGTGACGAAGTCCATGGATCTAATGACAATGAGAGTCACTCTCGACGACGTCGAAGGATTAAAGGGGTCTAAAGATCATCAGAAATAACGATCATGAAGATATCCTTACCGTGACCAGCACATCAATGGCTTTGCTCTTCAGCTCGAAGGTCCCCTGGATCTGCAGTTCCTTCAGTTGCACCAAGTCACCCTGTACCAAACAAAAAAAAAGATAATATTAATTTCTTAATGAAACGATTAAATATGCAAATTAGATATTCTTATGTCATTTCGTCGAGGTATAATGATGTGCACTGTCGATTATTGTCCAGTATACACACCATTAGAACTCGGCTGGCGAAAAAACATATTAGACGGGTGGTCCAGACAAATGCGAGTACTCCTAATTTCAAGTCGTTCTGTAGGCGCAATTCATGTCATAAAAATTGTAAGAGTGGACAAATAAATATTTACTTTCCAGGAACTTTAAAGTAATGTTTTTTGCCCACAGGATCATCATTAAAGAAGAGATTCTTCTTTTTTAAAAAATTTAAACCGATTGCAACAAAATACTAACAACTCTGGTAACTATAATTGTTGATATTGTTAATTAGCAGTCGGATTTAAAGACACTTGACGAAAACAAGGATCGCAAAGTTAGCGTCAAATGAATATGGAATTCCGTTAGACAATATCTCCTCTAAATCAGGCTCTAGGATGATGATAGGTGGGTTGGCAGCTTATAACATCTTCATAGCTAGTACGACAATTAAATCAGTGAATTTCATGGGCGACGGGTGACAAAAGAGGAGGCTGACGTTAATTACGGTGCAAGCTGTCATGCACGCCTAATGTTATTAGAACTTACCGCAATGTCTGTTTGTGTCAAGAAATAATCTTATCATTTCAAAGAACAAGTTTGAGGACAAAACTCAGAAATAAATACCAATTACAATAGATGATTATGATCCAATCGATCTAACGTTAAAAACAGATACAATGTATTTTGAATTTCATGAATTTCATGAATTGCATGGAATTTTAAAACGGTCATCATTTATAATTAAAGTACAATAAAGTACTTAATTATACGCTTTTAGAAGATTGTTAGTTATTGAAGCTTTTATAATTTTAAAGCTTCAACCTTAAATAGAACTTAATTTCGATTTAATTTAAAAACTTGTATTCCAAGGATGAAACTTTTAACAAAGAACTTAATAATGCGCAATAATGTTACACTTTAACATTCGTAAATTAAATACCAACTTTTTTTCCTCAATGAGAAACACGATTACTTCAATTATTTCTAGTCAATTTATCTGTAAACTTTTTTTCTCCATAAAGCTAATGTATAAAGAAAATAAAATGGCCAATTGCTTTAAAAACAACTTGCAGGAAACTTTTCTAAATGCTAAAAGAGTACAGTAGTAATTTTTTAATAAGTTTCATATTCAAAAAGTTCCTGTTGAAAATTTCCGACAAGAGATGTAGAGCTGGATATTTTTGACGCATTAAAAGTGGATTTTAAGGAGTTGAAAATGTTTCGGCAATTTGGAGATAAGAATTGTAAAGGGTACATATACATAGTAGGGGATGAAAGTGAATTTGGTAGTTTTGTGTTTGAACCTATTAGTCTAGAGTTTCGTGCTATTTAATGGGCTTTATCTAATTTAATCTCTGATTAAAGTAAAAGGGAAGAGAACATAGAGAAGCATTAGCTTCACAGTGTCTCCCTTTTCAACTATTCGACGACGAGGACGAAGACGACGACGTCGACGTCGAGATTTTCAATCGAGATTGCAAGGATAATTGACCAGACGTCGACTCAAGCTAGAAATCTTATTATCTTCCTTTCCACACTATACAATATCTCGTAACTGGGTCAGCGACTTGTATATTACAAGTCTCCTGTTTTATATAGGTTTTCTATCATCTGACTCTCAAGCAACTTTTATAAACCTCGTTAACCATAAAAAAAAATTATACTCTTATTAAACTTTTATTCATTCTTATCACGAGTCCTGCGTGTAATGGAGATCCCAACACATTTTTAGTTATTTTCAATTTACTGCCTCCGTCCGCTAATCAATTATTATTCCTTATAACATTCAATTATTCTTCATAGCTTTCAATAATTTATGACTTAATTGAAATTTAATTCAATGCCCTTTGCCCTTTAATTTAATTAGAATTAAAATTAATTACTCTCTTTATTTACCATGTCCTACTGATTATCCTAATTTAGGATTACACTTTCAAAAAAAGGAACCTAAAGAAATATTTAATTTTTTAAAATATTTTTCATCACATCCTCTCGTTGAAACGAAAATTAACAAACTTCTAATTAAGTTTTACGCCACTGATGTAAAAGTAAATTAAAAAAGCTTATTTCTCTTGGAAAACAAAATCCGATGAAATTCTAATTTCCATGATTAACAGCTCAGTTCATTTCAAAAGAAGAAACTATTGTACTAAGCAGATTCTTTTCATTGAAAAAAAGAAGATTTTTCTGAATTTAAATACATCGGCTTTATTTTTGAAATTTTCTCTATGGAAAGTTCAGAGTAGAAAAAACAAAAGCAATAGAAAGGTGTGCGCAGACAAGTGTCTTTTTTTGACGAGAACGTTTTCTCTGCGCCTTAACGTCGTTAGTCAACATTTAATTATGCGATCTCGTTTATATTTTTACTTTGCTTCACACTCAAGAATTCTTTTTTTTCGCAGCAAATATTATCAAGGCCAACGAAAAGCTTTTACGCGAAATTAGTTTCATTAACATTATTTCCAACTGAGACTTCATATAAGTGTATATATACGAGAACTATTTCATTTTCAAGCGAAATCACTCGACTTTTATCAGTTTTTATATTAAAGTTGGGGAGACACTTATAAAAAATGTCCTTGAGCTCGAAATTACCCGAAAGACATTTAAACTTTGTTTCTCACCAATCTTTGAATCCCGTCAAATTAGATATATTTTTAACGCCGTGAGAATTATTTGCAAAATGTAATGATACTTACCTCTTATTGTTTTTTATTTTTAGATTTGAACTTTTTAATTCTATAAAATTATTTATAACTCAATAATAGTAAATTACTAGCAAATATCATTAATGGTAGAGAACGTCTACTTATTTATTTACGGTTTTCCCAAAAATTTGAATAATTCATAATTTTCGGTGTAAAGTTGCTCGTTTTCAAAATTTAAGAAACTTTCGTCCCACTCCATAACTAAATTATTGCGACACTATCTAAATAATGAGAATTAATACGGAAAATAGTGAAAGTCAAAATAAAATAATTGAATCAAAGGACACTTTATGTGTCTAGAATAAATTTGAGACCATTGTTATATAAAGGATTTGCATAATTTTTCTGGTCAACAGAGCAACTCTCGTTGTTGAATAAAATAATTTGTGGTCTTTGGGGGAAAAGGCTTTCTGAAATTTGCACTCCTGATAAACTACGAAATACTCGACTAAAATTGATAATTTAAATCTTGTATTAATTTGAAAAATTAAAATAATAGAAGATTTCTCATCCGTATTTTTTAATTTAAATTTATATCTACGTCTTTTAAAAGAGAATTAATTGAGAACTAAGCTACCACTGTTTGCTTGCGTTTTTTTTTTTTTTGAAGATTTCTCTTGACACTCATTAAATTCTCTTTTTCTTTTAATTTCACATTCTCCCCGTATAATCGAAATAGAATTTTCACATGAAGATGAATTACATTTGAAAAATTTTCAAAATATAAGTGAAGAAAAATGGATAAAAACTAAAAATAATTAAAAAGATTATAATTTTTTCGTATAAATAAATTGTAAATAAATTACATTAGAAAATGAGAAATAATATTTTCCCTTATTTCTTTCTTTGGAGAAAACAGAAAAATTTAACAATAAGGAACTATAAGAGTAAAGTGGAATTAGTAATTGCGAGAAATTCATTGAAGGCATTGTTCCCCTTTTATTGTTTCCATTTTACGAAAATGTCTTCACATTACATATATAATTCTGTCAGAAAGAAAAACGGCCAAGAAAAATAATAATCGAATATTTATTTTAAGAGCATATTTGAGATCCCAGAGAGCATCAATAATCAAATTAGTTTGATAAGAAGGAGAAAAAAAACTTATTTTCTTAAGTGGTTTCGCCTGTTGTAAAAATTTGATAAACGAAAATAAATAATTACAGAATAGGATAAAAAATAAAAATAAAAAAAGAGTTTTTCACTTTCATGAGTTTTGCATTTAATGGGAGGTAATTTTTGAGAAAATCCGGTATTGAAATAATCTCAGGTGCTTGCTTCGCAGGAAAATTGACCCAAGACTTTGAATAAAATGAATGGATTGAATCATTGAAGTAAACGCTACATTGTACGAAGAATAAGGTAAAATCGAAAAGGCAATGTACCTCCACTGATTCCAGGCACTTACAACAATACCTCTTTCATCCATATACTCTCTCATTCTCTTCATATCCTTTCTTCTCCCTCAACTCGTTGAATTCAATTTCTCGCTTGGAAACGTGCGGATAAAACGGTATCGCAGTCAAACTGAAAATCTCAGAATGAAGCGTGACAAAAATTGTCGTCTATCCTTTATAATCCGATATCCTACACACAATACATCAAAAAACCTTGATTCCCATAACAAACCCTCACTATTTCTATAATATCACTATTTCTATTAACAAAAAGTAGAAAGAGGTACAAAAAATATTTGCAGACTATTGCAAAGTTTCACGCCTTTCATTTTACAATGGGGTCAAGTAATTTTATTTTGGTTCAGGAAAAAATTTCCCAATTGTTTTCCATCTAAAGACTTGAAAATTAGAAAATATTATAATAATATCAATAACTTGGATCGAATTATACTTGAAAAATGCTGGTCACAATCTTCAATGGCTCATAAAGTTTTTGATACAAAAAATTCTTTTAATTAAAGCTCTATAATTATTTGTTAACAAAAAAGAACTTACGAACCCTGAGATAAATTCAATTAAAAAACCCCTATTTTATCTGGGTTGCCACAAAAATTTTATTTTGTTTTCCTGATTTCCAGAAAAAAATTTCACTTTTTCCCTAACCCTAATAAATATTCTGATTTATCCTAAAAATTATTAGATACTGAGAAAAATGTTCTATAATACATTTATTTACAAATTTCTTTAATTTTAAAATTAATCGAAAACATCAATAACTTATCTTTTTAAATAAATATTTAATCATTATTATTTGTACATAGCAATTAAAATTCTTCAAAAGATTCAAAATCAAACCTTTTTAAATTCAATAAATTATATGAATATTATTATAAACACGATTTTCAACGATTTAAATTTGAAACATTTTCAAAATTCAATTATTTATAAAAATCCATGTTATTATCCATTTATGCTTTTAATATTAAATTATTATTTAAAATTTTAACTCAAATTCATTTTTAAATCAATTTTTATTATAGAAAATATCCACGAAAAATTAGTTTTTTAAATACAAAAATAAATAATTTAATATATAATTGAATGTTTTTTAAAATTTATTTTTTACGATGCATTTTATTAACACCTTTTGAAAATAATTAGGGGAGGATGGGGCAAGGATAGTTAGGTAAGACCTTTTCGGATCTAGCAGACAAACTTGATTATGTATCTGCAAATGAAAAGTATTTTTGGAAAGCCTGGTTATTTGGCTATAATTTTGCTGTACATTATTTTACTGTAGACTCAAATCCCTACGAGATACGAATGAAAAAGTAAACAAAAATTTTTAACTATCCTTGCCCCAGTACCGGGGCAAGGATAGTTAAAAGAATTCGAATGCTAAAAATGTTATAGAAAATCAGTAAATTTTTGTTTTCTTCATTTTACTGGATTTAGACTATTCAATATTGATATCCCAAGTATTAAAAATATGTATGGAACATTTTCTGAATTGCAATTATTGTATTAAAATTCATCTGAACTAGAATCAGAGGTTTAACCAATTTTTTTCAGACGACCACGAATTTCTTGGTCATAAGCTTCGTTTTCCGTATATAATTACGCACCATTATGTATATCAACCCAAAGAGAACAATTAAACACTTTTTTAAAATTTTCAATGGTATTAACATGATTTTACCGTGCCGTATTATCTCTAACTATACTTGCCCCGTGAGCCCACCCAATGGGAAGTAAACGATTGGTTCAATAATGGGCCATGCTTGGCGAACTCCGTTCCATTATTGGAACATTAATGGCAACCATCATTGGACCACCAATGGTTTAAACTTGGGATGATCACGCTACTGCCAATGATCGGTAGCCAAGCATCGGGCCAATATTAGTTGCCAAGGAATTGCCAAGGAAACAAAATCGATTTTCAAAAGCTTGATTTTTTATTGGCAGCCAACAAAAAACAAAGGTTTTGAAAATTGATTTTTCTTAATTATTAATTAAAATTTATTTTTAAAAAATATATTTTTCAAAAAATTATTTTAAAAAAAAATATATTTTTTAAAAATATATATTTTTTTAAATTAATAGAACATATTAATTTAATTTGTCACCTCTGGTAAAACAAAGATGAAAGACTGATAAATTCCCTCACTTTATATTTTACAGTGGAGGGATAACTGTGAATTTCTTTGCGAGAGAGGAGCAGGTACTTATATAGAGCCAGTGAGAAAGGTCACAAGCGAGAACAAATCACTAGCATGCACTCTGGCGGCGCTTGTCGGAACTGTTTTCTGGCGCGCATGCATATCCTGACATTATCGACACAGCGCTTGGCAACCAACGTTGCGCCACTTCCGACAAGCGCCGCCAGAGTGCATGCTAGTGATTTGTTCTCGCTTGTGACCTTTCTCACTGGCTCTATATAAGTACCTGCTTCTCTCTCGCAAAGACATTCACAGTCATCCCTCCACTGTAAAATATAAAGTGAGGGAATTTATCAGTCTTTCATCTTTGTTTTACCAGAGGTGACAAATTAAATTAATATGTTCTATTAATTTAAAAAAATTTATATTTTTAAAAAATATATTTTTTTAAAATAAATTTTTGAAAAATATATTTTTTAAAAATAAATTTTAATTAATAATTAAAAAAAATCAATTTTCAAAACCTTGGTTTTTTGTTGGCTGCCAATAAAAAATCAAGCTTTTGAAAATCGATTTTGTCTCCTTGGCAATTCCTTGGCAACTAATATTGGCCCGATGCTTGGCTACCGATCATTGGCAGTAGCGTGATCATCCCAAGTTTAAACCATTGGTGGTCCAATGATGGTTGCCAATTGTTTTGCCAAGAAAAAACCATTGGGTACCAAGCATGGCCCATTATTGAACCAATCGTTAACATTGGCAACTTCCCGTTGGGCATATTTCTGTTTTTTCTAAATTTTAAGAAATGACGTGAATTAATTTGAAAATAAATACGATATTCGTGTTCAGCAGGAAATTCCACTCCGGAAAACACTTACGTAAATAAATATTCTGAAACTCTAATGTAGAAAACAATATGATAAACATTACGTTGACATTTTAGCAAAACAGACTTTTTTCAAAAATAATCTCCCAACTTCGCAAATGGCGACAGATTGACTTGCAATTTTTACAATCATCTTTTGGTGTTAAAACGCGAATATACTATGAATTACGCGATTTTTGAGCAAGCCGTCTAAGCATAACAACAACTAACTATCCTTGCCCCTTAACTATCCTTGCCCCATCCTCCCCTAATTATTTTTAAGGAATTTAATTAAAATTTTACTGAAATTTATTATATTAAAGAAATTTATAACAATTTTTGAAAATAATTGAAAACTTTTTGAAGAATTTTATTAAAACTCTTAAAAATAATTTCTGAAAAGAATTTAAATAATAATTTACAAAAATAATTGAATTCATCAGAAGAATTTTATTAAATTTTGTTTAAATGATGGAAATTTTGCCGCAATAACTTTATTAAAATTTTTGACACTAATTTTTGAAAGAATTTAAAAGGATTATTTCGTCAAGTTTTAATAAAATTTTTAAGAATAAGTAAATTCTGCAATGAAAATAATTGAATTCCTAAATAAAATTTTATTATTTATAAAAATAATTGAATGTTTTTGTAGAATTGTATCAAACAATTTTTCAATAATTAAATTATTTGATAAATTTTATGAAAATAGCAAATATTGAAATTCATTGAATTGCAATAAACTTTTGAAAATAGTTGAAATTTTGCAAAGAATTTTATTTAAATTTTTGAAAATAATTCAACTTTTGGTGAAAAATTTTGCTATTTATGAAGAAAATTGAATTCTTGACGAGATATTCGTTAAAATTTTTGAAAATAATTGAATTCTTGTGATGAATATTGTTATTTATATTCGAATAATTGAATTTCTGTGAAGAATTTTGTTATTTGTCAAGATAATTGCGTTAAAACTTTTAAAATAATGAAATAATATTAAAAAATCCATTCTTGTCAGAAATAGAACACAACAATTCAGAATTTTCTTCTCAATTCTAAAAATTAAATTTTTTACAGTACTCTTAATAAATATCCCTGACTTTTTTCTGATTTTCCTGACAAATTCTATTTTCCCTAACATTTCCCTGATTTCCCTAATTTCCCTGACCTGTGTCAGAAATTATATTAAGCTTCTTATTTCTTTTCCATTAAGCATCGTATCGATTTATTTTATTTTTAATTTTTCTATACTTTTTTAAATCTCCTAAATGAAAAGAGTGAATTTTTATGCCGAGCAGGTAGATTTATTTCATAAACGCTTTCGATTTAAGCTTTAAAGTAGATGTCGTTCTCTTTAAACGCGATTTTTATTTCTTTCAACATTCACTTAAAAAGTGATGTTGATTTAACGAACTGGAAACAAGCGAGCGGCAATAATCACTAGTACTTCGCTTGATTCGTGTTAAAATTATTTTCAATCCAGTGCTCATAAAAAGAACCGATCTTCTCTTCTTCTTCTTCTTCTTCTTCCTCCGAAAAGGAAAAAAAATTGCACCAAACTTTTTTTTGTCTCTAATTCTTGTTATTTAAATTCCAATCGTACAATTTTATTGGATTTTATATTTTTGAAAATTTCTCATTTCATCGGTATTTATATTATATTTATATCGGCATTTAAGAAACGATAAAAAAAGGATAAAAACATTTGTACCGATAAAAAAAAATGAGAGATGTTTTATAAAATTTGTTGAAATAAATTTTAATGATGGTAAAAATTTGGTCATAAAAAATATTTGAAAAGTACTCACATTATATCTAACTCGAGGGTCATTGAGAATTGCATGCCTCGCAAGACTTCCATTACTAGCTTGTAGATGTGGCCTCAACGATCCAACGCTTCCTTGTAGAAGATCTGGTTTTTCCACCTCCGGTCCTCCAAAGTCTTGCAGCTGCTGCAACCAACAACACAACATCGCTTCTATCCCCTCATCAACCTGCAAAATTATTTCCACATAAACAAATTTTCCCCAAAAAATTATCACATTATGTTAAAATTTAATCTTTAATTCTCTTACCCTTCTCGGATCGGGTACTTGCGGGAAAACAAAGTCAGAAGTTGTCAAGATTATCTTGTACGGACCCTTCGACATTCTTTTTTTCATTAAATGCCTCCTAAAAAACGTGTTTTCAGCATTACTTTTTAAATAAAAATTAATTATTAATTTATTTTTATTTACTAAATTTTATTTATAAATAGTGAAGATATACACAAAATAGGTAAGAAATAGAATATTAAAATGTTTGAAAAAAAGAAATATAGAATCTAAAATCAAAATAGCCAATAAACGATTTCTATACATTTCAATCAAATTTTAACGCTTCAATTATTTGAAAACAATTTTATAGACTATATGTAATAACAGGATATCAACAAACTGTTCACTTTGATCAATTAAATCATCCGAATTTCACACATTCAGAATGAAATTCCACTATTGTCTAACAAATCAGTTATTACAAAATACAAATCTATTATAAATCAAAGAAAATTCGTTTATTGTGAAGCAAATGCCATTGATACACCTAATGAAATTTCAATGTGAAATCAATAGTCGATTATCATTGTATAATTTTCAGTTCTCTATTTTGCATTTTTGTAATTTTATTTAAAAACAAAATTTAATTACTATAAAAGTGAAAAAGCGTACAATTGATTTAACTTTTTTTGTAATTTATAAACATTAAAGTTCATATAATATAAAGTATGAAGAAAATTATCAATCCTCCAAGTCAGAAATTTAAACTTGCGGGCTTGATAATTTTTTTGATATTTTATATATGCTTTTACCGAGTGATAAATTGATGAGAATTGATGAGAATTGATAAGAATTGTAGAAATAAAATACACAACATTAATTTGAAAAATTCAAGTCAAACAAATTATTTAAAAACGATTTCAAGTTATTAAACTAGAGAGTTAAATTTGACTTTTATGACAAATAATTATTGTTATGTATATTAACACCAACATTTGGCGAACTGTAGTCCATTTGGCAAGTGGTTTAAGTGTATTTCAATATTCCATAAATCAAAATGTAAATCAAAATTTGAATTGCAAAACAAGGATTGTACAGAGAACATAGGGAATCAAGTCTCGGTTTTCTCTAATGTAAATGATTGACTGCGAAATAATTTAACGTGAGTTATACATTACCGTATCAACGCCGCGGTAACAATGGCGATGAGGCCAAATAGAAGAGAACTCATTATAATAGCTACGATATGTGCAGTTCGTAATGGTATTCCTGGTAGGTCGCCATCTAAATTACACACAAAATTACAAATATTAATTATATATATATCAGATCAAAAGCCACATGTACCGATAATTTATTATCAAATCCATATGCCACTCAGAAGAAGGAATGAAAAATTTACGATTTTTAAGTAGTTGTTAATTTAATGATGTTATTAAAATACGTTTTCCTCAATCTTTCCTTCAATGATAATCTCTTAGCTTTCAAGATTCTAAATCTACTTTATACTTTTGCCTCGCCTTTATAATCCGTACCCATCAGAGAACTCCAGACATTAAGGCATCAATTATGTAAAAAAGTGTCGAAATGGTACTTGAGATTTTCACCAAGAAAAGCTTCTTATCATTAACATATATTGGTTTATCGATTACTTACAGGAGCATTCGCCTTGATTTTCGCAAAGTACAATGATCTCATCGTCGGCAAATGTGTTTTGAACAATTTCCTTAATGACGAGTTGTTCCCTTTGTTCAAAGACAATTAAAATTGGTTCCCAATCATTCTCGTTGAGATTCAGTAATGCAAAAGTAAACATTTTGTTGTTCCATTGATTTAAACTCGTGTTGTCACGAATTAAAATTTCCAATGATTCCTCTAAATGCTCAAATATATTTGGCACTGTGAAATCTGACCTACCACTGAATATCCTTTGCACATCGTATCTGCAATTGAAAAACAAATTCTGCATTCTCTCTCGGTATTTACAATATGTAAATATTTAGAGAATTTTTATAAATATTCTAAATACTGAGAGAGAACTCTTGCCCGATAAATAATTTTCACTCATAAACAGATAAACAGACATTGGTTGAACAATTTTTAAAGAAATGTTTCATTGTGACATAAACAAAGTTCGAGTTAGATACTTTTTAAAAGTCTTTGTATTTTTAAAAATGAAATTCAATCACTTTGAAATTTTTGGAAATGTTCCAATTTTAAGTTTGTGATAAATAAAACGATTTGAGCAAAACCCAATCGCTCGGTAAAGTGAAAACTTTTCTCTTTGTGTTTTGAGAGGTGGAATCGTAGCAAAATTATAGTTTTCAGAAGCTAAAGTATTATAAATGGAATTTATTTATTTATAAGTCGAAAAGAATTCTTGATAAAAAGAGGATTTAAAATTTTATTTATTACGTTTATCTTATAACGGGTACTTAATTGATTTTATTCTCTCACTGCTACTAATTTTCAATAATTCAAATTTATTTGAAATCTCTTCTTAAATTTCTAACCATACTGTAACATAACAGGTTATGAAACCGCAAACTGTCAAATTTCTTGATAATTGAAATTTAAACTGTCATCTTCGGAATTTTTAGTTGTAAAACTTATGAAATAAGTATTTTTTAATTGTGTAATTTTCTTCAGTTAACTTTTATATCATCCGTTGAAAAATGGATATAAATATTGGACAAAAATAACATTTACGTTCGAGGAACATTCCTAAAACATTTCATGAGTGCCAAATTAAAATTTGATGATCTAGAAACTTTTTTTTAACATGAAATATTTACAGTACGTTATTTGGCAAACATTAAACGTTTTAGGAACGTTTCCCGAACGTAAACAATTTTTTTGCCCACTAGGATGAGTTTCGCAACTAAAGATTCCGAAGGTGACAGTCGAGTTAATGTCAATTTCCAGGAAACCTCCTTCGGGGAATAAACGAGACTTCTTTATTCAGAATATAAATATTTTTGAAAAAGAACTCTAGCTTCTAATAAAAAATAAAATAAAAGAAATAAAAAATGTAATATTTACGTTTGATCGACAGGTACAACGGCCAGTAGATTGGTCAGCATGGCTTTGCTCAAATTCGTCGGTGGTTTAAATCGGCTGGACGACTCTCCTCCCTTCGATCGTTGTGGTTCGTTCGACTGAGCATCAGATACGTTCGGGATAGAAAAATTGGAAGACTGAGGGGAGCTCGTGAACGGCACCAAAATTGGAAGGGTGGTGGTTGCTGTCGAAATATTTTCAGGGATAAAGAAGTCCGAATTTACAGGTTGAATTAATATGATCACGGGATGTGACAGGCGAGACTCTTGAAGTATCGCGTCCATCTCGACCAGTATGCGACTCGTATAGTTATTCTCCAGGGGCAAACAAAAAAGTACGGCTGAAATAGAAATACAAATAATATCATTTTCGGTTTCTGTCACATTATTATTTCAATAAGAGAGAATATTTTTATAGTAAACAAATTTTATTGGTAAATTCTAGTTCCTTTTCTATCAGAAATGTGAGAGTTATTTTTATTTGTAGTATTTGTAATTTTAATAAAATTGATAATATTTATAGTTACATGTTGCAGTTGCTTATAAAGAAATTCGAGTTTTGTTTATAAAAAGCGAGACAGTTTTTGCAAATTAAAATTGGCGTATAGTTGTGGTTACGTTACACAAGTGCTTTTATGTAAATGGAATAACTAAATCATTGTGATATATTTATGACCCTTTTAACAGATTTATGCCGCTTTCAACATTTGCAAATTTTACCAGTCACTTTCATTAGGAAAATAAAAATTATATTCATTACAAATTACAAAAATTAATTATATTTAATAATTTATATTACAACTTTTATTATCATTTTATTTTAAATCTATATTCTCATTTTACGAGTACGGAATTTAAGAATCGATCAACATTAAAATATTTTCAACTAAGTGCCAAGTATACAAATATTTATTATATTTTATAAACATGTTTTTGAGTTTAGTAAAGGAGTTTGCTACTTGAAAGCAAATGGTTATAAATCACTTTGTTTTCGTTCAACGAAATATTTATCACAACTTTTTGAGTTTTATCAGATGAGAAATTTTTGTTTTGGTATAAGTGCAACTTGATTTATCTCAAAACTATAACTAAAATAATTAGAAACTTCACACAGTAGGAGTAAGAAGTTGGATTTAAATTTGCAATCGCAGTACTAGTGGTATTAATGGAATCATAATTGGTCGTTGACTTTGACAGAAACGATAACTTACTTAAATGAGAATAAAGCCGTTTGCGGTTAATATAATACTCTGCGAAGTGATCTACATGGGTCTCCTTTGTCCGAAGCTAATTAAATGGCAAATGCTTACCTCTACATGGAATTGTGATCAAAGGTCTTAAGGAATCCTGAATTTGCTTGGGACTATCGGAATATTGTAGGACAATACGATGTCTAGGCACGATACCAATATTTCCCAAAGCTCCGACAACAGCTCTGTCCAAATTCGACCATAAAATATCATCTGAAATATAGATAAGTTTCGTTATTCAGCAAACTGTACATGGTAACAATTTCAAACTCTATTGTTAGACACGTAGATTCACAAAGTTATTTTATTTAAAATTAAATTGATTCTCAGATCTTTCTCAGCCTTTCCGATTTGGGTTGGAATATTACTAGGTAGGTTCCATTTGCAGCATACAAAAATGAAAAGTAAATCTATAAATCTTATTTGCAATACGAGATTATCAAATGAAAATAAATCATCAGTTGCTTGAATCAAAAAAGTTTTCTGTTCAATATAAACAATTTTGAAAAGCATTTCATAAATTTAGCTGTAATTTTGTAACTAATAATCGGATTTACATATTGATCCTTTGGATTAAGGCTTACGTGTGACTAAATGAAGTGAATGAAGTAAATTTCCAAACGGAGAGTATATCCCATTAAAGTATAATCCTTGAATTAATAATTAATTCTATTAATTAATTAATTAATTAATTAATAATTTCACAGAATATCTATTTTGTTCGAAAAACATGTATAAAAGAGTGAATTAATTTAGCCCTTCATTTAATAAAAGAAGCAATAAAAAATAAATTAAAAATTGCAATTTAATGTATAGAAAAAAAGGATGGTGTGTAATTAATAAAGAAGTGAAAATAAATTAAACATGAATTTTACTCTTGTGGTTTGGAACAAAATGCAGCAAGTGGTTCGCTTTAAGTGTAAAATAAGGGAAGTGGTAAGTCTTTAGATAAATGGCCTCTCGGATGGACGGAAGCCCTTACTCTGAGCAATTAAGATGTGATATATCTTCATACAAGTATCCAGAAGACACCCCTTCTCTATTTGGTTTAATTATACTCCACTTTCATTTAATATATTATTAACATTTCACTTTTCTAGCTCAACGAGGAATTTTAACAAGTATATTATTTATGCAGGTAATTGTTATTATTTATTTATATCTATAATAATAAACACGACTGTATATAACAGTAAACTACTTATTATGGAGGATTTTAGCAATCATTTTCATTCTCATTATACTATTATCTTCATTATTATAATTATCTATTTTTATTCTATTGTCCCAGTTTTGACAAGCGCAAAAAAATTCATTTACATCCTCACCTATTAATACCAGCAATGTGTTTGTCAGTTCTAGAAAAAATATATCAAGCTATGTTTTTCATTCTGTCCAATGGTATCTGAAAAGATTCTAAAGCTTTGAAAGGATTTCCAGTGAATCCAGACAATTTTCAGGGACTTTAAAAGATTGTGAGGACTTTCAGGAAAGTAGAATAAATTTGTGGTTCTTTCAATTTTCGACACACTTAACATTTTAATATATTCAATCTACAGGAAGATCAGAAACTATCTACCCAATGGGAAGTAAACGATTGGTTCAATAATGGGCCATGCTTGGCGAACTCCGTTCCATTATTGGAACATTAATGGCAACCATCATTGGACCACCAATGGTTTAAACTTGGGATGATCACGCTACTGCCAATGATCGGTAGCCAAGCATCGGGCCAATATTAGTTGCCAAGGAATTGCCAAGGAAACAAAATCGATTTTTAAAAGCTTGATTTTTTATTGGCAGCCAACAAAAAACCAAGGTTTTGAAAATTGATTTTTTTTAATTATTAATTAAAATTTATTTTCAAAAAATATATTTTTCAAAAATTAATTTTAAAAAAATATATTTTTCAAAAATATATATTTTTTTAAATTAATAGAACATATTAATTTAATTTGTCACCTCTGGTAAAACAAAGATGAAAGACTGATAAATTCCCTCACTTTATATCTTACAGTGGAGGGATAACTGTGAATGTCTTTGCGAGAGAGGAGCAGGTACTTATATAGAGCCAGTGAAACAGGTCACAAGCGAGAAGAAATCACTAGCATGCACTCTGGCGGCGCTTGTCGGAAGTGGCGCAACGTTGGTTGCCAAGCGCTGTGTCGATAACGTCAGGATATGCATGCGCGCCAGAAAACAGTTCCGACAAGCGCCGCCAGAGTGCATGCTAGTGATTTCTTCTCGCTTGTGACCTGTTTCACTGGCTCTATATAAGTACCTGCTCCTCTCTCGCAAAGACATTCACAGTTATCCCTCCACTGTAAGATATAAAGTGAGGGAATTTATCAGTCTTTCATCTTTGTTTTACCAGAGGTGACAAATTAAATTAATATGTTCTATCAATTTAAAAAAAAATATATATTTTTGAAAAATATTTTTTTTTTTAAATAAATTTTTGAAAAATATATTTTAATTAATAATTTAAAAAATCAATTTTCAAAACCTTGGTTTTTTGTTGGCTGCCAATAAAAAATCAAGCTTTTGAAAATCGATTTTGTTTCCTTGGCAATTCCTTGGCAACTAATATTGGCCCGATGCTTGGCTACCGATCATTGGCAGTAGCGTGATCATCCCAAGTTTAAACCATTGGTGGTCCAATGATGGTTGCCAATTGTTTTGCCAAGAAAAAACCATTGGGTACCAAGCATGGCCCATTATTGAACCAATCGTTAACATTGGCAACTTCCCGTTGGGTAATATCAAGTAAATTTACAAGTTTATGTAGTGTCACGTACTTGTAGCTAAATTAATTATATAGTTATTGACGAGAAACATAACTTTATAACTTCTAATCTCTTAATACTCGGAACCAATTCTAATTAAAGATGCAAAAATCATACCTACTCGAATAAAAATAAAAGTTACCTTCAATCATGATATTTAAAATTAAATTTCAATTAGATAATTATTTATTTCCAGATTTGAAATTATTTCTATAATAATCTATTATTAGAAAGATAGAGTAATTAAAGTGATAACAATTAGTTGACGATTAATTTTTGTGAAAATGGTCTGAGGACAATTATAGGATAAAGTATTAATGTGTGCGGTTTTCGAGATTAGACTAACATTTCATATATGGTTTACTTGAATATCGATTAAATCTGGTAAATGGAGTTGATCTATATCTAATACGGCAAACTATGATAGAGACAAAATAGTCTTTCATGCTTGTGTACACTTATGTGCAAACAGAGTATAGAATTTAATTAATGTGCACAGGTACATAATTGTGAGCACTTAAGGCCATCATTCTGCTGTGGGATAAATTTAACATAAACTCGATTAAATAACTATACAGAGTTTATGTATGGATTAATATCTAAATAATACCTATATATACATACTCTCCACAGATTATCAATTACACAGTTTCCAAATATTATATCCTACATTATTATTCATTTTATTTGGGTAATTATTTTTAATGCACTGTGCGAATGGATGGATTATTTCGATGTTGTAAAATAATTATTCTTTTCTGAAAAAATAATTAAAAATAACTGACGGAAATTAGGAGATAGATAACTCTCAGATTGAGTTGGGATTTACTGCTTAATTTAAATTGCCATTAAAAGTTTATAAATATTCCAAATTGGTAGTACACTGACAAATGATACGGTCAGGGATTATTAATCATAAACCGTCTAGAATCTAGATAGTTTCCCAAACACTTGGGGGCTTGATTTTTGATAAATGGATGACAGCATTCGAATGCAGGTCAACCCTGTACTCAATTTTGAGGAGCCAAGTTGGGAAGGAGGCATAACATGCTTTAAAGTTCGGAGAGGAAGTCGGAAGATGGTTAAGTCTTACAATAATCAATAAACTGTTATGTTCATTGGACGGTGAGAGACGGACTAAAAAAACCTTCAGGACCTCGTTAAGAAAGCAAAGGCAGAGCAAGCAGAAGCTAACAAGGGCGTTGCGCGCTCGGAGAGTTTTCGTAAGGGAAAACCAAGAAGATGGAGAAAACCGAAGAGTTTTTTTACCAGCATCAGTTTAGGGTCAACAATAAGGGTTGTAGATGCAACCTGCAGAGATCTTCTGACAGAAATTGGAAGATGTTTCAGAAAAAAGTCTAATACTTGTAATACAAACTCAAGAGGTAACGGCAATCTTTCTTTCTCACACCAAGGCATATTAAATAAGAACTTCGTTTAACATTGTCTTTCTTTACCTGATTTGCATATCTACTCGATCCATATAAAGATAAATACAATTAATTGATTTCTTACCTGAACTTATAATCGCCACCGATTTCCATCGAAAATGCCGAAACATTTCTGTTATCGAGTTAGCCATTGTTAACAGAGAAGGCGAAAGTCTAATGATTGACGAAAATTCTGCATCCTCTTGCGCTCTCTGAAACACATTTTAACAAAAACAGGATCGTTAGAATTTACATAAAATAATTTTCATAAATAACATCATTTTTTATTCTAAAAATGTTAAACACATGAATAAAATTATAATAATACAATTTTTGACTTTAAAACTTCTCCTCCATAATAGGACAATCTTTAAATTGTGAAATTTCCATATTTTGAAAGTGCAGTGCATCATTTTTGAAATATTAACTTCTTATCTAGAGTGTAACATTCCTCGACGATATACATTTATCTTAATGTCACACGAAAAGTAAGATAAATAACCAATCCATAAAAGAATCACGCTTTTCTAACACTATTATCATTATCGCCTCCTCTTATATCATACTTTTCGTTCTTATTATTACAGAATAATAAAAAGCAAATTTTTTTCTTTAACACAATTATCTCTTTTTCTTTTGAAAGATTACGTCTTGCGGATTTGAGAATATTTTTATCCTGGGAAATAGGGAATTTAAGAGGGGTTGTAAATTATGGTAATACAAAAAGAAGGAAAATCATAACTCTTGTAATTAAGGAAAATCCTGAACAATTTATTTAGGGTCCAATATATATTATTTATGGAAAAAAGATAAAAAGTAAAGGACGAAAAATATTTGATGCATGTCAGGAAAAAAGGTCCTTTGTTGAAAAATGTGGTTAGACTTTGACCCAACTATTTTTTTTTTATTTTATATGCACCGTTCGACATGGCAACAACATTTCCGCTGTAATAGATATTCATTCTTTGCTCCCTTTCCAAAGAGACATATTTGCTTGTGAAAAATACGCTTCTTTGAACACTGCGACATAATTATAGAGACCCACTTATTAATACCACGTTAAATAATCGATGCCAAGAAATATAACTTTAGTTTGCGATTACTTTAAAACAGAAAAATTTTTTTTTCAAATTTCCAAAGACACACATCTCAATCAGAATAATTTTTAATTAAAACTAATTATATTTCATATTTTCAAAATTCCATCATCAAATTCTTGAGCAATGTGCAATTTCACAATATTTCAACTTATAAATTAGAAAAAATATATCTTCCCATATTTCCTGAGAAATGTTGAAACTATATTTCTCTCCTTTCATTTTCTTTTATTGTCAAAAACGAATGATTGGAAATTCTTCAAATTTTTTCCCTTCAACTTTAATATAATATTTTTCTGAGATTTTAGCTTATTTTCCAAAAAATAGGGAAATAAATAAAATTCATTTCTCATTTTCTCTTCTTAAAAAAAATTGCAATGTTCGTAATTTAATTTTTCGAGGCTCATTTATTCCCGGAAAATAGTTTCCGAGTAATAAAAGTTGCTAAATTCATCAACTTGTTCATTTCGCACGCGCAGTTCAATTTCAAACACGTATACACATACAGAGAGAGAGAGAGAGAGAAAGAGATGAGAAAAAGTTTTTGGCTTCGGGAGAATTTCTTTAGTCATAAAATGAAACTTGAAAACGTTGTCAAATAAATAAATTTTATCGAAAAGAAGGATCAAAATCCGCAAGGAAAAATTGTCATAAAATAAAATATTGGAAAATGATTACGGTGCTGAAGCGAGACACCTTTCATCTTTGAAAGGTTGCTATACGTGACATTTCAACTAATTTTCTACATTATTTATAATGGGGAGAAACATTTAAATTGACAGATTTTAATATTTTTGTTTATAATTTTTTTTTTTTTGGTGCAATTATCAGTGGAATTTTTTTGTCTATTCAAGTTGTATAGTGAAATAAATTAAGGGAAACTTTTGCTGACTCTTAAGTGGTACTTTGCGAATTTTTGTCTAATTGGCAAGAAAGTCGAATTAACTTTTTTCATTAAGATTTGTTTTTTTTATTCTTTAATTCTACATTGTGCCTGTATAGAAAAGTTTTGGCGTTATAACATTACGGACGAATGAATACGTTGCTCGAGCGGAGAAAATCTAGAAAAATCCATTTAAATGGAAATAAAGTGTAACGTAGTTGCCGCATGCGATATATATTCGATGCCGGCCAACTTCTCTTTCGACTCTAAAAGAACATGATAAATCATAGTGCAAGAAGAATCAAAATTTTGTCAAAAATTATTTTTTTATTTTTCGAATTCAACTTTCTTTATATCTTTGTATATTTATAAACAATTCATAATTCAAGTCACTTGAAAGCACATGTTAATTAAATTACCATGAAAATTCGTTTCCACAGAACAACATTTATTTATTATCTTTAGAGGCAGATAACTTTTTAACACTGCAAGTGAATTTATTTTCTACCATTCAGAAATATTTTGATTATAATAAAAATGCAAACTTTCCAATCATTTTATCACGTTATATGTCACTTTTGCTTTATTTTTTAATTACTTTCTCTCTCTCTCTCTCTCTCTCTCTCTCTCTCTCTCTCTCTCTCTCTCTCTCTCTCTCTCTCTCTCTCTTCTACTTCATGATAATTAAATTTTTATGATCTCCTCTATATTCTATTATTTTGCCTTTTTTGCTAAAATGTATTTTATTAAAAAGTTCAAAGGCAAAAGAGGAACAGTTTAGCTACAAAAAAAGAGAGAATACAAAAAGAAACCTATTGAGAAAAAAGTATATACGCCAATTTTATAATAGCAAAAGAATCTGTCAGTTTAAAAAAATGACAAAATAATAAACCGCACACATAAAAGGGAAATTTTTTATTTTTAAATAAGACTTAAATATCAAGGGGAAAAATATTTTTATTAAAAATAAAATTACTTCATGCATGTAAAATATTTTCTGAAAAAAAGATAAAAGAATAATTCACTTTATTGTAGAATTCAAAAATTCAACACCAAGCTATGGGAGATGAAAGGGAAATAATTTTTAAAAAAAGGGAAGAAAATGTGTTGGTGTATTTTTTGAAAAAAAAAAGAAAAGAAAAGAAAGAAGGAAGGAAACTTTTAGCTATTTGATAGAAATAACATGTATGTGAAAAATTCATGCTCCTCTTTCGAATAGAGAAACATGAAGCATAAAATACTTGTAAGCAGTTGGGTAGACGGATTAGGAAAAGGCGAAAATGGAAGCTTTTCATCTTTTCCTGATAGTGTTGGTGGCTTTTCGTATTTTTAAAGTGTGCGTGTATAGAGGAGGAAAATCTAAAACATATATATAAGAAAAAGAGTGCATGCGGTAACGATACATACATATTTCTCTTTCGAGATTAACTTGCCAACTTTTGCCTGACACAAACAGACCGAAACTAGGTCACTTGAGAGACGCTAGTATGTCTAATCGTCACTTCTTCTTGTTGTAAGAACAAGTGAGATAAACGACCGACCCCCAACAGCTATTTATTTCTCATCAAATCTTCACCCGAAAATACCTTATTATATCATCCAAATCGATATTATATTCCAGTCTGTACATTTTTTTACTTTCATTCAAACCAATTTTTCATTTTCAAACATTACGCTAAAAGTGGATTTTCTTTATTCTTATTTATGTTCTGTAAGAAGTAATTTAATATTTAACAAATAGTGTTAATTGAAAATCTAAAAATCTATATTTGAGAAAAGTATTCGTTCCTTAATTAATAGGAAATTTTTTACATTATTCACAAGAAAGGTAATTATAGAAAAGATTACTAAAAGGTGTTCAGATTTCGAACGATAAAAGTAGGTTGGGAAGCTATAACAGTTAATAAAACGAGATTTACCAAGTCCACCCTTGAAAAGGGAAACGATCTTGATGACATAAAAAACGAAAAACATAAAATCGATGAGTGTATCACTCATACTCTTCTTTCCTTTACGGGAAGTTAATCCAAAAGTCAGATATATTAGAACAAAACCCAGGAGAAAAAAATCTTCCAATAAAAATTTCATTTTTAAAATACTAAATCAGGGTTGCCACAAAAATTTAATTTTGTTTTCCCCTGACTTTTTCCTGACTGTTTTTGCCTTTTTCCCTGACCCTAAAGAATATTCTGCGATTCATTCTAAAAATGATAAGATACTCAATAAAATGTTCTATTACATTTATTAACGAATTTTCTTAATTGTAAAATTATTCAAAAACATATTTTTTAAATAAATATTTAATTATTATTTTTCCGTAGGAATAAATATTCTTCAAAACATTGAAATTTAAACTTTTTGAAAATCAATAACTGGTAAAAATATTATTGGAAAAGAGGAAAAAATGGATCACTCCGAGTCTTCGATTTCTTCATATTTTATAATAGTTAAAGATGAACGAGTGATAAAATCATTATTTTACATTATTAAAATATTATTACTGTAACTCCTTCAAAATTATTTTCATTATTTTAAATTCAATTAATATTTTCGGAGTGATCGATTCCTTCATATTTTATAAATTCATTTTTTAATCAATTTTTATTAGAAAATTTTTCGAGAATTCAATTATTTAAATACAAAAATAAATAATAATTTATTAAATAATTGAATTATATTTCTTAAAATTGAATTCTCATAAAGAATAATATCAGCAAATTTTTAAATAATTGAATTCTTTCGGCGAAGTTTTGTTATTTATGAAAATAATTGAATTCTTTCAACTAATTTTATTAAAAATTTGTTTAAAGAATTAAATTCCTGTGAAGAATTTTATTTGTGAAAATAATTTAATTCCGGAGAGAAATATTATTATTTATAAAAATAATTAATTTCTTGTGAAGAATTTTATTCAAATTTTTTTAAATAATTGAATTCTCGAGAAAAATTTTATTATTTGTGAAAATAATTGTTTTCCTGTGAAGAATTTTATTCAAATTTTTTTACATAATTGAATTCCCATAAAAATAGTATTCTTTGTGAAAATAATTGAATTCTTGACCCGTTGCCTGTTTCCGACCCACGGGTGGGTCGTGAAAAAGTATGGCCATAACTGTTTCCGACCCTATCACTCAAAATAAATATAATTTGTATATAAATTGATAGATATTTTTCTTTATATCAATATTATAAGAAATTATAAGGGTCACTAATGATATATTTTAGAAAATAATTGAATAATTAGTTATAATTTAAATATATTATACTATTTGAAAAAGTATCAGATTCCGCTGGGCATTTTGGGACAATCATGTTGTATTTTCCTCAAACAGTTAAGGGGTTAAGAAGAATTGTATTGAAAATAATTGAATTATATAGGAAAATTTTATTAAAATAGTAAATATTATAAATAATTGAAATGAGGAACATTTTTTAAAATAATTGAAATTTTGCCAAGTTATGAGTTATGAGTTTATGAGGCAAACAAACAGACACAAAAATTCAGAATTTTCTTATAAATTCTAAACATTTAATTTTTTACCAGTGCTTTTAATAAGAATGAATGCTCCGATTTCCCTGACCTGTAGTAACGCTGTAAATAATGTTTTCTTTATTAGAGAGAAACGGAGAGAAATTAAGAGAACCTCTGAGAATGAGGAGAATTTCAAACAAAGCGAAGGGAAACCAATAAAGTAGTGAATTGAAAGTGAACCAAAATTCAATATTATTGACTGGCAATTTAATTAACTATAATTAATAAAAACATTTCCTTATTTCTTTTATTAATTTGATAATGTGATTAATGAAGTTTTAATTTTTCGTAAAAGTTTTCTGTGACCAAGAAGAATAATTACATTTGTTTGCTAATGCAATTTAGATAATTATTTTGAACCGCAGGAGAGAGAAAGAGAGAAAACGAGAGAAAACAAAGAAAGTTGTTGCAGAAGAGGAATAGTATAATGATAAATGAGAATTGTTGAAAGCCTAGGAAAAACACTTCCTCCCTTAGTAATATACTGGATATAACACTCGTTTTTTAGTAGCAGGGGGAAAAGACGTCTCTCGCCTTCGTAGGCAGATTTGAACAGCGAAATGTATAATAAATCTTAGGATTCGTGTAAATAGAGCGTTATGAAGAGACACGAACATTCTTAGGAGACATTTATTTTCAAAGAAAAGTTATTTTCTCCTTCGAAGAGGGCCAAAACTTTCTATACACAATTTTCTGATTAGCTTATTCCATCAAAAAACTTTACAATTTGTTGCTTTCATTTGTTTATTTCTTTATCGAGATAAACCATTTTTTCTTCGGTCAAGTTCCTTTGGGTCAAGTTTTCTCTAGTCGATGAAAAAAAATTTTATTATCATTTTTTGAAGATCATCAATAATATTTCTTCTTAAATGAAACATATAGAACAGGGTTGCCACAAAAATTTAATTTTCTTTTCCCTGATTTCCAGACTTTTTCCTGACTGATTTTGACTTTTTCCCTGGCCCTAAAGAATATTCTGATTCACTCCAAAAATTATTAGATACTCGAAATAAATGTTCTATCAAAAATTTCAAAATCAAACTATTTGAAATTCAATAACTTGAAAGAATATTATTATAAAACATGAAGAAATCAATCACTCCGAGTCTTTTTTTCGAAAAAATATATGCAAATTTTATTTTTAATAATTGAATTCTTGTGACGAATACTATTATTTATTAAAACAATTGAATTTTGCAATGAATTTTATTAAAATTCCTGAAAATAATTGAATTTTGTCGAAGAATTTTGCTATTCAATTATAAAGATAATTGAAATGTTGATGACAATTTTTTTTGATTCTTTGAAAATAATTGAATTTCTGGAAAGAATTTTAATGTTTTTTAAGATAGTTGAATTTCTTTAAAATAATTGCGTTAAAATTTTTAAAATTTAAACTTAATTATTATTTAAGATAAATTATTGTCAGAAATAGAAAAAATTTAAGGATTTTTTAGAATTCGTGGTAATTTTATAGTTTATGAGACAAGCCAGTACTTTTAATAAAAAATCCCTGACTTTCCTGATTTCCCTGACCTGCGGCAGCCCTGTTGAAATATGTTTTAAATATTGGATTAGTCGGAATTTGACAATGAGAAAAATTTCTATTCTTTAACTCTACGAATGGGAAAAGAATGCCATATACAAAAAACTTAATGGTCCATTTCTGCTTTATTTAGATTTCAAGTAAAGTATGATATGGTTTCACGAAGCATGTAATTCAATTGAATTTTCGCCCTATAGAATTCACATGAATCCACTTTATCGGTTGTTTTGATGTACATATGTTATAGATTGGATGGAGCCCATATAGAGACGTAACATGAATTGTCATTTCCATATTGCAGATCTATTGCATTCAACAGGAAAGACACATTTCCTTTTTGAATTGATTAAAAGAAATTTATTTTTTCACTTTTTCAGTTTCAGTTTCAATTTTTTTCCTTTCATTTAGAACATTGTCTTTTTAGTTTTTTTTTGTAATTTTTTTTAATCGAATCTTTAATTAACGAGACTTTTCTACTCAAAATTGACAAACTTTTTTACCAATGATCTTTCTTTCTAATGATTTATCACATTTTTTGTAATCATTTCGCTTTTTCTAAATTACATTCTTTCTAAATTACACTCTTCCTAATCATCAATCTTTCTAAATTACATTTTTCCTAATTTTAATTTTCATTATTCGGCACTTTTTCCTTTCCAACATTAGAGAAAATTTTATTTATCAACAATTTGAAATTGTATTTATTCTAATTTCAATATTAAATTAACAGTTTTTTTAAGGATATGAAATTAAGAACAATTGAATGCTTTGCGACAATTTTGAGACGTTTTTTGTCTGAATTTGATATCCTTAGAATAATGTGTTAAAATTGGTACATAAAGAGTTAAAATTCACTATAACTCTACGTATAATGAAGAGATGAATCTTGTTAGATTTTTATCAAAAAAATCAACAAAGTGAAAAATTGAATTTGCTTCCCTGCAGAGCCTATTAATTAAAGAGTTATTACCATAATTGGTGCTGTTAAAACTAACAGAGAATAATGCCTCATCGCAGTTTTTCTGGGGACTGCGATAAGTTATATTTTGTAAATCAATCAATTTACGTATTTACGTTGATAGAAAATAAAATATAAAGAAAAATAATAATGGAAAGTGAGAATAAAAGGTCGAATTATATAAAACTATTCCCATCTCATTGAGGGAAATTCAAAAATTTATGCCCGGAAAATAGTTGCAGATACAATATTTATAAAATTCTTGACTTTATAGTGTCGGTATGTTGGAAGCAAAATCGATGAAGCGGCAATAGCTTCACAAACCATCTAATCAAAAGACATTTTCGATATATGTATCTCTCTCTCTCTCTCTCTCTTTCAGGGCATTTGTATGTTCAACGAAAACAGTAATAGTTGCCAATAAAGGGAATGGGCTTTGGTCAAATTCAGTATTTTACTGTGCATGTCGATTTTCTATTCATGAGTTTCAAAATATTGCTTGTAACTGAATATTTATTTTTGCTTTTTTCTACAGGTAAAAGGGTAAAACAGATTTTTTTAGTTATCTTCGTAATAAATTATTATTTGATTCAATTTATTTTTTCGCTTTTTTTCATTTTTATTCAATGCATAAAGAGATACTAAATAGCAAAGGTTAGAAATTTCCATTGAAAGAAGAATTTTTTTTAAATATTTTATTTAGTTTTACTTTTTTGGAAAAAACAAATCAACTATTATTTTTATTCTACTAGGCTCTTTCTTTCTACTTTAGTGTATACCAATTTACTGTATACCAGTTTTGAAAGGGATTAATTATTTTTAAGAAATATTTTTTCTCCGTAAAAAAAGGAGTTTGCGAAAATTTAATTTGCAATGTTTTCGTTTTTCCTTGTATAGTAAATGTTACACTTACCTGAGGGCAATTCCATGTGAGCAACGGTTTGTTCCAAAGATGAGCAAGTTTCATAGCAACATCGCAGGTGTTTGGATTAAGGTCTGCGATCAAAGCTTTCGTCGTATTTTGCTCAAGGGCTTGAACCAATGCTCCAAGACCCCAAGAACGGGTTTCGCAGGTTTCTGAAAGAAAACAAAATAAAATTACATGTTACAATCTTCTTTTTAAGAAAAATTGTTTTCCCTACAAATTTTGGAAAAAAATTTGCATTTTAACAAAACTTGTATTATTTTAATATTCTCTTTCTTTAATATTCTCATTAATGAGACTCATTTCTAAATAAAATATTTGTCGTTTCCCAGTAATAATAGGGAAAACACTTAGTGGTCAATTTAAAGTACGAAAAGTGTTTTTTGAATAAGTCAAGAGATATTTGCTTTAAAAGTAGATGCGAAAAAGAGCGTCTAAACCATCAGCTCTTCTCCTTTAGAGGGATTTTTTTAAATCAGATTTATAGTCGAGAATTTGATGCTGCACTTCAGGATGCTGATTTTCCGTACCATGATTTTGGATTTGAATTCCTGATCTCTTGATACCATAAAAAAGCGCTTAGGTAAAAGCAGATCATTTTTGTTGGAAAAAAAATGTTATGCCAACTTTTTAGTATACCGTTTATGTGATTCTACTTTATGGAAATAAAATAAAAATTCGTTGACGCAACATTTAAAGACTTTTAAAACCAAAAAGGGTAAAATGAAAGAAATACAGATTCATCTTTTTTAAAGACCGCACTTTTGCAAATGAAACCCTGCAGGTCTTGAAAAACAAAAACAGAATATATTGATATACAGTGAAAAGAAGATGCTGGAATGATAATAATGCAATACGGATCGATGCAGCCTCTGAATGGAACGTGTTGGTGCAGTTCGTTTATGTGCCATTCGCATCCATTGCGAGGTTCACGTTACAGATTCCCCCGTTATATGGCATGAGTACGTACATACCATACACGTTTCAAACTATAAATGACTTATTTATGCATTCATCTCTGTGCCACAACCATACTCTGTTAAATCTGTCCCAGGTTGTAGAATAGAGGTGACACATCACCGATATTAATTATTCTACCAACTGGTTACCACATTTTAGGTTTAAATCTATTATATCTGCCTTTGGTACCGCTTTCATAAATTATTCAAAATCAATAGAAAAAACAAATCAGAACAAAAATCGGATAATTCCGTATGTCGTTTATTTAAAATTAAAAGTGAGTTACAACACTGACCTAAAAACGAATTGGTTTTATTTCTTTGTATTTTTCTTTTTTGTAACGATTTTTTATTAATACTCTGAATGGTGTAGACTATCATTTCAATCGTTTTGAACCATTAAAACAAAGAATTAAAGTAGTTTTTTGTTATTATTATTATTTTTATATTCCTTCTCTGATTGAACCAGAGATAGAGAGGTATTCTGCAAGAATTTATGTTCGACTTGAGATTTCTTGATAGGAGATAATCCTGATTTTGTGTACTGTTCAGTGAAAACAAACGACTATGGTCAAGTAAAAGGGAGTCTAATAGAGAATTCTCTTATCAACTAAATCGTTGCTTTATTCGAATGGATGCTAAGGGATTTGAGTTTAGTCATTCGAAATTTCAGATATCTCAGAAAACAAATTTAAAAATATATCTCAATCATTATAAACATTTAATATTGATATATCAATCGTCTATTTCTTACAAACAATTCTAAAGATCAGTAGAATAAAATTTTACTCCATTTTCTTCTGCAGGAGATATATTTATTTATTCATATTTCGAATTAGGATTACAATTTTTTTCAGAAAAGATAACATTTCAAAAATTTACGTTTTCAAGTCAAATAAGAGAATAAATATAACCGGTTATGTAATCGCAAACTGTCAAATAAAAGTATAATCAATTAAAATAGAACTGTCTTCTCTATAAAAAATCTTTTCAATGGCTAAAAGATCAAATTAATTAAAATCCACATAAAAACACCCGCCGTACTGTCTAAACATATATATTATTGTTTTCGAAAAGCAATCACGTCTATCCCTCTGGTTTGATAAAACTTCAAATGAACGAAGAATTCCAGAAGGACACAATAGAAAAGAAAAAGTTTGAGAACCATTTACTTTGATTGATTTATTTGTTATAAATTTTTTCATTTTCTTTTTCACGATATAAAAAAAAAATAATTTTGGATTTTCGACAAAAAAGAATAAAATTCTAGTTGTGAGTATACCTATTTGAAATAAATTATAGACTCTACGGAATTTTTAAACCCTCTGTTAGATCACGCAACATTTGCACTAAATTTAAAAAACTTTATAGACATATCAAAGTTTTAAAGTTATTAGTATCTAACGTAAACTTTGAAGTGAAATGATGTCGAGTTTAATTAGACGATCGACAAACTAAATGCCAATCCCAAAGGAGAAAACTTGATTGGAGATTTACAGAAATTTCGTAACATTTCACTAATATTTGACAAGTGGAAAACTCGATTGCCAATTAAAAATTTCCACGTTCATCAAAAAATTATGAGATATTTTTTTCCAAGTATCATATGAAAACTGAGAAGAATAAACTCTCATAAAACAAAAGATGGTAATTTACATAATTCCCCGAAGAGTTCATTTTATTTCACTCGGAAAGAAAAGAAATTTTTTAAGTACAATTACTTTTTGACAAATGTTTTACTAACTTTATTCTAAAGTGAAATTTTGTAGTTTCTCATTTTCATTCTTTTTACCATTCCTTTTAAAGATTCTTTTATTAATTTTTTTCTGCTTTACTTTCTTTTTTTCTATTTTAATGTATGCATTTCGCTAGTTTTTTTTACTATTTGTTTCTTCATTCTATTGTGTATTTCTGTTTTTACATATTTAATGAAAGAAAAAAGTGTTCATTCCCCATTCAAATATGACAAATGCAAAAATAATTGTCAAAAATGACACAAGAAAATGTGCAGCTTTATGAAACAAAAGCATGATGATTAAACTATACGAAAAGCTCTCGAGAGAACAGTTGATAAAATGCGCACATTCAGATAAAATGTACAATTGTTGAGTAGACTAGAAAATCATAAAATTAGAAGTTTATATATGGGAGGTGTGATATAAATTTACTATAGAGATTAAAACTTTTTTTCCGTATTTTTAAATCCCGTGAAACTAAATTTTATTTCCAAAGCGCAAATGTAAAAAAAAGTTAATTGGAATATCTTTTTCTATTCTAATTAATATTTTTAATAAATCGAAAAAAAATAATCTAAACAATTATCAGAAGGTAAACACACAAATAGCGAAAAGAAAAACTAAAATTTCATCGTGAGAAATATACTCACAGTACGAACGCAGTTGTCAAAAATTGTTTTCCAATATAATTATTTCTGAATTAATACAGTTAATATATATAAAGAAGAAGAATATTGTGGAGATTTAGAAAAGAAGAAAAAACAATCGCCCGAACATGTTTTGCACGGATTCAATTTCACCGTATATTTGGATTTTATATTGAAACATCGAGGAAGCTTTCTGATAAGTGAATCAGAAAAATTCAGAAGACCACCTCGCGAGCCAGCTGTAAGGAATTGCCAGTAATAAAAAAAAGAATATATGAAAAAAATATGTTGGAAAAAAGCAAAAATTCCAAAACTCAACATTTCATTCCCAGATCTAAACGAAATGGTAAAGTTTTCACAGAATTGTATGAAAATTGCGCGTTGCCTTTTTTGATATATTCAACGATAAAGTAAACTCGAGACTTTATAAAAATGCGGGAATAGGTACATGTCAAAAATTTGAAAACTATGACACAGTTCCCATATATCACTTACAAATGTTTTTTTTTTTTTTATTTTCAAGAATTAGATTTCGAGGACTATAAAAAGTCTATTTTTTTAATTCCTCTATATACTGACAAGCAGCAATTGAAAAATGTAAGATTATTAAAATTTAAAATGATGTGACTTAAAATTTCAAGAATGCATACATACATAAAGCCAACTTTGAAATATTTTAACGAATTCTCTCCACACATACAGACAATCTAAATTATTCTCCTCAAAAATGTATGCATACAAGTATTCAACTTGCAGAAATGAAAATCATGAGTTATCTCCAGACTATTATTTCTCTCGCTTTTCAACTTTTTTTTCAAGTAACAATGATAATATATAACATGGAAAAAAATCCAACCTAACGTTACCGAAAAACTTATTAAAACAGGCAAATATTTTTTCAAATTTGTATCTAATGAAATGAATGATTAAATAACATAAAATTTAATTGAAAAATAAATTCAAAACTATGAAAAAATGAGGGACTAACTCTGCTGGGGCTCGAAAATTCAAATAATGAAATTTAATGTTTTTATAATTACACGAACATCGTTTTTACACTATTAAAGAGAGACCATAAAGTCTTTTTCCTGTTACTATTGCTAACTGCTTATATGCTGTCCTTCCGATTTGCACTCTTTTTTCAGAACCGCGACATTTCTACCCACAATGTTATTAGTTCGTTGCAAATCTATTTATCATGTTAGTCACGAACTAATAAAATTATGACAAAAATGCCTTTTCAGAAAAATTTAATTTTTTTCCAAAAAGGTCCGCAAAAGTTACCTGCATGCTGTATTTAGGAACTTCAAGCCGTGATCAGAATTAATGGGCTAAAATCAAGTCCAAAAATAAAAAAACTGTTATGTAACAAAAACTGTCAAATAATAAATTTCAAGACATCCTTAGGAATATAATAGTTTCATGTAAATATTGCTGGAACTCGATAAAACTACTGCAACAAATAAAAATTCAAATGGAGCCAATAAGTGAATCTTGAGAATCAATTTGTTTATCAAATAAGTAGATCACTTTAAAAAAGTACATTGGATCCTGAGCAATGTAATACGTGAGACAAAGGCAATCCGATTACATGTATCAACCCGGATCTCTTACATGAATTATTTATTATCTCTCTTATTGGATTTAAATTCTCTCCTACGAGATCGAAAAAATGATACCTTTGCCTGGCTAATAATGTCAATTTTTCCCCCTAGGGGAAGTAAAATATTTTCTATTTCGATTCTCTTGTTCAAGTGCGCAATTATACAAACAGAAGCATTATAAAGAATGTAGGACAATTAAAATTAGAGTAATATAAAGAATATTTCGAGCTCCCTTTACTTTAATTGCTACAAGTTTGTTATCACACTTGTATCTCTATAATTTCACAGAAGATTAATAAAATACAGACACTTTAGATGCACAAACACTTTTATAGTTAAATGAATCGCGTTAGAATTCAATTCACGATGAGTGACTCATCATGCAGAAAAGTGATAACGCGGATCATCAAACCTGCTCTTGTCCCAATTAATCAGTTTAACTGAATCAATTATTTCGTATATAAAAACATGCGAGGTGAAATTACGACTGATTATTAAAAATCTTTAATTCTAATTAAAGCTTGACAATATTTTCTTTATTTTAAATCCATTTTTTGCCTGTCTTTGAAAAAACAAACAATTTTGATATTGTGGACCTTGCATGTAAGGTACAGGGTAAGATTACGAAAGTTCCTTTTCCAACTAAACGCAAAGTTTAAGTAAACTTTTGTGCTGCATGTGAGAGTACAGTGAATGTATTTTGTGAGAAAATTGAGTCAGGTAAATATTTGTTCGGCAAGCAGCATTTAGAAGGATAAAAGCTAGATTTTCCCTTTAAATAGAACATGGAAATGCCTTACTATTTTGCACATATATGAATATATAAATTCTAGAGGTGTGCAAAAAGCTCGAATAGCATGGTCGAGCTCGAGCCGGGCTCGATACTCGAGCCAGGCTCGAGTTTTAGTTACTCAAAAATATTTGAGTGCTCAAAATTATTTTAGGTTTAATACTGCACGTGTCGGATGGAATTTGGTTCAAGTTCGGATTGATTCTGCTCAGCTCTGCTAGAAAAACGAAAAGCTTGAAAATACTCGATCGAGCTTTTTGCACAACTCTAATAAATTCAAACGATCACAATGTACCCCACACCATTTGGAGAGCTGTTCGGTGTCCGGCTATGAAGACAAAAGGATGTTTTGTGTGCACACCCACAAAGGTATCATTTTAATAGGAGAAAAATTTCTATTCGTGTTATTTTTATAAATTGAATAAGAATATTCATCTACAAACCAAATTATTTTGGTTGATCAGTATCTAATAATATTGTGATAGAAATGCGACGGTTTTCAGAAAGATGTGCGAACCGTAAGAACAGCATATAAGCAGTTGCCTGTATTTTATTCTATTTTGAAACGTAAAATTATCTAATATGCTTGTACATTAAAAAAAAACTAGAAAAGAATACTTCATAAAGTGACAATTATTACTTTACAAAAATCTTCTCATAAAAAATGTAATTTACAAGGAAAAAATGCTCATCTCACTTTATAAATTTTCTCCTCTATGATAAAACTGACGGATCTTTTAAGAAATCAGTTTACCTTTTTTTCAATTTACATTTTAAGAAGATTGGCTTTTGCCACAGAAGAAATTGGGAAAGGAAACGAAACTTTTGTGTATAAGTAGCGAAGTTTTGTTTATAAATGCAAAAAAGTAGAATTTGATGAACTTCATAAAAACTCAAGATTCAAGTATATTCATTTAACAAAACAAAGTATTAAAAAAAATTCAATTTTAAAAAAATCATCCTTTTTAAAGTAGATCTCTTTTAATTTTTCTGTATTAAATTTTTCATCAGTTGTACAATTAATAATAAAAAAAATACATTTAACCTCGAACTTTTTAAATATAACCATGAAAAATAAGTCTCTTAAATGTTTAACATTTTGACCTTATTAAAATCCTCTCAAGCTATATACATATGTATATATTATATTTCGTAAAATAGCTATAAACATGTAAATAAATTAAAACTCCGGAAATTTAATTGAAAATTTTCCGTATAAAATATAAGGGCTGTTTGAAAACTATTTCACAACATTTAGTCCCCAAGCGCGATGAAATTATAAAGTTTTCAAAATTCGCATTGCAATGCATAAACACTAAATAAAACTAGGTAAAGCTTAAAAAAATTTCTGTTTTAAAGAACTTTAAAAACGGAGTCATATCAAATTTTTTGGTTTTCATAAAAATAATTAAAATTATGATTCACGTTCATAAGAAACTTATTATGATTTTAATTTATTTATAATATTATTATAAGTAATAGTTTTTACTTACGTGATTTGGAAATCATAGCAATGGACAAATTTTGACTCCGCGATGTTAAAAAATCTTGTACGACGGATGTATTGAAGTCACGATTGCAAATTTCTGGTAAAAAGACTAAAATCTCAGCACTTGTCTCCAAATCCATGGACGAATTAGTAATTGGAAGAAGAAACCATCCGAGGAAGGTAACAAGCAAGAACCACCACCAGCACTGGCGCAACCAGCACCGGGCCATGGGCCCTGATAACCAATCTCACTCCAAAAGCACACCCTGAAACAATAAAAGCATCATTCAATTTTTTTTAAAAAAATTTTCTCTAAAATGCACCTGGTGATTATCAGGAAATGATTAACTTCCAAAAGATATTCAAAATTTAAAGTATTATACAAATCTGACAGATTGCTTTCTGAAGGTTTATAAATGTGACATGAGAAAATTGTCTTCCATCACTTTAGATCGAAATTAATTAATTAATTTTGATTAATTATTCAGACACCAATTTTAACACGAAACAAGACAGTAATTTCATCGTAGACTACACATGCATAATAAAAAAGCAGGAGGATTACGCTATTAAGGAGAAGAAGTCAAGTAAAAGTTGGGGTAAAGGCTTCCTGTTTCTGTTTAATTGATGTTGAATGATGTAATGATATTTGAGTTTCCAAGAGACTTTCTATTGTTGTTAAAGTTAAAGTTCCAGCACCGAAATTTATCTTTGCTGAATAAAACAAGTAGAACGAAAAATACCAAGTCATTTAAAAACCAAACCACTTTATTAAAATTCATCAAAAGACTCATGCTAAAATTTACCCTTGCAACAAATTATAAAATGAAAATATTTTCCACAATACGTGAATTTTTAATCAAAAGACCTAATTTTATGCCGTATAAAAAAAGTTTAAGTACATCGTTAAAAATTTTACTGAATTTAATATTTTTTAAACATTCATAAAGGATAAAAAGTTAAAATATTAATATTTTAGAGTATATCTCTAAAGACTTGATGAGGTAGAAACATCTTTCAACTACAGATAACGTGAGAGGTTAAATATTTTATACTTGGAATAATTTATCAAAAAGACCAATGTTAAATACAAAAAATTCGAAAAAATTAGATTCGTCTTTATTAATTTTTAAGTTTTCTTTAAAGTAAATTTTAAAAAAATATTTACAATTAGTAATTCTACTTTTAAAGATTATCCCTTGAAAATGTATATAGTAATTTATTGCTTTAAAATTTACTGCCGCAAGGATTGGTGTCAGCCAACCATAAACTAAATTCGACGATGGCTCAATTAACAAAACCGAAAATAAATAATTAAGGGGTTACACCACTTTGACCCGTTCAAAACATACGCTTTTTTAACAATTTTTATTGAAGAATAGAAATTTTTTTAGGAAAATTAAATTACAGTAGGGTATTGTACTACTCTTGAACTACAAATATATATATATATATATATATATATATATATATGTATATAAATTTCTTTTTTTTTAAATTGTCGGTTTTGACAGATGATATGTTAAAGTGCTTTAAAAATGTATCGCCATACGGTGGACACTATAACTCGGTCCAGAATTAAGCTAGACCAAAAAGTAAAAATGCTTTAGTTTCTGTAGCTCAAAATCTAGCGAAATACGTATCCGTTTTAAAAAAAATTTATTTTTCGCAAAATGGCATCGATTTGAAGGAAAAAGTCCATATTTTTGCATAAATTTCATTATTTAAAGTTGTCTAGAAAATTTAAATATTAATATTTCGAAAAATCCGTACGTATTTCGCTAGATAATTATATCACAAACAAAATGAAAAAAGAACTAAGAGGATCGATTGAAATTTGTGACATCCAGAGTGTCCACCGATTTTTAAAATACAGTTTTGAGAAAAACGCGTTTAAAGTTTTCATTACAATGTAAACGTTGGCGCGCGACCCTGCTTGAACAGTTCAAAAATTGTCTTTTTACTTCAGATATCGATATATAACTAATGACATATCATTTTGGTAACCATAAGGAGTATTTTAATCAAAAAAAATTTTTTCAATTTTTTGAAAATTTCAAAGTGGTGTAACCCCTTAACGAAAGTACTTTATTGATTTATAAACGGTTAATCTTTTTATAACTCACCGCTAACTGGTCGTTCGATAAATTCTCCGATGTCTTCCGCTTCACCTACGAATCCTCATCAGCCTTCTTTTCCTCATGTTGGTGACTTTCGGTCTCGCCACTCCAGTTTCCTCGACCACAGTCTAAACCTCCATATTGTCATATACGAGTTTTATCTTTCTTTTCAAATTCACCATTTAAGAAACATTTTTTTTTCTTGTTACTCTCGAATATCGCATGAAATTATTATGAGTCTTTATTAAGCTATTTGATTTAATAAACATTAACTCGAATATAAATTTATAGCTCGTATAATTTCGAGCTGTACTTTAATGTAAAGCCCAACTCGGTATTATCGCAGGCTTAGCTTAACTGCACAGGAAAAGTAAAGCTACTCCTTGAATAAAGAGTCGATGGAAATGTGCGCTGTTCAGCTTCCTGTAACAATCCAATTTAATACCTTTGTTATGTAAACGATATACTTTACATACTAAATAGTTTCATTAACAAGGGCATTAATTACTGTAGTGTAATATTAAACGAGCATTATAATTATAACACTAATTTAATAAATATTAATCATTTTTTTAAATTTATTGGTAACATATGACTCTTATTTGAAGATGCAATTACTAGACACTTTGGTCTTGTAGAACTAATTTTAATTATTATTCTTGATTGATATTATATACTAGCCACACATTGCAGAATTCTGTATACTATCCAGTTTTATAATTGTGGTTTTATTTTATTAATTTTATTACTTGACAGTTTGCGATTAAATAACTTGTTATCCTTATGTTTAAAAAGACTGAACAGAACCTTTTGTTTCGAACGCAAAAGGACTACTGATCAATTCTTTATTTTGTGTACCTTTAATTCCCTTCGTTCTCATCGTAGAATGATTATTGAACTCTTTTCGTTACAATCGTTAATTTTATTAATTTTTCATTACTTGACAGTTTGCCATTAAATAACCTGTTATCCTTATGTTTAAACTTTAAAAAGACTAAACACAGAGAACCTTTCGTTTCGAATGCAACAGGACTACTATTAAATTCTCTTTCCCCTCGTTCTCATCGTAGGATGATTATTGAACTGTTTTCGTTATAATTGTTAATTTTATTAATTTTGTTATTTGACAGATTAAGGTTACTTAACATACTAAATTATAATTTTAATGTCCTATATCCGTAGGATACTGTTTGATGTTTCAAAACGTTGTTAAATTTCTGTCGATTGGATATCCCCTTCAGAATACAGCATTTAATAGAAAAAGTTTTATCATCGAAAGTACAATCATAAAACAGTTAATAAATTCTAATTATATTTTAAATTTTGTTATTTGCCAGTTTGAGATTAACTAACCGTTATCAGCACTTGTTTTTATTAATTTCAGAACTAAACAAGTTGAGATTGTGTAATTATTTTACATTTTTACATTATCTAAACTTTGAATTTAATTTGAAACTCATAATCCTGCTGACGACAGGTTATTTTCCTCAAAGGATGTCTTTTCGGTGAGACATGTGAGAATTAAATTGCCAATAGATTTACAATCCTCGGCAGTTGGATATTAACAAAATAATTAGATAAATGGAAAGCTAAGAACAGAGTCAATAAATCAAAAGATTGATCGATTGACGGGAGGGAAGTTAATAGTGGAATGAGGATGGTCAAAGATAAAGGATAAGTGTTTAGAGTTGAGTAGTTTCTAGTTTCAATGTATGTATACACGATAAGAGGTCAATTCGAATTCGGTTCATGGAAACTACCATTAATTACTATAATTGTCCGTAATAAGTCACTGAACAGCCCTGAGCATCCACTCGACGAAAATGAAATTACGATCCTGATGTCAGAATGCACCTCTCATACCAGTAGAAAATTCCGCTTAGCCATACATATGATTCTAAACGAAATTCCACTTTTAACTACATTCCTCAATTTTGCAAATAAAATTAATTACGCCAGCATTAAATTAATTCCCCTCGCACAAAATACGAAATGTTAAATTTCATAAAATTCTATCCTATTTATTTCTCATTTGCTAAACAGAACATCATTTTGAATTCACAACGATATTAATTATGCTTATCGAAATTTATTACTTAATGTTGTGCAATAACAGTATTGTAGATGGCAGTTTGATTAAAATGGATCTTCATCTTTCTAATATCCCCGGCATAGTTTATAATTGATGAAAGATTTCATCATGTTCTTGAACAGGGGAAAAGCTCACGACAGAACAATTTATCGCAGAGAAACTTTGTTAAAAGTGACAACCTCTACAAATAATGATAGAGCGAGTTACGGGGGAATTATATATAAATTTCCGCATAAGTCAAATTTGAATAATAATGCGAGACACCAGGAATTTAAGGTCGTTGTTCATAAATGAAAATTTCAAAATCCACTAATCTTTACATTATGAGCCCATTTTTATCTTCAAAAAAATTGCTTTAGTTCTTGAATAATATAAATGCTATACTTCAATTACATTTCATGTATTAAAATATTAAAGAGAGATTGACGAAGAATGAAAGAAATATTAAATGATATTTTCAATTCATTCCTGGAAATATAGAGTCGAGTGTCTTATTTAATTACATACAAAGGAATAACTCGATAAAATATGAGGTAATTGAGAATAAAAAACGATAAAGGTCGTGTTTTGAAAGACGTTAAAGGAAGTCAAGAGGCAATTACGTTCAGATTTTCTTATTGAAATTTCTTTCAAAGTAACTGGCAAAACGTATTTTTTCTCTTTTATTCATTTTTCATTTTTTCGGACTATCTAATATTTTTTGTATTAACTTCTCAATTATTTTTGAATTTGTTGTATAAAATATAAATGAAAAGTATAAAAAAGTATGAAACATAAATGTTGATATTTCCTCACATTGACATAAAAAAGTACTAATAAATATAATATTCAATTTCATCAAACAGAGAGAGGCCAATAATTAATAATTTCATTTATTTTCAGTAAACATAAAAAGATATTTCTTTTATATTTATTCAAAAAGTGAAGAGGCAAAATTATTATATTAATTTTAATTTCCTCTTTGATATGCCGAAATAAATTGCAATAAATTGACTCGATCTACGTCATCGCTCGTGAATTTCATCCATGAAATATTAATTTTAATACTTGTCGTTAAACTAAATCACTGTTGCATTGATTAAAAATCTATTACTTTATAGTGGAGGAAGAATTTTATTATTCACTAGACTAAAAGGATTTAGAATCAAACACTTTAATTAACTGATTATTAATGGAATAGTTTAGTTGCTGATCCAAAAGAGGTACTTTGAAAACTTTTTTTTTATTGTAATTCATTCGTTTACTTTCATTAATTTATTTTCTATTTTGAAAAATCGAGATTTCTCGCTGCTTGTTATTTACCAAAAATTACTAACCGAAAGACATACAAATCGTTAAAGGAGAAATTTGCTCGGCGCCGAAGGAATCGCTTTTTTTTGCAAAAAAAAGAAGAAAAAAGCAAACATTCTGCAAACTTCTAGGAACGGAACTTCATATTGTCTTTATTGCATATTATATGAACGCAAACAAACACACATTTCAAGAATTTCTCTATATTTGTGTAACAAAAAAGAAGCTAGAAACGTAGAATTTTTATCAAGTAATGAAAAAACAGGCAAGCAGAGCCGAAAAAAAGATTCCGAGAAAACAAATTTTATCAATTCGCAAGAGAAAAAGTAAGTTACTCGTATTATCGGAACACAACGAAAAAACCGATATTCTTATAATCTTAAATATCTTTTTCTGGATTTAAATGGCATTAGAGCACTAGATTAATTTGTACCTTTTTCGCTACTTTCTTCTCTTACAATTCTTGAAAATGACTTTCTAGATAAAACTCTGAGTCAAGAAAAATCGAAGGGAGAAAATTGGTATTTTATCATTGTTACTGCAAATGCAATTCAGCCACTCTATCATTTTGGTATCATCATTTATTTAAATGCATTTTCTGCTTTTATATATTACGAAAGATTTTTAGATTAATCACTTTAAATGTTTAAAGAATTTAATTTTCGAAGAATTTTGTGTTAAATTTTGCTAATTTTTTTATTGCTCCTGTTGATTAAAAATTAAATTGTACTATATAAATGTTGAGGACATAGTTTAGATTCCCCAATTCAAAAGCGCCACGAGCCTAATGTGTTTAATTTATATTATAATTTATCTTGGAGGGAGGTCAACAATTGAAAGGCTAATTTACTTTTCAGTGGGATTTTAAACTCAACATTTTATTTATATTTGAAAAATGGTCCTCTTTCACTCCCATCTTCCCCTTTGAAATTCATTTTATTGATCTTAAATATGTGAATTTATAAAAACAGTAGTCAATGAATTCGAATCTCTTTATAAATAAATTAAATAACTCCCTGACTTCCAGACAAAGCTTTGACTTTTTCTCTGACTCCAAAGAAATATTCTGATTCACCCACAAAATGATTAGATAAAAACAAAAATCTTCTATTACATTCATTTACAAATTTCTTCAAAAGTAAAATTATTCGAAAACATCAATAAAATTTAGAAAATAATTGAATTTTTGAGAAGAATTTTACTACTTTTGAAAATAATTATGAATTTCTGCAATCGCAATAATTTGTAATTGCTTCAAAATTCAATTTGTTTTAGTGTTTTCCAGGTTGCGTGGCAACCTTGTGAAGAGAATTTAAAAGATTGAGTGTTAAAAAAATACCATCGACCGTTAATTACAAATTAGTTTTTAATACTTATTTTTTATTTTTATTTTAAACATTAAATTTTAATGTTACAGATTGTAGTAAATAATAAATAAACAATCATTAAATGAAAATTAGTTGTATTTTGAAACTAAAAAAAAGAAATTTTTGTAAATTTCTATTAATTATAAATTTACAATTTAAAAAAAATACTTTGGTTTAAAAGAATTTCAAGAAGGTTACAGCAGTTTATGGTTTGTAAGATGACCCAGACAGAAATACGAGCTGGAAAACGTGCAAAAACTCTACAACAGTCCAGCAACCCTTTTGTTGAATCTAGTGCACATTTGAAAAGTTGACCACAAGAACAGTGTCTTCTTAAGTTAGTACTTGAGAAAGTGCTTTTTTTCTTGTTTTTTTTTATTTTTTTTGTCTTCATACTCTCAAGAACAGTAGAACTCGCAAGTGACTTAGTTACACTTGTTTATAAAATTAACTTCACTTCGAGGCCATCTTTTCAAATTTTCAAGTAGAACTTATAACACTCTCATGAGAAAATATCATAATAATTATATAAATAAAAATAATTTTATAAAGAATGAAAATTAATTTTACATTTCTTCTTGTGAATACAAAACTTATTTTCAATGTAAACTAGTAGAAAAAAAAATAGTTGTAAACTTGATAATTTGCAATTAACGGAATGTTTTATTGTCAAA